ATGGATTGCGAGACCAGATCCGAGCGGAGGCGCAAGGCGGGCAAGGGTGACTGGCCTCTGCGATGGAACGAGGCTGGTCACGTGAGGGGTGGTTTGTGCTGTGGCTGTTCGGTGAGGAAGTGAATGGAAGTGTGGAGTGGAGATGAACGGTCTATCGCAACATTCAAACGCTATTAGACGCTATCGCACGCAATCATTGCAAAGTGCCATTGATGCGGACGATACTGCGTACCTAATACCTTTTGTTCGTAGCACTCCGGAGGAGCAACTCCAACGTGATGCAAAGCTATAGAACATTGAAGCTTGGGTTTCCGCGATACCTGTCTTCTACGCAATTCATACATCAAGACTCTCACTGGTCGGCCCATGCCTACATCGGCGCGCATGACCTGGGCTCCGGGAGGAGATAAGAGTCGCAGAATACATGGCAGCATTGGAAGGGCACCCCGGTGGATGACGGGCGGAAGACACAAACATTTGAGAGAGCGACGCGGCAACCGTTTTGGAGTCTGAGCCACAGCATTTGTGACATTCCGAAGCACTCATGTATCACAGGGTCCTGGCGAGCATCAAATACCATTCGTGGCGGCAGTTCCCTCAATCCGGGAGTGACATGGTGTGGTGTGGTGTGGTGCAGCACCTTACCAATGGCTTCTGCGACATGCGTCCCTGACTTGACCGCCATACCTGATTCGTGTTTGTATTGGTTCTCTTTTCTTCTGGTCCTTCTCGTCCTCCCCAATTGCACCCAGCAATACATCCAGGCGACGTCTGAAGTCATCTCAAGTGCTAGCAATGATGTTCCAACATTCAACAGACGGACTTGAAGGCACCCTAATCACGGCGAGATCCGCCCATTGACAATTCCACCCAGGCACTGCCCCCACTTTGGCAGCCTACTTAAGTAGTTAGTGTCGTTGGTGAACTACGACAATGTGTCGGAAATATGGGGCGCACAGTCCCCGACACCGGAAAGACGATTTGCTTCTGTGCATTTTCCAGGAGAAGCACAGTGTCCATAAATTCACAAGAAACGCTACTTGTACGGTAGACTACTTGCTCACAACTCGCTCAGCTGTTGCTGATGAAGACAGATTCAAGGCCATTCATTATCAATAGGCCCAATAGTGAATGGTCCCCCTGATTAGAAGTTCAGCTAACAGTCGCGATTTGTTGACCCTTACGGATTTATGCATTGCTGTCGTTGCACAGCCGGGCCTTGTTTCTGTTTTCCAGCTGTACTGGCATTTTCCCGATTCTAAATCCAGCGATACCAGATGTCAAGCTCTTTCGGAGCTTCCGTTTTGTCAACGTTCGATTGCGGGGAAGATGGAACGGAATTTCTTTCGCAGTTAATCGAATCACCGGATACACCTGCACACGAAACAAGGCAACTGGTGGACACGAGTATCCTGGCCAATTCAGATGACTTTCATTACCTGATTGAATGTGCGAGGTCTATACAGCAATCGAGACATCTACCCTATGAAAACTTAAACGGCAACGACCTGCTCTCATTTGTATGGCTCATCCTGACCAGCGAGCCCACTGTTCCCGACACAGAAGAGACGCCGTGGGCGGAGACGGACCGACTGATACTTCTTGCCAAAGAGCTCGCCAAAGACCCCGATATTCGAGGCCCAAGTGCTCGTCAAATAGCTAGCTATGTGAGTCCAGCCAAACGGGCTCGTCGGCAAGTCAAGTTGGTCAGTCAAAGTACTACCTCCCATTATTGGTCTACCGAGACAAGAACGCAAAACAAAACGTTGAACGGCAGGATAGCGCTTGCGGATAGCTACCCGCAACAGCCTAGTCTCCCAAAGGGGATTTTGCAAACAGCTGTAGCCAATTTTAGACAAGACATACAATTCAGGGACCAAAAAGTTACCAGATCATCAAGTACTGCCACCACATCCCAGCCGCAAAATATCGAATCCGTCTATCCACAATGTCAGTCAGCAATAGACAGTACTACTGCTCTCTGTCCCACAGCTCAAATTTCTCCCTTCTTCCCATGGAAAACTCGAGACAAAAAGTCGCCCAGTCGTCCTCCGGCAGGTGTCGTGTCGAGTGTCCCCTTCCCACCACTTTCAACGTCTCAATTCGGGCTGATTCAGGAGAGGTTGGCGCATGAGCCATTCTGGTTATTAATAGCGGTAACGTTTTTAATCAAGACAAGTGGCCAGGCAGCTATACCCGTCTTCTACAAAGTCAGAGAAAGGTTTCCTTCACCTACAGAACTGAGAGATCCCAACAATGCCGAGGAACTCTTCAGCATGATACGTCACCTGGGTTTAGCTGCTAATCGACTTGCTTTTATTCAAAAATACGCCGAAGTTTTTATAAGCAACCCGCCGGCACCCGGAAAGCAATACAAAGTCAGAAATTACGAAAGGAGGGATATTTTGCCATCTGCCATGAGCATGGAGAGCCTGGACACCGCTGGCGATTCAAAGTGCTTGAACCCAGGTGCTGCCGATGACGAAGCAAATGCAATGGCCTGGGAGATTGGGCATATGACCCAGGGGAAGTATACGCTGGATAGCTGGAGGATATTCTGCCGAGACGAGCTACTTGGGAGAGCCCAGGATTGGAATGGCAAAGGGCGGCAGCCAGAATTTCAACCCGAGTGGATGAGGGTTCTGCCACACGATAAAGAACTTCGAGCATATCTACGATGGATGTGGATGCGGGAAGGTTGGGAATGGAATCCAGAAACGGGAGAACGGCAAGTGCTGCGGCCGGAACTGGAAGCAGCTGTCAATGAAGGAAGAGTCGAGTATGATAATGCAGGAGGGTTACGAATTCTGGAAACAGCGAGGCGATAAATGTGCGGAGGGGTGTAACGAATATGGAAAATGTCATGGGAGCGTACGGAGTACTTGTGTCGCATAGCCTCTGGATAATAATGAAGTATAGATGTTCAAGCAACCAATTTAAACCGGCAATTGAGAAATGCGTATAGAACACCCACTTATTATGCGTTTCGGTTCGAATTCGTCTTTGGGTACTGTACAGTGTAGGGTACACAGAATTGACTTGCCGATAGGGAAGGTACTTTTCGGTACGTATGGCGGAAGGGCTAGTTGGTGGGGAATACCGAAGTATTGGACTCATACGGAGTATTCCGCAATGCGGACAGGCAACCTTGGAAAATACATGTCTGGGACACAAGAAGGGAGGTGGGTACTCGGTTGGAACCGATTGAACTTGACGATTTGAAGACGGGCGTTCTCTAACTTTAAGCCAGCGCGGAGCATTCTACTGTAACCAAAAGTTTTTGGCAAGCAAGTAACATTAAAGGGAAGGCATAATAAGACAGCACCGAGGTTAACAGGCGGCAACAGGCGGCTGCAGCCTCGACGGGTTGAGCTGTGGCTGACGAGCGCCAACAGAAGGCAGTGGGTACAGGACACTGTTCAAGTGATCAATTGATTCAGGTGGGCATCATCGGGAGCTTGGGGCAAGGAGCAAAGCATGTAAGGCCGAGACGCCGAGAATGAGGACACGCAGGCCTCACTGGCTAAGACGTCGTCGCCCTCCCTTGGACGAGGGAGTCGTGTGCTCGGGGCTGGGCGTTTATTAGAGTCAGACATTGTGGAAAGCGCGTCGTGAAAAGCAAGTTTAGAGTACAATAGAGGCATAGGAACGCGTCAAGTCTGTAGTGTTGATACTACTTATAAGTAGATTAAAGCCGTCAATGGACGTGGTGATGCTGCGTACTTAACCTACTAGGAAGAGTACAAGTTTCGATTGTTCTTTTGGATGCCAGGGTCGGAGCGCGCTTGTCCCTGGACCATCTGTGCAGAGCAGATGCGTGGGTATCGTAGAACAGCGCTCACGGTGGGCAAGTGCGTGCGGGCCTGGAATCTGTAATGGCAAAAAGAAGCAAGATGCTCCGTACACGACTCGGTATTGAAGGTGCAGCAGCTGGTTGGCAAGGGGTTTTTCTACCTACTAGGCACCTGGGCACATGGAGGTATATTTCGGCCAGGCCCCATGGTCGCTCACTGCTCGTCGGTGCTACATACAATCGACTTGAGCTTCTTGATATAAAGTCAATCTCAGATACAAATCGACTCGAAAGCTTGCTCAAGCGGAACGTACATACGTCTGGTACTTTACGGAGTACTCCGTACAAGGAAGGCACGCCTGGCAGAGTGGGTAGTACGTACCAGTACGGAGTAACCAGACCGGATTTGACGGCGGCTAGAGCCACCAGAGCCACTAGAGCCAGAAGTGGACACCCCAGCATACTTGGAACTTGTCTAAAGGACACAGTTGTAGTAAGTTGCCTTGGTATGTACGGAGTAGCCTGGCGCGCCAGCCCAGGGTCAGAGGCCATAGCTCGTCCTCTTGCCATGGTCGCGCTGTCGCCGACGTGGTGGTGGACTGGTGGTGGACTGGTGGTTGTGGTCAGATCGACCGGTCGAGTCTATCCGTCTGGCCTATGTACTTACAGTAGACTAGACGGCCTCAACCCGGGACTCTGGACACATGTGCACTTTTTTGCCAATTCCCAACCCCTCCTGGACATCTTGACATAGTTTCCTTCAACACTTCAACACCCCGACCCAACCCAACTCACCTGCCATCGTGGTGCATCGCCCTCCTTTGTTTGAATTGAAGCTTTTGTAGCCCAGTGGTGCTCAGTGCTCTTTGCTCCTTGCTCTGCCTGCTCTCTCCTCTCCCCTCTGCTCCCTTGCCTCTCTGCTCTCTACCGGCGCGACCACTTCTCCCACTTGGACAACTCAACCTCGTCTGTCCATCACCCCACGCCACAACCGCGCCTGTCGCTTCTTCCAAATCCAACCTCTTCCATCTCGTCTAATCCGAAACTCCCTCCGCGGACACCTTGACCGTCAACAGGCCTGGTGTGCAACTGTCGCAAGCTTCGGCATCGGACGTCACGACTGGTAGAGTCCACACAGCTTCCGCAGGCGCCCACCGACCCTCGGTTCATCCCAAGCAACTGTCCCTCGCCCAGCAGCTCTTTCATCATGCAGCGCGGTCCCTCTGGATATGGCCTCAATGGCCCTCCGCAGTACGGCGGCCCTTCCAACGCCGAAGAATCCAATGGCAACATCCTCGACCAGATTCGCCCCTATACCAGCAAGGTTGAGGATATGCTCGACACCCTGAGCGAGCCCATCAAGCCGTACGTGGCCACTTGGCTCCCATTTAGCCCAACTAGCTACCACTCCCTTGATGGTCTACCATGACAATTGCTGACCTGGAGCCCTTGCTCTTCTACAGTTACCTGCCCGCCATTGGCCGATTCCTGATTGTCGTCACTTTCCTGGAAGATGCCCTTCGTATCATCATGCAGTGGAGCGACCAGCTTCTCTACCTTCACGACTACCGACATAGTAAGTAGTACATACATGCAGTAATAACCCGCAGGCGAAAAACAAAAAACAATTGGCCTTGGTAGAGGCTACCAACCAGTGCAAAAACCAGCTAACAGGTCGCAGTTCCCAGTGGTATCACCCATATTTTCCTTCTCGCCAACGTCGCCGCCATGGTCGCATGCTCCACCCTCATCATCGCCCGAAAGCAATCTGACTACGCCGTCGCCGGTCTCATGGGTGTCGTCATCACCCAAGCTCTCGGCTATGGTTTGATTTTCGATCTCAACTTTTTCCTCCGAAACCTGTCCGTCATTGGCGGCCTTCTCATGGTTCTCTCCGACTCGTGGGTGCGCAAGACCAAGGCTTTCGCGGGACTGCCCACGCTCGACGAGAAGGACCGCAAGATGTACTTCCAGCTTGCCGGCCGTGTTCTACTCATCTTCCTCTTCATTGGATTTGTCTTTACTGGCCAATGGTCCATTTGGCGCGTTCTGGTGTCTCTCCTCGGAGCCGGCGCTTGCGTCATGGTTGTTGTCGGCTTCAAGGCCAAGTTCAGCGCCACGCTTCTCGTTGTCATTCTGAGCATCTTTAACCTGTTTGTCAACAACTTCTGGACCGTAAGTTTTCTTTTGTTCTTTTTTGTCAACTTTGCTAGACTTGTCTCTTCGCCGAGCCGGCCACAGCTAACGTGTATTACTAGCTCCACGAGCACCACCCACACAAGGACTTTGCCAAGTACGATTTCTTCCAGATCCTCTCCATCGTTGGTGGTCTGCTCCTGCTGGTCAACAGTGGCCCTGGTCAGTTCAGTATTGATGAGAAGAAGAAGGTCTACTAGGCGACCTAGTTGGTACATGGATCTCACGGATCTCACGGGTCTCGGGAAGTGGGTCGCCATGGATGAAAATAAATTCTCGACTCTCATGTTTGACGATTAGCTTTTTCCTGGTACGGGACAGCTTCTTTTTTAACGAGGCGCTTTGGTGGTTTCAAGGACACTGCATTGAAAAAAAAAGTTCCTCGTGGTCACCACCACGAGCATTGGCTGTCATGAAATATCCTCAACTGTTTGCAATATATAGAGAGAAGTATGGGCAGTGATGTAGGAGGTACGCATGCTGAAGCACAATATCAATCTGATTTATGTTTTGAAGAATGTTCCTCGTCTGTTGAATTTATGGCTACTGCGTCGGTGGTTGACTGAGAAGGCCCTCCATATTATTTATTACTTACTTACATGTGCGGCTCTGTCGTCCGAGACGGTCCGAGCCTTGGCATTTACAGTCGGGTCGGTTGGCGCATTCTTCATCCATCCAAACCACTCGCTAGAGCGAAGAAATGCCGTCCGGACACGATGCGGATCAGCAAGAGACGACATGATGACGTGATGCCGTCATTTGGTATAGGCCCACACGGCGCTGTGCCCCGGATCCCGTCCATCCATCCATCGAGAACTTCCACCGCCCCCCGGCCTCGCTGCGCGGCATGGGCTACTTCAGGGCCTTTGACGTCTAACTCGCTGTTAGGTTGCCAAGCTTCCGTTCAATAGCAGTCAATCTACAAATATCCATACACATACATACCCGTGCCGGCTCATCAGTTGAGTAGCAGAGCGCCACTCCATCTACCCGCCAGCGACTACATAATACATGGACGAGTGGCCAGTCCACTTCGTTGCCAATGGGTACCTGCCCATCACTGAAACCCATATATTCACACAAACCACAAACACATTAAGTCGGCGCAGCGTCAACATCATGATTCAAATAATGAAATTCATGCCGTATGATATATATGCACAACTCGCTCCATCCCTCGTCATTCCATCACCCCCCCTTCCCCTCGAGCAACCACACTACCCAATGATTGAATAAAACAAAAAATCGAAGTGGACTTAAATCAAACAAGCCGAGAGAAGAGCATCTTCGAAAGAAAAGGGGAAGAAAACAATACCAAGCAATCATAAAACCAAAAGTGCAAAAACGCAAAACAAAACAAAAAACATCCGTGCCGTCCCTCCTGTAGCGCCATCGCAGCTCAATAACACAATAAATGCCATGACCGTGGAATACCTCGTCTTCAAACCTTCGCAATTGGTCACTATAGCTTGGCCTTCCCCTTGTCCTCACCCCCTATTCTCATATGCTCGACATACGCTCTTTTCATAAAGGTCTAGTTGTCGGCCTCAAGAGTCCAGCCCTCCCCCCTTTCAAGAAGAACTCGAGCTTTGTAGACACGGACAAAGCTCACTGAATGAGATATGATTGTTTTTTTGCTCCCCTCTCTCTCTTGGTAGGAACGCCTAAGGACATGCATGTATGCAGAATGTTTAAACGAATCGCTCGTCAAAATGGACGTAATTTTGTCATCATCGTTAATAAAAAAGTAGAAACACACAAAAAAAATTTCTTTTTTTCCTGGCTTCTCTGTGGGTATTTGAAAAATGTATTCAAATCACCGGTGCTGAATCCGTTGGACTAGGCCAATCTCCTATGACGACCCGGAGACTTTACGTGCCGTAGACATAGCTGAGGCTGACACAGACATGCTGGAGCTGCCAACACGGCCGCTCGTCTTTCGAATTCCAGCAGAGTCCTTGGCTCGCAAGGGAGACTCGGATCCGGCACGCTTACTGCCACGGACCCTGGTCATGACGCTAGGTGTACTAGCAACACGATCCACGGTCTTTGATCGGCCTGAGCCAATGTTCTCTGCATCATGTGAGGCGTCGTTATCAATGAGATAAATTGTCGACGTTGTCTGGCTGACTGCGCGGACCCTCTCGCGGCTGGGTGACGCTGATGCCTTACGGTGGCTGCGCATGCGAACATGCAACTCTTCGTCAGAATCCGAGCCCTGCGTGTAACGGTGCATGGCCACTATTTCGGTCTCATTCAGGCCTTCTCTCTCTTCTTCTATACTGGGTCTGTGAGTGGCACCTGATCGAAAATAGGGATGGTGGCGATCGGCAGCCCGCGTAGACTTCCGAGGTTGTCCAGGAGTAGGGGCTGGAAGGTAGTCCTCCTGTGCACCATTCTTGCGGTCCTGGTCGACTTCACTGAGAGGTGTGCGGTTCGATGGGCTGCGATTCGGAGGGGTAGACATTTGACCATTGCGCAGGCTCGTCTTCTGCATAGCTCTGATGGGTGTGCTTGGAGCAGGATTGGCGGCGGCAAGTTCCCTTCTCAGACGACGTTCAACGCGCTCCTCAACCCACCACTCCCGGAATGTACCCTGGTTGAGATGTAACCAGTGCTGCTGGGGACCAACAACCATACCGGGTCGCATGAAGCGCATAAAGGAGATGATCTCGTCGGCGGTGAAGCCATGTCTGTAGATCAAGTATGCGCCGATGAGACAGCCGGTTCGGCCCAGGCCAGCCTTGCAGTGCACCGCAATACCCTTCTTCTTCACGGTGATGGTCTCGTGCGCCAACCGAATAAACTTGCGGACAGTTGTGAGTGGAGGGCACGTTCCGTCGTCAAAGATCATGTCAAGATGCTGGATGCCCAGAGCCTCAAAGTAGGACGGAGAATACAAGTGTGAGTTCAACCTGACAACCAATCCAATATTCTTCTCAGAGAAGTGCTTCAAGACGTTCTTGAAAGGCTGTGGCAGGGTTGGATGGGCATCCACGGCACCCAAATCTCTCGGTAGCAATGGCCAGAGCTCAGAATCTTCGGTAACCTTGGCGACGGGTGTATGTTGAGGAGAGGCAAAAGCCAGGAAATGGGGGGTGATCCAGTTAAAGTCGCCGTGCTCTACACGCTCAAACTTTTCGTACATTTCAAGATCAAAGTTGTCAAGGTCAATGCACTTTTCCTCCTTGGCCTTCCATACACCATACACAACGTCCTGGACGGTAATGCCGTAGTCGGCTTGGCTGTACCCAGCATCACGGAAGGGCATCAAAGGCGGATCGACCTGGGCAATAGGAGCCAGGGCCAAATGAGGCGGCCAATTTTGGATCAAGACCATGTAGCAAGCCAGCATACAGGCAGCATTTGCACGGCCTTTGGTAGGGATGTTAGTTGACGGTCCCAGTTGCGCCGTGGAAGCTCGGCCAGGGTGGGAGAGGAAGAAAGAAACTCACTCCGCGGGTCAGCAGCGCTCCAGAAAACGACAGGTCGGTCCTTGTTCTCCTTGGCACCAAGGATGTCGTGAAATCGAATAGCAAATCGGTACAAGTGGCCAATGTGCAGAGGGCCAAAGTCGTGGTGAAAGGCATTATACAAAAGCGTATCATCAACTGTAAAGTAGCACGGCGCCGAACGACCACTGCCCACCGAAGAAACGGAGTCCAGAGTTTTGTGCGATCGTTTTCTCGAAGCAACGGGAGATTCCGAGCCGGGAAACAGCGTATCCGCCGTGGGAGGATGAACATAGGCACCGAGATAGAGGCGGTCTGCAAAGAGAACAGAAGAAGCCATCGTCAGCAAAGCTCAGATCCACGCAATTGATTGGGCACAGATGCAGCGCACAGCCAACAAAACGCCATCCGGAACAACGGGCTGAGCCAGAAGAAGAGGAGTAGGAGGAGTAGGAGAAAGCATTGGCCGTGATTGGACGCATGGCATACCTGGGATATATTCAATCACCTGCCCCGAGTTCTGCGCGTGCCTGGAAGTGGGAGCCATTGATTCCAGGCTCACGCTTCAGCGGGGTTCTGCGTTCTTTTCTTCTTTTCCGGCGGCCAAAGAAAAACCTGTCTTGTGTGAAGAAGAAGAAAGGGTCTTCCAGAGACAGGCGGCGGCAGTTTGGCGAAGCAACCCAACAACAATGATACCGAATAGTCAATGTCGGGCGGGCGGACAAACCCAATGCTGCGGCACGCTTCGGCACGCAGAAAAATGCCCTCAGCTTGTCAACACACAAGAGACCCAAATGGCAACTTGTAAACACAAAAATGGAGGACGAGGCTCGTCTAAACTCTATAAGAAAGGCGGTTTCGGTGCAAGCAATGCCGTCACTGTCGTCGGTTGAGAAGCACAACGTCGCTCGAATAGATAAAACCTGCAAAATAAGCTGCCTCGCTCACGGATTCATGCACGTTGACAAGAGAGGGGGAGAGTGAGGCAGGGAGGAAGAGTGGTGTGGGGGGGAGGAGAGGAAGGAAGGAAAAGAAAGACGAGGGATTTCCAAGCACAGTGGTGACGGCTCACGATGTTTTTGTACAGAAGAGAAGTCCCCCGAGTCAACAACAGCTCAGAAACGGCGGGTGGGTTTTGTATGTATGTTTGAGCAGCGCTGCACATGCGGAAACCTCTACTCTGTACCCCGGCCGCCCGCTGCGTCGTCCAGTGGTCAGGCTTGTTGTTGTGAGACCCTCCGCCTTTTTGCCTTGCCTGTAGGGGAATAACAAGACAGCTGGGCGGTCTTGTTGTGGGTCGGCCCGTCGCCGGGGAAACCATCAGCCTACAACACCGGTTGACAGGACCAAGGCCACGAAAGCGGTGCGGCTGTGGCGCGGGCCTCAGCCAGATGGAATGCAGACCCACCCCGTTTCATGCACGCGCCACAGCAGCCGCCAACGCTACCTACCACTAGTCAAGGACGACCTTGCCAAAACCTGAGAACCTGCCCGGCGCCAATCGCTGCCCCTCCATCTGCGCGGCCCTGCGACAAATCCCCCAAGCATACACAAGAGGAAAACTCTTGACCTCATCTGCATTCCTTGCATTCCTTGCACTCGACACACGGCGCCAGGTCCGCGACCACCGATCAGGCCCGCCCGCTCATCAAGTCTCAATCTGCGACGCCGGTGCCCGGGGTGACCGTCGCAATCAGCCCGTTGTCGTCACCATGGCCTCCCCGACGGCCCAGTTCCCTTGCTCAATGTTTGTCTTGCCCGTAAACCCCAAAAATAGAACCACTCGCCACCAACAAAAAAAACAAAAACACCGCGCAAAAAAAAATCTACAGAGCCCTCCGTGTGCCCCTCCCAACCGCAAGACTCGCCTCGACTGCCCTCCAAGCTCTCCGCGTCGACCCCGAACTATCCCCCCTCGTCCAGAGACAGCTGTCCGTCGCGTCGGACCAAGACACCGTCCTCACGGTAGACTACCAGGCAACGACGAATCGCATGCTCCGCGTGGCAGTGAATTCCTTCATGGAAAGCCTCAGGCTTGTGCTGGAGGTGATGGAGCAGTTGGATGTAGATGTATTGCCGCAGACAGAAAACGAGAATCCGTCATGAAGCTTTTGAAAATCTCTCCCCCCTCTCAGAGACGTGAAAATTGAGAAACAAATGGCCCACGACGCCTTGGGCGCCGATTCTGGAAAACACAGGTCTAAGAAACATCCCGAGCCCACCAGCTTGGACATTGTTACATGAGTAGCTATAGTATTTCGTCTTTATTTATACTAGCATATTTCATCATGTCTCATCTGACTAAAGCAGCGTTGCAGACGATCGACTACCCAGCACTACTGTGGCTCTAGCCCTTCATGTTATCCAACAGCCCTCTATGACCAACCAAAAAAAGTACTCGAGACAGCAGATAGGCTGGAGATTGAGGACAAAAAACGCCACCACCAAAAGGAAGAAGAAGAAGAAGAAAACAAAAAAAAAGCTGTTTGAACTCGATAATTCCATACAAAGCCCGTTCAAAATGCTAAAAAGAAAACTAAATCGTGGTAATATCGACTGCCGCCGCCCCCCAACAAATTGCAACCAATGTGATATCCATCTCCGCGTAATTATTTTCCTGTTTCGCGACCAAGAAAAACCCCATGCTATTTACCCATTATGCAATCCAACAAATGGACAAGATTCAAAACTGCCAAGTCTAGACAGTCGTCGGATATTTGTCCACGTGGCTATGTCGCCGGTGCCTGTAGTTTTTGCAGCTGGCTCTTTAGCTCGTCTAGCTCTTGTCTCAAGTCGCCATTTTCTTTTTGAAGATGTTTCATGTGCACAATGGCATTCTCCACAACGCTTGCTTTGCTGTTGGGCACGTTATTTTGTAACTTGTTGTCCTTCCTCTCCGCCTCATCATCCTCAATCTTTTGTGGATCTGGTAACAAGCTGGCCATGACTTGCAGCGCTGAATTGATACGATTTCTTCGCCCTTGCTCCGCAATCTTGTGAGATGTTCGTTTTGACGTGAGATTCGTTGACAACTCTGTGGGATATGAAACTCCGGGCACAGTGTTTCCTTCTAGGATATTTTGATAGTTTGATTTGGTCATGAGCAAACGTGAAGCTGTGTCTTCCATTGACAGGCCAGGAGTTCCAGGAAGCAAAGGCTTGATGTTCGGTGATATTCTCGGTAACAAAGCAGGCGAGGCGTGAACTGAGCCAGTAGATCGTTTCCTGCCGTTTCTAGAAGCCAGCTGAGGCGTCTTGCGCGCACTAGGCCCGGAGGATCCCGGTCGTAATTGAGGACTTTGGCTCGCTGATGCCGTTCCCGGTGTTTGCGTGTTCGGCGAGTGCAAAGGTTGCTGCGAGGTGCTTCTCGCAGAGTTTGGTTCAATGCGGGACAACGGTGACGCCAGCGATGTGTTGATCGGCGCGAGAGGCCGGTTTGATATTGACTCCGGTAGCTCGAGAGATTCGATGTTTTCCGTGACAGTGTGTTGTTCCTGTTCGATTTGTTCCTGGTTCATCGCGCGTGGTTTCTTTGCCTTGGAAGCGGGAAGTTTCATTAGTGAGGCTGGCGTGGCGGGATGAGGCTGCTGCTGCTTTTCTCTCTGTTCTTCTGCCAAGGAACGGGGTGTGGGCTGTTGTGAGCTTCCGTTCTGTGCTTGAATGTACGGAGATTTGCTAGTGGACCGTCGAGCGGGAACGGGAGGAGGGGGCATTTCGGACAGGTTTTCGGGTGATACCGAGGCATTTTCTTCCGAACCTTCAGTCGATGTGGCTGGGAGAGGAAGTAATCCTTGGTCTACGGATGGTGCGTTTCTCTCGTCCACCTCATTCAACACCTGAGACACAATGGCCGGGCTCGGGCCCGTTTTCCGGCGTTGAGGCTTGGCAATCGGTGAGTTCTTCACGCCCTTACCCCGTGCCTTGACTGCATTATTCTTCCTGGCCTTCTTGGACAAGTCTGTGCTGGACCCTCCAGTAGGAGCAATAGCGGGTGCTTCTAGATCCATTTCAACAGGTGAGTTGTTGGACTGTGTGCTATGGTCGTAAACTGATGACGAATCGTTTTGGGCATGCAAGGCTGGCGAGGTAAGAGGGCTAAAGTAAGCTCCGGGCACAGTAAAAGCATTTTCCATATTGAAATGGGGATCCAAAGGCGTCACAGCCGGGGACACAAGAGGCGTGAAGGCCATCTGTAGGGTCCATCACATTAGCATTCATCGCCTTTCCGGGGAATGTGGCGCCCTGTCGATTTTTTTTCTTTTTTTTAAAAAAAAATAAAAAAGTGAAACCAAACCAGGAACAGAGTTATCTGCAACCAAGGGAGGGGAAGAAAACCACTTACATCTTGCTGCTCCGACATTCGCTGATGATATCCTCGATCATAAGTTGTTCGCTGGGGCATCTGCTCCGGCTGAGAATAAAATTGACCGCTGCCAGGAGGCATCTCTATGCTCTGGGGAGTAGGGGGGACCGAATGGCTTTGGTTTGCAAAGAAGGTCGCTCGTTGTTCTTGAAGCTGGCGTTGCTGTTGATGAAATTTTTGCTGCTGGAGATACTGGATCTGAGCATCGATACTGGAAATAGTGTCGCTCGGGGCAGAAGTAGCCAGTAACTGCGCTTGCATGCCGGCAGTCGTCACCATCGCAGGCGTGTGGTTTTGCAGCAGCCCGTCACTGCGGGGAATAATGTGAGAAGGGTCGGCATCACCCATAATAGCGTCGGCCTGTTGCCGATGCTGATGTTGCGGGTGTTGATGCTGAGCCATTATGGCTTGCGAGGGGCCATCCTGGAAGCCATGGAAGTCGAACTGTATGCCATCACCCATGTTTCCCATGCCGCTCATGTCGAGAAATTGGTTGAATTCATCTTCGGTGGTGGAAGCCATATGCTGGTCCTGGCCATCCCAGGCCGCCGAAGCCATCATGGCAAATCGATACGATGACGGTGGACCGTGTACGGGTGCAGATGGAAGCCAGAGATTCGGTCGCTGGCCTCGGGGTGGCGCGGTTCCGAATTAAATTGCCGGGAGGATGAAGCCGACAAGAGGCTTCCTCTCCTTCCCGCGTATAATCAGATGTCGCCAATCGTTTATAAGTCTCCCTATTTGCGTCTTAGGCCCCGTCTGCTTTGGGCCAGCGAATTGAAGGTCCCCGGCCACAAAATGAGGCCTGTGGCTCTCGTGCGGAAGGCGGCGGGGGTGATGAGAAACTGAGATGGATGTGATCATGAGCTTGCTCTGTCTGTCTGTCCGCAGGCACGTATAGTCGCAGCTAGGGCGTTATGTTGCAGTCATTAAGGTCCTCTCTCCTTCCCTTTTCCCCCCTTTCTTTTGACTTCTTATCGTGGGCTGTTGATTTGGAGGGGTGCCGATTGCTCGGTGGGCGTGGTGGCTGCCGCGCCGACGGAGCACTTGACCTTTGCTGCGTCTGGTGGTTGGTGCGCGAATTGAAGACGACAGCCAGGAGCGTAGAGGCAGCGAAGAGCGGGAGTCAAATATGTCCGTCTCAAAACAATAGTCGAAGCAACGAACAGCTTGTCAACTGGCCGCTCCAGCGAAATGAAGGTTCGTCAGCGACGATGGCTGGGGGTGGAGGAGTAAAAAAAAAATGCCGTCGGCGACGTTGACGACAGGACGCTTTTGGAGATTGGCGCAGGACGCAAACCATTAACTTGACTTCACAGGTCCCAGCCCCAGGTGCCATCAAGTCTGGAGAAACGGAGCAGGCAGTCTGGTTCTTCTGCCAGGCGGGCCAGCGCAGGGAGTTGGAAGGGTCAGGCGACTGGGGTGCCACCAGTTGACCTTGCGCAACCTAAAGTACTTAAAGTACGTACATACTCAAGTACGCCAGAATTGCTAGAAGTGGTCCAGATTGGTACATATACTTTTTAAGTATGTGGTCATGTCCAGCGACGTGCAGATCAATTGATGCCTTCAACGCTCAAATGCTGCCGGCACGGCCACATGTGGAATGCTGCACTTGTGGATGCTCAGGTCTGGTGTGTACATGTAATGTTGCTACGGAGTACTGGGTGCAGAGTGCATGCTCAGGCATTTGCTGGGGCAGGCGCACTGGAGAACCCACTGGGGACACACTGGTCACTAGGTCCAGCCACCTTGACAAGGGCCTCTTCACCTCTTCACTCACCAACGCAGGCACGGCACAAATACAATATATAGTCTGGTAACATTGAACATAGACGGCAGCTACGATGCGCAGTCCTCCTCAAGGGTAGACCCCAGACACTGCAGCTGCCACGCTACTTTCGACAAACACCAGATGCACCGGTTATATGTCCTCAAATATCATCCTTTCGTACCAGACAGGCACCAGCCACCATCATCCATCGAGCGTTAGCCTGGTCAAGGCTGTCTTCCATGTGGGAACTCGAAACCTCCAAGCCGGTCGGGGTGGGACCAGACGTGGTGCTGGGAACTGGCTTATCCATCCAACCATCTTGCATGCCCGCCTCCATGACCAGGGCCGTCCATCATGCCGACAGAGACAATCCGGAACAGAGCTTCCAGCCAGGGTCCCCGAGACCACCGCTGTGGATCGAACGCCCGACCCCAAAATGGCTCGAGATGGGTGGACGTCTTATGGGTGGACGTCTTATGGGTGGACGTCTTCCTCAATAAACAGTCTTCCACTCCATACACCCGAGTATGGAAGCGTCATTCGACACCGTCTAGCAGCGAACCCTATCTTTTACATGGGCCTCACATGTTTGTTGAGTCGGGCAAATACTGCCCGTACCACACTCCGTCTTGGGCCAACTGGCTTCTGGATATTATATCCGTCCCCAACCACGGAGGGATGATCCCATGATAGCAAATTACGACAATACAATAGGGGGAAACGGGCTCATTATGATTGGAGCGTTTGCTGGGATTGGCAATGATCTTTTTACTAGAGTAGCCCAGTCCTGGCTGCGACTCGCGACCAACCGGGCTAACACAAAACAAACAAGCCTACCGACGACTAAAATTGGTCGACAGTTCAATTCTGAAAGACTAGCGCCTGCGACGGCCCCATTGACTTGGTCCTACGACTACTTTATCCACAGACCGCCTGGGAAAATTCTTGGACAAGTGGTGGAAACCGATCAAGACAAAGCACGAGCACGTCAACTATCCAGGATTCTACACGGTCCCTCTCCACTCATCGCTTCCTTCTTTCATTGGATGTGGCTGAGCCTCGGTCTCTCTCCCATTGTCCACCAAGCTTATTGTCCCTGGTTGCTTGTTTGGCTGATGCCTTAACGCTTTGCCGCCTTGTGGCTCACTTGCTTCGCCTTCATCTCAAGAGCCAAGTCGATTCCTTCTACACCCTTGTGATATCAGCCTTGTGCTCTCCAGGGCATGAAATGGGAAGCTCATGCCCTCTTGTTACATGGGCAGGCCTTATTCCTGTGTCCTCTGTGGACGGGTTGCACTAGTTAGCTGCATCTAGGGATCGTTTGTAGATGGATACTGAGACATTCGGGAAATAGCGGTCGATTTTGCTTCTCCAGTTTGGGCAACCCGGCCTCCACCCGGAGGTTAGTGCGGGAATATTAGGGATTCGTCCAACCCAGCGTGCGGGAGGCCAAGCGGGCTTGGAGATCCTAGTAGAGGTTAAGGTGCCAAATTGGACATTAGCCCTCATATCATTTGCCCGTCCATTGCTCCATGAATGTTGGTCGGAAGTCGGGCTGCCAGGGAAATGTACGACCACGCGCGGATCCAGCTTCACTCAACGACAGATAGTCTTCCGATGCTCTTGTTCCCTTTGCCGAGCATGGCCATTTCTTCGTGTTGGAGGGTTCTCTTGCTTCAACTATCAGCTCATCAGACATATCCAGTGGCGTGCCTCTTGGCCACGGCAACGGACAGAGTCTTGTAGAGCCGGCAACCGAAAGAGCCTACTCAGGCTTCAGCTTCTCTCCTTCGCGTCACGTACAAAAACGATACATCCCCTCAGGACTGATGTGTCTGCAGAATCATGCTGTCCCCGGCAGACCCATCGGCTAGTGAGTCGCAAGTCCCACCGTGTCACAAAGTATCCCGTCCGCAAGTATGTATGTACTAATATTTGCTGCATGTATGTTGTACGTGGTTGTGCCGAGTTTTGATTCTTACTGTTCGATTGCTTTAGGGACAGCTTGGTGTGCTTGATATAGCTGTTGTGAATTCGTCTGTTACATTTCAATGTTTCCCCCACACCCCTCACTCTTAGTAGTCGGCCAGAAACTTGGAGTCAATCCTACGACTTAGCAAACCCTATCCGTGTTAGGATACGGATCTCATCTATGTCACTGGGCGTCATACAAGTTGGCAGCGGCTCACAGAGCCAGTCGAGCAAAGGTTAACAATGATGGCGATTGGTCGTGGCATCATCCACCCGTGAGTCGGCTGTCAAATGCGTCTCTGGACCGTCGTGCGACAGCAGAAGTATACAATGCTCGTCCCAATCACATGAGGTTTTGGCTGTCTGTGTTAGTCACATCAGGCACTTTGTGGGCAGTTTGGTTCTGATGCCATGTTAAAAACAGCAGCGTAACGGAATCACCTGCTTGCTCAGTTTTGAAAATGGAGCTGCAATGCGTCGCTCAAGGAAGAAACAGAGAGTGTGGCGCATATAATAGTCTCATGCCGCTCACCGGCGTTCATGTCAAGCTGATCATGTAGATATCCTTCGACGTAACGTAGAAAGCATCAGCTGAGCTAGTTCGAACCTTGTTGAAACTTGGCCAATCACCCGACACAAAAGGTAGTAGGGCTGTCACACCTTGCATATTTTCGGACCCCAGCTTCTGACAAAGGCTTTCTCCCACGTCCTCCGCGTGGTCACTGTGCGGATGAACAGGCAGGTTTGATAAGGACGGCGGGTTGGAGCTGTAAGCCATGTCGACACCGGGAAGAAGAGAAACAAGAATGCGAATATAATTCGAGTACGAACTTGCAGAACAGCACAAGCGATTCCTCGAGTGTTAAATGGCGGTCACTATTTAACCAGGCAAACATGAACGACAACCTCTAGTCTAATATCGATCCTATTTGGAAGCCACCAGTTCATTTCTACACCACAGTAGACAGTGGTGTGAAGAAGCAACACAAACTCCTTCCGAAAATATCCTCCTTCCCGCCGCCCTTTTGCAAGCAAACCTCGTAAAACACAAACACCGTCAGCCCGACGCCGAATACACTGTCATGTCCTCTTCTAGCCTTCGCCCAAGAACCCTTGCCAAGCAAAGGGGAGGGCCAACAAGAACTCGCCCAGTCGGACCAAACCCATGAAAGTGCAGATCCCGACTGCCAAATACTATGCAGTCAACGACCGTGTTTGGACGCCGACCCTCCCAGAACCCTGGTCCTCGTCACCAGTCAGTAAAGGAAGAGGAAGGAAGCTGAGACAGAAATCCAATAGACCTACGCGAGCTGAAGACTTCCTTGCAGCAAACTGGAGACCGACGTCGTGACCACCTTCCCCTCTTGCTGTCAATGGGAGCAGTCCGTTCATCTGACCAAAGTAGTAGCCTCGTGCGCGCATCTTGTATCTCGTAGCAAGGCTTAGAAAGGTATATCACCTCTCTGACAGAATAAATATCCTGGTGTTGTGAGGCGTCGCTGTGGAACCTGCGAAACTACACCGTCGTGTACCGGGCGATTCTGGGGGGGAAACTGTTCCAGAGATATTTATTATAAGAACCATTTCGTTCGCCTGTGTTTTCTTCTCTTTTATCAACTTTGTCATGTGCATAAGGTAGAGCTACAGCAGTCCTCCAGTTGACAACTTTACCCAGTGTAGCGTTGCCAACTATCTTACATAACAAAACATGAGACATTCCGACAACATATGCAGATAAAATCGAGAATTCACAAGGCCGAATGTTAGACTAGTGTCATGCATGTGTTTTGTAGCTAGCTACATATTTGCAGAACTGCCTGCCGCAATATACATACAAAGACTGGTTGCCCATTGTCTCGCGGCAAGCAGTCTTATTTCGCGTCTCTCTGACAATCCTCTTATATTCCAGGGAGCCTTATCCTCCTCATTTCAACGAATTACATGCGACAAGAGGGTAGCGGTGGTATCGTAACGAATGACGCCAAAATATGGAAATAAGAGAAAGAAACGCCAATGAGTGGCTGTGATCTAGGATGCAGAGAAAATAGAACGCGCAATCACAGAGTATAATCCGAAATATGTCCAAACACAAGAGATGTCGACGCCAGGTCATGCTTTGTGCTGAGTTGACACCAGCCTTCCGAGTCTTCTTAGAGACCATAGGCCTGAGTGATCCAGTCGGAGATGAACAAGATGAAGAAATGTGAGAAATTGTTTTAAGACAAGTGTGCTGTACTTTTTTTTGCCCTGCCTCGACTTGCCAAAAAGCAGTGTCTGCTTCAAATGCAAGCGTTGCACCACGCCAAACGTGTCGCTGGGTATTACACCACTAGGTCGTGAGAACGCGTCTCAAGAGAGCAACGTCATCAGATCTCCCTAATCAAGGAGGAATTATTTGCTCTTTCAAACCCGGGATTGGTCTCCAAGGTTAAGCCAGCTCATATCAGACGTTGACGCCATAGCGAGTTGCGGCTGCCTGCTGACTCCCGAAGGAGGCTGCACAGCCGGAGGATCACCAGGAGCTTCCGATGTCATATATGAGCTAGGTCCATATGCACTGCTCGGAGCACGATTGGCCCCCCATGGTTTACTAGCTTCCATGGGATCCCATATCTCATTAATACTCTCCGGAATGCCACTGGAGTACCCTGAGGATACTGGCGACACAGGTCGCTCAATCGTTCCAGACATACCCTCAGTGAAAGGCATTTGGCTGACATACTGTGCAACTACTGGACTGCCAGAGTTAACACTGTTTACAGCTGGTCGCCCTTCGAAGTTCAGCGGCGGAACCGTTGCCGAGTCTTGCGTGGCGCGAGGGTTCTTGGTAACATCCGAGTACCGAGAGCTTTGTTCGGAAGTCATGGTGTTCCTCTTGCCGCTGCCAAACCCAAGGATTTGTAAGGCACTGCCACCAGACCAATATCGATTCCAACCAGAGCTTCGACGTGTACCATCATTGGCTTCCATCCGACCATTTCGAGGACGAGGTTCTGCCACAGAAGGATCAAATGCTACACCACGCTCCTCATAAATTTGCAGAGATGGATGTACCATGTTCTGAGGAATAGGTTTGCTGATTTTACTCTTAAGTTGTTTATGCAAGGAGCTCACAGAGCTACGTGCCGTGTCGTTGCTTGGCTTCCTGCTCAGTCCAGATTTCTCCTTATTCATTCGGCCCATGAGAATAGCAACAGAGGAATAGGATTCAGCCGATGCTTGTGGCCGGTGTCCCTTGAAATGGGGAGGTGGGGACAATGGGCTCTTGTTAAAAGCGAACATGTCCTTCTCTTCAGATGGAGTGTGGCTCGGTCTCCCCGTTTCCGTGTGGTCAAGCTGTTTCCTGCGACGCCGAAGCAAAAACAGGATAAGACCTAGAAGCGCAAGGAAACCCGCAATAGAGCCCAGCGTAATACCAAGAATAGCATTTGAGCTAGGACCCGAATCCTCCGGCGTGTCGGATACCGGGGGCAAAGCTGCTGCTGTGGTAGAGGTCGCAGCAGCGACAGAACTTGATGAAGTTGATGTGAATAATGTAGAGGTCGAGGTTGCTGAAGACGTGGTAGAAGTGCTCGAGAGAACCTTCTGTGTGCTGTCAAAGAAGGTAGTGGCATTGATCCAACCGTTATTCGCCGTATCAAATAATGCGATGGAATCTTTGGGGTTGCCTCCGGAAAAGACAACCATACCATTAGGGCCTCGTGCCATTGCATAGTTTTCCCTCGTTTCCTTTGGCGCCAAAGAAGAGTTGTACTTTGGCCAATTAGCCAAAGTCAGATCGCGCTTGTCCCTGTCGACATCGCGAGAGGTTATGACAGGTGAGTTAGTCAAGGACTTTCCATTGCCATCCAGTATAACCACACGAGAGACCTGGTTTGGTGATTGGCTTAGATCAAACAATATCAAGTTCTTCGACCCATCCTCTCCTGAGACGACTGTTCCCTGTATTGAGCTGGTATCCTTCTTGATAGGCTCAGCTAGACTACAGTCAGTATATCGCCAATTGCCTCCCACGCTAAACCAGTACACCTTTGTATTGTCAGGATTGTCACCGCCTCCTACCAGAATCACGTCTGCATCGGTTGCCGAGGCGAGAATCGGGCGCAAGCTGGCTGGGGGCTGATTAGACGGCACTGCCGGAGGAGGAGGTATGGTGACAGTATAAGGCTCTGAAGCCTGTATTATAAATGTGTCTGCCGACGGGCCACTCTTTCCATCTTGGTTCCCACCAAATACCAGAATTGTGTCGGTTGCTTCGATGTAGGTTGACGAATGCCATTGCCGGTGCTTTGTGACCATATTGGTAGGTTGAACCGTGGACCATTTTCCAGTCGAATATGTAAACTTTTGTAAACCAGGATAGTCCTCGGAGTCTGCCTGGCCACCAACCACGAAGAAAGCTGGATCAATGTTTTTCGGTCTGGCGCTGCCGACGCAACTTGCACCCGTGACTTTCACGCCAGAGTCAAGAATATTCCACTTCGCGCCATCCTCAAGGCGAATTGACACGAAACCTTCAGGTGAATAGGAGTAAAGCGTGCCATTGTAAACGACAGTGCACGAATTGTCTAAGGACTTGGAAGGTTCAGGGGCAGGCATGTTTGCAATGTTCCTTGAAGGCAGAGGGAGCTCGCAAGAATGGGCAAATTGCCTAGTGCCAAATCACACGATGTTAATTTCTCACTTGAACTTGTTCATAACATGACGACAGTGAAGCCAGCACAATCAATTGGCTTGATATCCACAAATAATATGTGCGAGAAGCCTGCTCTGCGGTTGGCAGTTCGAACCAGGGCGGGTATGAGAAGAGACGGATTACGGCGTTTCAAAGCCCGAGTTATGGTGCAAACGGGGGATTTGCAACGGCTGCGGTTGCTCTCGAAAAATTCGGCCTCATGCAGCGAGAACACGAGCAGAGCAGGAAAATACGGAGCGTAAGGCACTGGTGATTCGAATTATTCCGGTTGAGAGTCGACGCGAGTTTCAGTTGGTTCGAGTCCCCCAAAACGGTATTCCTTGTCGTGTTGCGTCGTCTAGACGTCGATATTGCCAGCAAATTCCAAAATTCGTCGAGTGCATATGAAAAAAAAAATGTGAAAGGATGAGCAGCTCGATTTCAGGCAGAGGTCGGAAACGCCTGAAACCTCCAAGGCGATGTGGAAAAGAAGCAAGCGCAGGGCTGCTGTTCGACGGCACACGGAAGAAACTATAAAGACAAGGCGAAGTTCAAGGTAGGGCAGCAACAAGACCAGCTGCAAGGCGTTTGGAGAAAAGAACGGAAAGGAACTCCAGGAAGAGGAGAGAGTGTGAGGGTGGGAAGATGAAGGTCGACAGGATCAGGAGATGGAACATGGGATGGGCAAATAGAATGGGACAGGTTGGGACGTGGGGGGAGGGCGAGGAAATCAGACCAGACCAGACCAGAACATGGCCAGGAACGAACCAGACAGCCAGGAGAGGAACTGCTCCTACTGGGTAGGTCAACGGTGCGATGCTGCAACTCAACTGGCACTTGAGCACCAGTTGAGACCAGATTGGCCCGGCCTGGCAGCCAGAAAGAGGTCTGGTGCTCCGTACAGGCACAAGTAGTACGTACTTCCGTACCGCGTACTGGTACTGGCACTGGTACTGGTACTGGTACTGGTACTACGGCCCAGGTGGTGCAGGTGCCGGTGCAGGTACGGGCACAGGCACCAGGGGCACACAGACCAGGGCCACATGCACAAGCTTCAAGAGTTGACCAGGGGCACCTGCGCGAGCACCGGCGATGCTACCCAGTTGCACGTTGACGTACTGGCCAGTTGACCGGGTTCAATGCTGCCGGCGCTGGGTCCACCGGAGAGCGCCCACACAGCGTCCACAACGGCGCCCGGGCTCTTCGATAGCTGGCACCGGGGGGTCGAGTCAACATTGAACGATTGACGACTGGCCCTGCCTGGCCTTGGCCCTGGCCCTTGCACATCCAGAATTGATCCCATCATCACCTCACAGAGTGCATTGACTGACCGTCGCCGCCGGTTTGCTCCCTCACCAATTGGCCGGACCGCCTTTGTTACACCAGTACTCCGTACACGGGCACACAGTCTCCGTAGCACTGGACAATCACGGCATCAAACACACGGGACGAGACATGCCGTCCACGAACTCGCAGTCCACCAGACCCGTAAGTAGCAGTATTTCCATATTGGACGGCACGACGAATGAGATGCATTGACGCACTGTCCAGAACCAGCCAGTCTACCTCGAAACAATGACAGCGAAACCCCAGATAGGAGCTGCAGTAGTATTGCTATCACAGTGCTCTCTCTAGGGAGTACTCTCTCTGTATGTACGGAGTATGTATTGCGACTCGGTGGCCTCCCTTCAGTCCCAAAGCAAGGGCCACCAGCGAACTTGTTGGCCCTGTCGCGCAAAAATACAATAACAGAAGGGAGAGGAGACATCTCTGTCTGGGCACAAAGTGGTTGACCAAACCAACGCCCTCGTCCTCGCAGCACGCTCACCCGTCGCCCAACAGACAAGACAATCCGTCGCCCCTCTCCAGCCTTCCGCCCTCTCTTCACCACTGACGACTTGTCATCCTCTTGACCAAGGCGGTATTGGGGCTGGAGGAACCTCATCCAGGTGAGGCCAATCAACACGCGTGTGCAAAGTTCCATTATGGGCGCAACCCACCGCCAAGCCTCCAGCGGTGCAAGTCCCACATCGCGACACGGTACCCAGCATTCCGGTAGCTTCATCGAACAATGGAATCGTATTCTTTTGGCTCTCGATACATGCCTGCCTTGATCGACCTCTATGGGTGTTGGACCTGCGGGTGGCTTACTATGGTGGCTGGATATCACTGTCCCTGCCTGTCCCCCCCGTCCAATCACCGCCACTTGCTACAAGTTGGCTGGGAATCGGGAAAAGGGGTTCAGACATTCACACCACTTGGCCTATCACCATGCGCAGGCAGCTCTCCAGGCCACGAGAGGTTGGTTGGGCTTTTGAGCTGCAGGGAAGCGTTATGATGCAGGGCTGCTTCGCTCAATCGTCTGCAGGATGACAACGTCGAGCTACGAAGTAGATGGCTGGACGGAAGGAAGCACCACAAAAAATCATGATCAATATTCGAGACACAACTGGGTATCGTATGTACCTCGACGGAGTCTTCGCAGTCATACCTACCCGGACGCCGGAGTATTTTGTCGAACTAAAAAAATTCCACCGCCTAGCTGAGTGTGTTACGAACAAAGCAAACATTATCCCATGTCTCTCCAGAGCTCTTACTCACCGCATCTACATACACACATGGTACTCAGTGTCCAACGTCCACTGGAACATGAGCCATTCAGCCGACACGTCGGCATGCTCCATTGGCTTTGTTTTTTGTTTTTTTTTTTTTTTTTTTTTTTTTTTTTTTCGTCTTGCGAATTCTTTGCTTTTCTACGGAGCACTACTCTTCCAACGAAACTCTTGATGGTGTATTTGAACGCTTACCCCACAGGGCACGATATTCAAATCCCATCTTAATGAACACGTCTTGTCTTACTCCATACTGCAAAAATGCATACTAACGTTGTGCGCTAGGCCTATTCGACCTGTCCGTCTCTCTAGTACGGTTGACTAGTGGTTTCTGGGCGCCTCGACTGCCTAGGTGGTAATGAACAACTCTAAAGCAGTACTGCAAATACCATTCTCAAATCGTCAACTCCGTGTGTATACATATCAATCGTGGGCCCTTCATTAAAAGATAAAGTCGAAAGGTGGCGTAACATGGTATTAGTTCTACGTGGGAGAAATTAGCATATTTCAAGGCAGTGCGGCCACACTCCCAAAGCTGCCATGGCACAATCGGCCATCCCTGGCCAATATTGGCCAATATAAGGAGTGCAGTTGGTCTTGGGCATGAATATGGCACTGGGCGTCGGTGGTCAACGTGGCAATCGACGGAGTAGCTGGCATGAATATCAAGACATCTCGACGTGTCGAAATGACATGCAATGAAGACGCGACGAGAAAAAGATGTCAAATACAGCAGCATGCAGTATGCCACAGACAACTTCTGAGAACAACAGCAAAATATCCACAACTGGAAAGGAAGAAAAAGCACTACAAAAAAGGAACAGCAACGCGGCTGCAGTACCCCGCACGCTACGGGGTACTCCGTAGTCCTGGTTCAAAACGATGCTTCCATGGAAAGAAAGAGGGGGATTAATTCCATGCTTGGTAAAGTATTTATACAGATTTACAATACATACGGTCCCTGGTCCCAACAAGCTCCCGACCCCCGTATGTACTTAAGTATGTGTCCTGCAGAAAACTTGTAGTACTAGTACACACCTTGACAGTGCATTTTGGAACAGGGCATCCAGATGTCGGGACGATCAGTCTTCCTGCGCAATACATATTTTTATTGCGGTGAGGTGCAGCTTTTGATCTACTCCGGAGCACCTTTGTCAAGTATTTTTACCCGTACATATTTTGGCTAAAAAGCGCTATTAATTAACATGTCAAGTACTATGAATAATACGTTTATCATGATGATAATTAGGTCGGCACACATGTACGGAGTACCTGCTTATTTATTAGATTGATGTTGGCCCAGATTATGACGGTGCGGAGTGTCGTCATGGCAGACATTGACACAAGAAATGACATCAGGAGCTTTCTGGCAAAGCAACTTGACTTCCGAGCAGCGACGTTCTGGAATCAAAGACACCCGATGATCATCAGCCAACCAGCGTTTGGACTGGCTCGGCTTCAAGCAGGGATATCGCGACGATGGATCGAGCCTCCCCCCGGTCTGGCGTCCTGTACACGCACACAGGCTGAAACACGCTAACCGGCCATGGACCGCCTGGGGTCAAGGCCCATGCCATTTTCATCACCACATGTGCACATGCAGACATTGGTCTGTTCTCTGTGCTTGCATGCCCTGAAGTACGGAGTACTATGTACATGTACCAGTACTGCGTCCGTACATTGCGCAGCTTACTTAAGTACTTAGGTTGAAGCTTGGGAGTGTGTCAACTCGGATGCACGATATAATCCGCTGCCATGTAATAGCACGCACTGCCTGTCTGCTAATAGTACGTATGCTTTGAAGCTGTGCTGTGCATACACATGTACCCCGTACGGTACAGCAGGCAATACGTGGTCGGAAACTGCCATGACCACGTCCGACTTGACGTGATGTGATGCCACGCGTGCAAGCCGCAGCGGTGGTGGCGATGGGGGCCACGACATCCCACATGGCTCTGGGCTGTCATGTGTGGCATCAACTGACAAAGACAAAAGCTTGGCCTGAAATAAATAGCACTTCATACTCCGTATCCGAGTAACCGAGCACTCCGTCGAGTGCGAATTATAGCTCTTGAGCTATGTATATACGTATTGTACGGAGCAGAGCAATGCAGGTGGGCACGAAACGGGTCTCTTCGTGTTTCCGGTTCCTCTTGAGTCCGGTTCGCTTGGGATATGAGGCCAGCAGAGATGAGCAGGGGCTTCAAGCACAGCTGGTAACCAGACATTGTCAGATGAAAGACGGCTCTATCTGCGTGGTGCAATCGGACGGACTGTATTTCCCTAAAGTAGGCAAGTCGTCTCTTGCAATGGCTGATATTTTTTTAATGGCACGGCGAAAAAGTCACAGAAGTCGCAACCCAAGCCACGCCGCAGCAGCAGCACGAATTGATGCTAGCGGCTTGCCAGAGGACCGGGGAACCTGGCCCAGGACATGTGGAATATCGGTACGGAGTTGTAGCCGACGAGGGTCCATCAATGGCCTGCTTCAGGTGCTTATGATGTCTGGTACTGGTTGTACTACTTGACTCAACTTGCGTCCGCCTGTTCCATGTCCCCATTCCCGAGATCGTCCTGTCGTCTGGTCATGTTCCTTGAAGAGGTCGTCTGAAGATGCTAGCGCGTGGCAGCCTTGGCCACCATGGAATTAAACAAAAAAAAAAAGGCTTGGTCTACGGAGTATTTCTGTTTGATATATTTTTTTTCTTGTGTTCATTCTCTTGCCGGCATCGACTATTTCCGTTTCCTTGCAGGTGCAGTTGGGCTCCTAACCCTGCTGATCAACATTGAGACTTCTTTTTGTCCATCTTGGAACGGCTAGTGCCCACCATGCATGCATCGCGCACGTTTCTTTGGGAACGAGCAACCCAAAAGTCAAAGACGATGATGCGGCACACATGTCCTGTTGCAGAATTTGCATCGTAACCACGGGGTTAACCCACCGACGATCCAAAGAGCTCGGGGATGTGGGTTATTGTACGGAGTAGTAGTAGTACTATCCCAATTCATGCGTCCATGGCAACGTGCCTCATGTGGGTTTGGCCCAGAAAGTCAGAAATACTTGACGCTTTCAAACAAAACCATCCCCGGGACCGCCAACGCAACTACAACGTAGTCTTGTAACTTGTCAATAACTTTGGTGAGCGTCAGGGTACCGGGTATTTGAGAGCCACGTGCGAGGTACCTCTGTACGGAGTACGTACCAGGCTCTTCATGGCGAGAACCCACCCCGGCCCATGGGTCCGGTGCCCATTTGATCCCAGGTCATCGCCCAATACCAGCAGCCACCGCGACGCAGATTCAGGTCACGCTTCTCCATGGACCCTTTTTGCAGCTACGTATATAAAGTTCTGCTAACCCAAACTGTACTTCATTTACACTTCGTTGTCACAGGTAGAGTCCCTCCTAGGTAAGTACTTAAGTACTTAGGTAGGCACACATATGCACCCAAGCGGTTCTGCCTCTGGCGGACAAGAACCGTTACCAAGACCAAAAACAACAGGCTCATACTTTCTTTCTTTCTTTTTTAAAACACAAAGGTCCTAGTCTACTCCGCAGTCTAGCTGAAAAGAAAAGAAAAAGGGCCACCCAGGTGAATCATTGAATCACACCACCCACATCAAGGGAGACTCTCAACTTCGCCCTGCGTGTCCCTCGCCAGCTCAGAAGCGCACGAGCGGTATCATCGTAGCCACCAGTGACAGTGACCCTACCCAAAAAAAAAAAAAAAGAACCAGCAGCAGCACGCCCTCCTACCATGGCCAGCAAGAAGAGCCCAACCACAAAGTGACGCATCAATGTGTCCCGTTACATCACCCACCCTACAGCACCGAGACTACGCGCGCGGTTCATCACCACCCTAGCACCTACCATGATGCCATGCACAGCGCTGATTGGCTGCCCCCTCGTGAAGCCAACTCGCAGACTACCGTGAAGGTGCTTATCGTGGGTGGCAAGGTGGTTCTAATCCCAAGCAACACATCGTGGTTGGAGGCAGACGCACAGATGTCACACGTTGTCGTTGGCGCCCATGACAAAAAAGGTCCGGTGTGCTCGACCTTTTTTTTTTTGAAGGGGGGAGGGGGGGAGAGACCCGTGGGTACTCCGCACACGAGAGTTGTGCATAACTACATGTGCCGAGGAGTCAATTTCACCACCACCTCGGGTGCTAGGTAGTGACGTGCCATACACGGGTCGATGTCAGTTGATGATTTGGTCATGGTGTCCTTTGTTCCTGTTTATTCTGCCCAATTCCATTCTACACTACGGTTGGTGACGCCTTCCCGCTTCAGTGCTACCCTACACCGGTGCCTCCCAACTGAAACCATCATTTCCAATCTGCATTTTGCGTCGCATCAGGTCTTGTGGCATATAACTAAATCACCCCCCTAGCGTGTGTAACTTCACTGCAACATCTCCAATCTGCCGGTGACTTCATTGACCGTCAAGCGTATCCATTGAACCTTTCTGACGAGCGACCAAAAATCTATTCATACATTGATTCCGACACCAGCACAGAAAGAAAAAAAAGCCAGTTTCAAGCCTGTTAGCCCGCCCGAACTCCTCAAAGAAAACATGATATCAAATAAACCCAATAGTCCTCCCTTCTCCTTTGTTTCGCCGCTCAATGACGCCAAGTAATGCACTCGTGCTTCCTCACTCCTGATAGCACCTAATTCGACGCGAACTGGTCGCAGGTCTTCTTTGTGATATATGGTGTTTGTAATGGTACCTGTCCCACACTATTTTACTGAGGTGGTACAGCGAATGCCTCTGATGGCAGTCCCGCCTGCAAAAACAGTTAGACTCTGTACAAGTGTGTCAGGGTACAATAGCACATACCTTTTTCTCGTTGAATATCACCAATGCCTTATCAAATTCCCACCCAACCTGGGCCAGACACATTTCCGAATACTGCGGTACCATGCCAGTTTGTTTGCATAGTTCAGCAACCATGGCCTGATGTTGGCTGTTGGTGTCGGTGTTGTGACTGCCATCAACAGGAGCCTGATTCGGCGCAAGAAAGACGTTTGGTAGCGCATTGAACGCTCTGAGGGCAAGCATATCACTGACGACTCGAATAGGCTCCTTGCCAGGCCGACCAGGTCCCAGAACAAAGGTACGTGAAAAGCTTCGCTTCCCAACAACGTTCGTCTTCTCGTCGTATTCTTCAAACTCTCCATGTACCGTTACGATCAAGCCATCCACGCCCATTGGGTTTTGGCCTGCAGGGTCAGCAAGACCGGGTAGTGGGTGGCAGTCCATGATCCATTTACTCAGGTCGTCCTTGATGTTGGGATGTTTCGTTGGTGGGAGACCTTTCCACAATTCGTAGATGACGTTGGCACCCTTGAAAAGTCGTTGAACTCTGGCATTTTGATGTGTAATCTTCATCAGGTTTCGAGACACCCTGATGTATGAAGCCCATCCCATCGGAGCGGGGGCGTCCTTGTCCCTAACGGACTGTGTGTCAATGGCCAACGAAAATTGGCTCTGATCATCGTACAGTCTAGACGCCAAGCCTTGTCGGTCATTGTCGTAGGCAGCGAAGAATGCCAAGAGAAAGTTCTCGCCAATGCCGTTCACATCGCGGAAGTCTGGGCCACTCTGTGGGATAGGCTTTGGCCTTGATGCAGCTTCTTGTTCAGCGATTTGCTCGGCGGTGCGGACCCGCACACCGTTGATATCCTGCAGTTTTGGGAACCACTGCAACAGTGTTGTTTTGTAGCTCGGATCGGTAGTATCGATAGGATTGCCTGTCATGTAGAGTGTTTCTAGTGACTTGAATTTGCCTTTCCACCTTTCCAGGGCCGCCACGTTGGCGATCTGATTTCCACTCATGTCCAGGTGCTTCAAGTGAGGGAACGTTGTTGCTACCGTTTCAACCTCAGCAACGTCATTGATATTGTTGTTGGCAAGACTGATGCTCTCAATAGCTTCCTTCTTCTCCTCCTCCGTCTTAAAAAGCTCATCACAAATGACCATAAGACCCTTGAATGACCTTAATGCAAGATCTGGGTTCTCAAACATGCCCATTGTGACGAGTGCGGCATCAGAAGCAAGTGCATCAAGTTTCAGTAATTTGTTTGCGCCGCCAATATACCGCTGACTCAAAATGGACTGAAACTTGGCTGCAAGTTCTTGGCCCTCTTTGGATCTTGTTCCTTTACTTTGGCCTGCCAAATCCTCGGTTGATTCGACAATTTCCAGTTGTGCGCCGGCGAATGTGAAAGTGTTGAGTTTAAGGATCTCATCCGCGTCCTCCTTCGCAGCACCGATAAAGACATAATCTCCAACCATGTGAGACTGTTTGTTGTTAGCGAGTAACTATAAAACTGAATATTTCACAACCGGGGCCGGATTAAACATGTCTTCGTCTGAGCAATGTGTCTCAACGAAAATAGTCGTGTCGAAGCCGTCAGTGCGCAAGCATTGCGACTTCTCCCTAGACGATGGCGCCCTGCATCTTGCTTTCATGGCCGACATACCTTTTTTATCATGATTTGTCGTGTTTGATTTCCCGTGAATGAGGACGCTTTTCTCTCCAAGAAGATGAGTAGATCACTAAGTCCGCCGTCCTGGTTGTTTGCTGCTTTGCTCTGTTTTAATCCATGCACGCGGAGGAAGTGCAAGTCGACTCCCTTGCCCCTCGATCGGGTGACCCGCCCTGAGCTGGCTGCAGGAAGTCTGGAGTTTTTCCCTTGTACATGCTTCAAAACTGCTTGAGCTGTTGCCGAGGTGCCTCGAAGGGACTTCCCTGGGGCGGCTTTCGCTGTTTTTGCTTTTGGACCCTTCGTTTCGGTTCCCATAGCTCTTGCAGCTTGTTTACCAACGGCGTCCATGTCAAGATCGCCATCCACGTCGGTCCTTGTTACACCAGCCCTCCTCTTTTGAATGCCCCCCTTAGTTGTAGCCTTCGCTCTGGGTGTAGCACCACGATTTGCTCGCTGGGCGGCATCTGCTCGAGGACCTCGGGGAGCCATATTGAAGAGTCGTCCAGAGGGCGAAGTGAGGGAACAAGTGATAGAATTCAGCGCTGAAGACTTGTTGTTACTTTGAAAAGCAGCTGGTGAAGTGGCTGTTGTGATTTCGTCTCGGTCACCTCGGGAAAGGTGAACACGCGATTCGACAGCCGGGAGGCTGGATGTTTATAGTTGTTGTTTATGTGTTTGTGGCTAAGGTTTCTTTAATGGCTGTGTAAGCAGTTCCGTTCGAAGTATCGAATAGCCACCGATGAAACGGAAAGTTATCGATGGGTAGAAGAAAGGGAGCCAAACAAAGAAAGCAGTGCTTCAAAGACAGACGAGATGGCGCACATTAAACCAAGCAGTGATGTGGGAGAAGTTGCTCGAGTGGCCGAGCGTGTCGCCAGCTACAATGAGCGCTTATAAACCGAGCTACCGGCCTGCAAGTCAACGCTGTGTCACTCAAAACATGAACTGAACTTGCGCTGGGTGTTGCGAGCGACTGGTCACTCGGTGTGAAGAGACGATGTTATGAAGAGAAGAAATGGACAAGCTTCGCACATGGGTCCGCGTGAAAGCCTGGTGACCGACGTCCATTCAGGACCCACTTTTCTGTGTCAAAGAGACCAGGCATCCCAGGCACCAGCCCCAGTCAACGTGATGTTCGGAGTACGCCGTGAATGAGCAGTTTATGATACTTGTTTTGATGTTTAGACAATGAGGCCGGTGCGTGGCTGAACGTGAATGCCTTATATGAGCGTTGAATTAAAGAATAGAACCTGTTCGAGGTTGTCTATTATTTGATATGTAGTAACCTTGAACCGTGTGGATAAGGCGACCACTTTTTTTTTAAGACGACTAATGACATCACGTGATACGGTTCTCATTTCGCGTGTCAACCTGTGCAGCAATGTTAAGACGCGTACATGGCCAAGCCGGCGCTTGACGTGACAACCACCGACTCACGCGAGCTGGATGCATAGCAACTTCTGTATGGTGGGTTTCAGTTAAAATGCACTCCATACAGAGGTATTAAAGAGGTGCCCAAAAGTTCAACAGTGGCCTGATTGGTCGGTCCCCTCAAACATGGATGATGATGAGTTTGGGGAGGATTTTGTCGACGAGGATTTCCTTGAGGCATTGGATCAGGTATCTTCATCCAATAGGGCCCGGCCTATCTCACAGCCGTCATCAAATGAGGCGCAGTTTGAAAATAAGACCTGGACGAAATCGAATCCTCTGGCAGCTGCGGCACAAGAGCTCGAAGATTTACCTTTAGATGCTTTCTCCTCACCCGAGCCAGAAACATCGACTTCCGTGGCGGCAGCTCCAACATCTCGGAAAGCGTCAAATGGACCTAGAGTGCAAAATGGTCTGACTAGGACTGCGTCGGGAAACTTTCGGCAAACGACGTTGTGGGGGACGGAGGTTCGTGAAGATGCGCCTTTCCGTACCCAAGCTCCCATACAGAGAGTTTTTCGAGCAGACGTGCCTCACGAGGAGCCGAGTCATCACGAATTAGACAGGAAGGAAATGGAAACGTGGGTCTACCCAACAAATCTTGGCGCGATTCGAGATTACCAGTTCAGCATTGTTAAGAACAGCCTGTTTAACAATACCCTCGTCGCTTTGCCTACGGGCCTGGGCAAAACATTCATTGCCGCAACAGTCATGCTCAACTTTTATCGATGGACAAAATCAGCCAAGATCGTTTTTGTGGCCCCTACAAAGCCTCTGGCCGCCCAACAAATAGACGCCTGCTACAATATCGTTGGCATCCCGCGATCACATACGACCTTGTTGACGGGAGATATTCAGCCAGCTCTTAGAGCCGATGAGTGGGAAAAGAGGCGCGTATTTTTTATGACACCACAAACGCTGCTTAATGATCTCTCCCATGGGTATGCGGAGCCTAAAAGCATCGCCCTTCTTGTGATTGACGAGGCGCATCGTGCTGTTGGCGAATACGCATATGCAAAAGTTACAAAACTTATAAGAAGATTCTCAAAGAGCTTCCGAGTTTTGGCTTTGACCGCAACGCCAGGCTCAAAAATTGAAACGGTCCAAGAAGTTATTGACAATCTGGGCATTTCACACTGCGAAATCAGAACAGAAGAGTCAATTGACATTAGGCAGTATGTCCACGAAAGAAATATCGAGAAAATGGTTCTTGACCCATCGGATGAGATGAATCTTGTTAGCGAGCTGTTCACAGAAGCACTGAAACCGCTTGTCGACAAACTTGGCTCCCAGAATATTTATTATGGTCGAAACCCAATGGCAATGTCTACGTATGGGTTGATGCAGGTTCAGAAAGAATGGTTCGCAACTCGAGGCCGGCATGCAAATCAGGGCGTCCAGTTCATGATGCGGGCAATCTTTAGTGTGCTGACTAGTCTGGCACACTCGATAAAACTACTCAATTTTCACGGAATCAAGCCATTTTATGATAATATGAAAGACTTTAGAAGCGAGCAGGAAGGAAAGGGCGAAAAAGGATCGAAATACAAACGGCAACTCATCGAGCACTCCAGTTTTCAAAAAATGATGGACCATATCTCGCGATGGCTGAGAACAGATGGCTTTGTTGGCCATCCCAAACTTGCGGCGTTGGTAGACTGCGTTCTGAACCATTTCATGGACCAAGGGGAAGGCTCGACTACTCGAGTGATCGTATTCAGCGAGTATCGGGATTCAGCAGAAGATATAGTGTGCCAACTCAATAAGCACCAGCCGCTTCTCAAGGCTAGCGTCTTTGTGGGACAAGCGGACGGAAAGCGAGGAGAAGGAATGAAACAAGCACAACAGATCCAGACTATTGAAAAGTTCAGAAAGGGCGAATTCAACGTACTAGTGGCTACCTCCATCGGTGAAGAAGGACTGGACATTGGCCAAGTCGACCTTATTGTTTGTTACGACTCGTCCGCTTCGCCAATTCGGATGTTGCAGAGAATGGGCCGAACTGGACGAAAGAGGGCAGGGAATATTGTTCTGCTGCTAATGAGAGGAAAAGAGGAAGATCAATTTGCCAAATCCAAGGACAGCTACGAGAGTATGCAAAAACTCATATGTGAAGGAAGCCGATTCAACTTTCGATTTGACCTATCAACGAGGATCGTTCCCCGAGAAATTAGACCAGAGGTGGAAAAGAAGTTTGTGGAGATACCTGTTGAGAACACGCAGGACCCATCTCTACCAGAGCCAAAGAAACGTCGCCCTGCTGCCGGGAAGAAGAAACCACCCAAAAAGTTTCACATGCCTGATGGGGTAGAGACTGGATTTCAGAAATTGTCGTATTATATGAAAAGTGGCCCAAAGCCAGAACAATCGAAACCCAAACAGAACCCCGAATTAAATGACCTGGAGAGCATTCCGGATTTGAGTAGTGTGGCTCTGACCGAGGAGGAGCTTAAGGAGCTCGACAGATCTTACCGCGACCTACCTTTCAATCATAGTGTGGTTGAGGAAACAGACATGCCTAGTATGACCGCATATCCCCTTTTTCAGAGGCAGTTGCGGCCAGTGGCAAACCTGAAACATGGCACTTGCACTCGACGCTTTGTTAAGCTCTTGGCAAAGATGGGCACTGAGCCCGAGAGCCTGGTCAGACAATGTCGGTCGACGGACACTAGCCACTTTAAAGATATAACGGTGAGAGCTTTCATTGCATCTGACGGAGAACCAGATGTGGATGATACCTCTGATTCAGGAACAAAGAAGCGGTCGACTCGTCAGCGGTCTATGGAGGCGGACAATGAAGAATCACAGCCTCCAAGAGGCAAGAGGAAGAAGATTTCGACAACTTCTATCGCTGGATTATCGGAACTAGAAGATGATTCAGAGACCCCAGGAATGAATAGCAGGGCTCGCAAGAGGACCAAGAAACCAAAGAGTAAACGAAAGGGAAGAAAAACGAAACAAAGAACCGGCATCAATAGCGATGAGCTTGGTGACGATTGTGAGCGGGATAGTGATCTGATAGAAAATGGCGGATCAGATGATGGCGCGGACCTTTTGGACTTTGTTGTGGCAGACAATCAAGGGACATCGAGCATGGTCGGATCGCAGGTTACATCACCAACGACAGCGTCAGCACAAAGTACGCCCAAGGCAGAATCAAAACAACCGTTTTACGTTCCTACACGCTTTTCAGCAACACAGGAAAGCGACGACATGCCCGACGTCGACACGCTAGTTAAGAGAAAAACATTTCAGAAAGTTATTTCGATGGACGCATCAGATTCAGATCTTGAGGATCTGGCTGCAAAACGTCCTGCTCGTGGCAGACGACAGGTATTCGACAGTGACAGTGATGCATAAGGTTCAAAATGCACTTTATTTTGGTAGCACTAACGTCAAGACACGATTTGGTGAACAAGAGATTGGGCGAAATGGAAAAGTGTATTATTGCTGGGCTATATAATGATTGCATGAGTTGCGCAGCGCAACATAAAATTATAGCGTTCGAACTTAATTGCCGCCCGCTCGAGATGTCGTAGTATGGAACCTTTCAAAGCCATGTCAGCACTCAATCCTCTGAACACGTCTCAGACAAAGCTTGTGTCAAAAAATAAACAGGTGAAACTTTTTTTTTGAGAAAAAAAGAAGAATAAAAGAACACACAACAATCTCTTCAGAAACCCATTGTATAAGCACCACTCCCCCCACCGCACCAACCTGCCCAACGACGAGGATCCTCACTCCCCCGGCACCCTGCTCAATACATATGGCGATGTATAAAAAGACAGAGACGCTAGTTTGAAAATAGCAGCGGGATCAAAACTCATCGGCAGGAAAATTCAAGTTGGTGTTATAGCCAAGGGGTTGTACCCGAGGGGTGTCTCAGACGGCTCTTCCTATTATTATGGAGGGTTTGAAAGCAAATAATTCATCATTGAGATTGACTGTTTGACATGTGCTGGCAGGGCGGTTTTGCGTGCAAGGGTATGTGTACTTACCGATTCCTGATGCAGTTGTTAGAGAGGAAAGGAATCAAAGAAGACAAAGTCAGGTTGAGAAAAACACGGACAGCTTTTTGGTGGTAGTTCGTGTGGGGCTAGTGTTCAAAAAGGTGGAGACTGTTCACTGCATCACAGGTGGCCAATGAAAGGGGGGCATCTCTATGGCCCGCCTTTGACGTAAGGCCATGGACAATCGTGCAGCTGAAGCTCGGCTTGTGCAGCGGTGCTAGTACATATTAACAGGTACCTGGTGGCCTCACTCGCCCCAGCTCCAACGACTCCTCACTCCTTCTCCAACAGACCCCTCTTGGCCGCTCCGACGCATCACCAGTTTCGTCTCGGTTGCCGGAATTTCGTTGCTGCCACTGTATCGAGCCCTTGACCGACTTGAGAAATATCAACCGACACAAACGAGGATCATGGTCTGCGCTGGCGCAAAGGCCGTCTCGGCCCTCAAGTTCGTGGGCACTTTTTCGTTGGGGTTGCTGACGGTATGTTTGCCTGTTCTTGTACTTACTTGATCAGCCATTCGGAATGGCGGTGATATGTGCTCGAGGCGCAGCCTACGATGTTTTTGCTCTGGGTAGTAGCAGATGTTGAAACTTGCGGCGAGCACACAGCATCGCCATCTCGGCTTCAATGACGCACAGGGCCTCGGCTTACACCCAGAACCATCTCTAACACATCACAGGGCGTATCGTACACCGTCTCCAACATCACTCTCCCTGCGCTCCTGCGCCTCCCATCATCAGCATCCGCCTCGCAGGCCATCGCCTCCCTTGCCACGAGTTTGCAGACGCCACTCCTGACACTTACATCGCTTGCTTCGGCACCCCTCTTCCTCGCCTTCATTCTCTCGCCTCGCCGGGCTCGCCACCCGTACCTTCTGTATACGTCCGTCCTCGCGGTTGTTTCGACCGTTATCCCGCGTCTTCTCCCACAACCTGCTTCTCGTCCTGCTCAGCGCCAGCAGCCTAGGAAGTCATCCCCGCGCGCTAGAATGGAAGCCAGCTATGAAGTCCTAGGCGACGTTCACAGCGAACCGGCAAGTGAGGAGGACATCGAGGATATCAACGGGGAAGAAGTGAGAGTTGAGGTTGAGAGACTTGCCAGGGGCTACTTTGCGCGTACTGGTTTGGCTGCGCTTGCATTTGCCATGGCTGTGGTTGGACTTTGGGGCGATGGAGCTCCCAAAGCTACTGTTTATGTGGCGTGAGCAGTACATGAGTGGAGGAGTTGGAGTGTTTTTTTTCCCAAGAAAGTGTATGCAAATATATATGGGGCTCAATTTTGGTAATAGTCACGGATTTGACGTTTTGGAGTTCGAGGAAGTGTATTTGGAATCTAATCATCATGGAGCTTCTCCCATCCGCAATAAAACATCATGTTAATGGCCAAGCACTATAAAGGAGATAGTAATAGTGACAGAAATATGAAATCAAGCCATTGTATGATAAGCAACTTAGCTATCGAGTCGAGCCGAGTCTTCTCGTGTTCCAAACCACCTACTCATCATCGCTATCCTCATCGCTGTCTTCAGTCTCTTTCTTCTCCTCCAGCCACGCACTAGCCAACCGATCTGCCAACTCTCTCGTAGCAAAATCGTTCTTCTCATCCCACTTTCCATTTTCTGATGCCAGCTCGTCGTCTTCATCTCTCCGGGACTCGACACTAAAGTACCGCGAGCCAGTGTGCTTCTCTCCCAGCCGTCTAGCGACATCATTCGCCTCATTCAGACTCACAAGTCGTCTCTTACCAGCGTGTTTCTCCATTGTAGTAGCCATAAAATCCCATTCTACTTGTTTGAGTTTGTCCGTGGACAAGTTCTTCTCCAGTTTGCCTTCACCTATGCCCATGGCTGGCAGGATGAGCGCGAGGTCCTTGGCGGAATAGTCGCCGCTTAAACCAAGCTCTGCAATGTTGGTCTTGAGTTGATCGGCGACTTTGTCTTTGAAGACAGCTTCATCGCGGTAGGTTTCGGTAGACTTGTTGACGATGTCGGAGATTTGTTCGTTGCGGTTGATTTCAGGGCGGTCGGGCCGCGAGAAAACGTGGTTGATGAGGCCATCATGAGCGAGTTCTGCGGGAGTTCGGCCGACTGCATTTTCGCGATAGAGTTGCTTTGGATTAAATTCTAGGAGAATTTTGACTAGGGATAGCATGTCCTGCTTGGTGGCTGTGTGCAGACAAGTTTCGCCGGCTCCGTTAAGCATGTCTAGTTCCTCGCCCTTTGAGCACTCGAGGAGCAGTTTTAGCATGTCGACAACATCTTTCTCGTCGGAGTAGGTTTGGTTTGAGATGTATCTTCCACGGCGGTAGTAATAGTTGCTATAGTGTTGTTCGATTTCGCCGGTGGCCCCAAGTCCAGAAGTTTGGCAGATCCAAGTGTGTAGAGGGGTGGTGCCGTTTTCTGTAATGCTCTTACGTTGCAGGAAAAGATGGCTTCTGAGCTCGGCGTCGAAGAGGTCCAACATGGGCTTGAGTTGAGCAGCCTTGGGAAGCCTGGAAAGACACGCATGAAGTATGTTCTCGCCCTTCAAGTTTCGAGTTGACTGATCGGCTCCGCCATTAATGAGAATCTTGGCAAAGTCTGTTCGACCAAGCCTGCATGCAATCATCAGGGGCGTTTCTCCTTCAGATGTTTTCTTTTCAAGGTACTCGGGACAGTTTGTTACTAGGTACTCCACTAATTCTGCCGATTCCTTGGATTTGCCCAAAACTGCACAATGAATGACCAAGTCATCTGTTTATTACGGTTAGACAACGTAGGTATAGATATTGGCTGAACAGAGGAAACTTACTATCAGCACCAAGCCACATTGAAATGGCCCTGTTGAAGCCTCCAGGACTCTCTTTCAAATGTTTGAATCTCGAGTCCTCGTGAGCAGCCTTGGATTTGCCGAACTCAGCATAGAGTCTGTGTGGCTTATCGCCCAAGAAGAACTCGACACCATCGACTGATCCTTCCAGTGCAGCATGCAGCAGCGGCGGAGTCTTCATGCCACTAGTTCTGCTCACCACATTTCGGCCGGCATTTGCCCAATCCTTTCTGTAAAGACACATCTGTTAGCAAGTCCCAAAACACGTGAAGAGCAATGAGAGTAAGACAACACAAACCTCTTTTTACCATAAACGGTAAGCCCTTGGTAATATCGTGGCTTTTCCTTTACTTCAACACCACTCTTCTTCACAAGATGATCTAGAGGGACGCCTGCGCCGGTTCGCTTGATAATGAGAGATAGCATTTGCGTCTTTCCGTGCTCCACGGCCCAGCGGAAGTCTCGTTCAGGGAATGTAAATCTGGAAGTCGCTTCGTCATCATCTTTGCCTGGTGTTTTTTCTTCGCTGAAATGCTGAGCCATATCCAAGAGTACTTTCAATCCAGTGACATTGTCATTTTCCATAAGATGCTGGAAGAGCGTGCGATGATGCCATTTAGCTTTGGAAGCTTCGCCGTCCTTGACGTCGAACGTTGACACACTATCGCAAAGATGCTGCACCGCAGTAATGTGGGATTTGACCTGCATAGAAACCTGGCCAATATCCTCTATGGTGAAGTTCTTGTCAATAACACGAGATTCAATCTGTGGCTCGCTGTCTGATTCTTCAGATGCGTCCTCGTCACTGTAATAATCATCCTCGTCATCTTGCTGATCTTGTTTGATCCTATAGCGAACCTCATCCTTGTCTGCAGGGGACCATTGAGCGTTGACAATCTCCAGAATTGCCTTTGCAACATCAAAACGGCCATGTAGGAAAGCAACGGAGAATGGAGAGTTGTTACTATTGTCAGTAATGACGATCTTGAGCGGAGGTTGATCTCTCTCCGTGCCCCAAGCCTGGAGCGTCAGTTCCTTGATACGTTCCAGATTGCCACTCCAGGCAGCCTCCATGCTGGTTGTAGTGTTAGCGGTATGAATAGAATATGGAAAGAATGGACCTACAGCTGAATATATCCATCGCGTCTCCCCTCGGTCATGTCCTTGTCAGTCCTGAAAACAAATTCGTACTTGTAGTCCTTATCCTTGTCCTTTTCTCTATCATCCTTGGAAGTCTTCTTTCGCTTCTCGCATTCAATATTTGGATACAGCTCGGCAAACGTCTTGGCTCCCTTGGAAATCATGAAATTTTCAAGAGACTTGAACCCAGCTAAGGCTTCTGTTACAGCCTCTAACTTCTCCGGAGCACCCTTAATATCATCCACTACTTCGAGGTGCTTTTCGTAAGACTTCATACTGATTCTGAAGTTCTTTTTCTTGATTTGCACATCTCTAGAGACTAGCCAATGCTTGTATGTACCGGGCTTAAGCTTTTCAAGATAGGCGTCTAAGCCGGGCTGTATCTCTGGCTTTGTGACGGTTGACTTTTCCCCTTCATATTTGGATAGTATTTCAATCATGTCGCGTACGAGATCCAAGACCGAGGTGCCCTTCGTGTACCTCCAACGCCAGTCATTATCGAAGGCATCATTTGTGTCGTGTGTCATTGCATCGATGTTGGCCCCATTTTCTAACAACCTCATTGCGCCATCGATATTTCCATACCGAATAGCAGTGCACAATGGAGATTCGTAAGACCGCTTGTAAGTCTTCTTGGAGCGGTCAAGGTCGCCGAGATTTCCGGACAGATTCGGCGCAATCTTAGCAGCCTTCAGCCAAGTATCAAAATCAACTTCAGGAACAGCTCCCGCGTTGAGGAGTTTGAGGATTAGGATGGAATCACGGTGCTGAACAGCACCGTGAACTGGTGAGGTGGTTTCTGGATTCCAACTGTAGCCACCAAATACAATATGATTGATTGCCGTTTTCACACCCATCTTATCGTTCTCCAACAGAGTGTCAACGAGTTCAGTGTCACCATGCTCTACAAAACGGTAGAAAGCTGTACATCCTTGAGCATCTGCCTGGGAAGACGTTGCACCAAGCTTGAGTAGCAGCCGAGCCATGGAAATAGCTTTGTCTTTCGGAAGACTAAGGGCCAGGGTAAGTGTCAAAAGGGCCGCCGTGTCTGCCTCGTTATTGTTGTTTAGAAACTTCACTGGCAAAATCGAGTCGGCGCCATACTAGAGCTGTTGTCAACAAAGCGCGAGAAAACCGAATGCCTCTCTAAGATTCGCAAGAACTTACATCGCACAATAGCTTGACAGTCTCCTCGTGGCCTTCGACAATAGCGATGTGTAGTGGCGAGCAAGGCGTATCCCAAGCAAGCACATCAATCTGATAATAATCTGGCTCATCTTCAGACTGTTCTGGAACTAGATCATCTGTGCTTTCACCATCTTTCTTTTTCGAAACATTAATGAAGGAGCCGGTGGCGAGGGACTGCACATCGAGATCAGTCTTTTCGTCATCAATGAGTTCACCTTCTGATTCTTCATCTGACTGCTCCTCGCCTTCTTCCTCTTCTTTTTCTGCCTCTTCTTCGTCCGATTCTTTGCTTCCTGTGTCTTGCAATATCCTGGCGCCAACAACCTTATCTCCATGAGCAGTCTGGCGGCGCCTAGCTTGCCTCTCTTCTTCAGCTTCCTCGTTTTCAATGCTCTTTTCCATGAGAATCTTTATCATCTCTGCATTGCCGCGAGCGGCAGCCAAATGAAGAGCGGTTCTACCATCGGCTAGACGAGCGGTGAGGCGCACCCCATGATCAACTAGACACTTCACAATATCGGGGGTCGAAGTCATCACAGCAAGATGCAATGGTGTTCGCCCAGTGTAATCACGCTTGTTGGGGTCGGCCTCTTCCTGGGAAAGCCAGTTGAGCACGTCGTCGATATCACCGTCAACGATTGACTGACAAAGTCGAGCAGTATTTCCGACGTATGCCATATCCGTCCAATCTTGTTCTGTAAGCGGATTGAAAGACCCAATTTGCTGACGACCTGGATCGTCAATAAGGAATGAAACTTTGCCTGAGATGTAAATTTCTGCCTCCTTCTCTGAAATCTCTATCTCCTCGGGTGTGACTGCTTTTGGGCAGCAACCGCAGCAATCCTCAATGACGTCCTCTACGCGTCCAAAGAAAGCAGGGTGACGATGAAGGTATACTTCACGCTCCTTTGGCTGGTTCCACTCTGCGTTCAACAGCAAGTCTCTGGTATAGCAGAGCTTTTCAATTCTCTTGGCGTTGAACTTTTCTCCGTACGGAACAGTAAAGGTGTGATAGTTACTGACATCCTCCTCCGAAAGCCAGTCGGCTACCTCATCCTCATGGGAATCCTTGATATTGCCTCGCATGGGCACGAGAGTTCGGTATCGCGCAGGTCTGCCACGCTCAGTTCGTCGCTTATTAAGATAAGTTTCACGAGCATAGTTGGTGGGTAATCTCTCAAGAACCAGAAGTCGGGCTAGACCGAGTGTCCGCTGGAAGCTTCGCTCAAAAATGGTAGGGTCAACTCTGGCTCGGTCAAGGTCTGGCCAGTAAACCTCAAAATTACGGTGTGAGTACTTGGACAGACGATTCTCGTAGGAGGGGCTGCGGCGAGATAGATCAACGTGATTGATCTGAGTAATGAAACTTCCCAATGCTCTGGGTGTGACATAAACCTGTTTGCCGTCATAGGCACCACCGGCAGCGTCGATGTCAAAGCCGGTTAGAATCTCACTGACAGACTTGTACACACGAAGAACGATCTGCAACCAACCCTTAGCATTGCGGGAGACAGTAATGTGGACTTTGCGAATAGCGAAAAGCGTACCTGAATGTGACGGATGGGGTATTGGCTCGCTATCGTGATGGCATACTTGGTACGTACGACCGTGACTTCATTCAAAAGAGCGTCCTTGACGGCACGCTCAATCTGTTTTATTTTTTCAATGGCTTGGTCATGGGTCAGTCCATAAAGAAAAAGATCGACATCAGATGCCGGACAGAACTTTTCGTGATAGTACTCGCGCAGCTTTCGCTTTGAAACTTTGAACTCCTTGGGCACCGGCAGTAAACAGTTGACGACAGAAGAGCCGGCGGCAACCACATTGTTCCAATCGACCTCAACCAGCGAAGACTCCGAAAAGATGTTGAAGTTGTGCTGGAATTCCGTGAAGTCGGCCACTGTGGCTGGTGAGCCATGAGGCCTTCGCTTGTCGGCTGGCAGCGGCATGATATATCTGGATTTTTCATCTTCGGACTCGGCAGACAATTCCCTTGCTCGAGTCGTGATCTTGGCCGTGTCCTCGGTAAAGAGGGGAACAACGTTGAGATATGGATCGTTCAGAATTGGATTTTGGCGATCTTGGGCGTAAACCTCCCGCAAACGAGCTTCATAGTTGCGATATGGTTCCATAATCTCAACCATGGGTTTGCCAGGGTTCTCGGCAATGAAAGTTGCCAGACCAGAAAGGGCAGCAGGCAATTGCGGCAAATTTGAGGCTGCCATGATCGATTTGAGTAACAAGTTGGGATTAAGAACCGGATATTCTGATGACGATTTGGGACTTGTGGACTTGGTAGAGCTAGAAGGGTGCTGTGGGAATGGCAACTTCGGAAATGACAAGATTGGGAAGATGGGGAAAAGGACGAAGGGATGAATTGCCACTCCTCAGCAGCTGCGATGATGGTGACAACAGAACGGATGAATGCTGGGGACAAAACGTCGATGGCAGGCGTTTGCAGGTGGCAGTGAGGAGAATAGTGCTGAACATTGTTGATGGGATTGGAGATGGCTTTATACCAGCAGACGATGTTTATATTGGCCAAGGAGGGGAGCTGAAAGCCGCAAACCGTATTTGGAGTAAACGTTCCACCCCCAGGAACAATAGTTTGGGGTAGGCGTTTTTGGATGCTGAGTCTCACCTTGGACACTTGGCCGAATAGAATGCAAGTACGCAACAGTCGCTTCGGAGATCTGGTGGTGCTGCCTGGAGTTGGAGAAGCGAGAAGCCAAAGGCGAAGTTCACACCAGTTTCCGAGATCTCTGCCTACATCTTGCCGGCCCGACGCTCAAATGATTCTTCACTGCACGGAGGGTCCGCCAGATTTGGACCCGACATTGGCCATGCCATTCTGGTGCATCGTGAATTTTTCCACAGACCAGAGGGCAGAGGCGCACTGGTGCCTGGATAAAAGCGTCTGAGGATAAATCCAATATGGCGCCAGGCACATTTTCTGCTTGAAACCGACATCGCCGACATTGGAACCCTGGAGGATTAGGGGACCAACGGGAATTCAAGCCTCAGGTCTAACCAGTGCGGGCCTCAGCACCAAGCTTCACTGGAGCCAAGCAAAAGCCACTTGCTATGAGTGGCTCAACAGGCGAAGGCAGGCGAAGGTGGCGTGAGGCTATTTCCTAATTAACGCCCGAGTCTGCCAACTGCCCCGCCCGCTGCAGCCTAGCTAGCACCTGGCAGCTGGAGTAACGTCTGTGACAGCGTGAATGCTCCTTCCTTGCTTTCACGGAAGGGAAAAGGGGGGAAGGCAAGGTGGAAGAAGACAGACCGGTTGATTAATCTTTCTGGTTTAAATGATCCTTTTGGCGCTGTAGGGTAACATTGAAACCCATGATTTCTCGGCCACGGACAGTCATGAATTGACTTGGTGTACGGCGCACGGAGTAGCTCGCACAAAATTTGTCGTCCAGGGCCATTAGTCTCGAGCTCCAATTGCCCACCCTTCAAGAACCGAGCGCTCTCGGTTGCCAATTGCCCAACGAGGCCCTTAATGACGAACCATCAACACCCAGTCTCAACTAATTTGGACCATCTATTCTGCATGACACGTTGTCATGTTAAAGGACATGATGTAGGGTGTCTTGAATGCATTCGAATGGTTGCCTAACCCAAGTACGCATCGTCTGGAAGTCTGCTATGAGACAAATGCGCTGGACAACCACATTGGTATACGATGTTTGGCTGTCAGTCTCCAGAATACGATTTAACATAGTGTTTCGTTAGCGCTTCTCTCTATTGCAACACCAGAATCTGATTACAATGTTGCCAGCTATCGTGCCGGTGTTTTCCGTGGTACAGCTTTCCTTGGCTCATGAGACGGTACCGGCATAAATACTCTGTATTCTATAATGTGGCATCTCAGCCTCATTCAGTGTTCTAATATGCTTTTGTGCTAATAAAGGATATCCCGCCGCTATGCTATTGAAACGAAACTCCTAGCTCTAGAAACAACCATCATTATGAAGTTGCTAAACCCCACCTGTACGCCAAATACATTACTTCGTCGTCAGTTATGCAGGGGACTTTTCCTTCTTGGCCTTTTCAGCGGGAGAGAAAAAGTACAGCATCGTCACAAGTAGCTTGCCAGCTCCCGAAACAACAATGGCGGTAGCTGAGCCTACCTCTCTGTAAATCGCAGCTCCGACAAGCGTACCCACGACGAGAGCCAAGAGAAATGCTATGCGCCGAGTACGAGGCCGGTTCTTCAACACGAAAAGCTTCTGGTCAATCATGAGGTCAACCCACGCTGCAGTCGCCATGGCAGTGCTGATTTCCGTCATCGACAGACTTCTGGATTGGACAACTTGGCTTCCGGCGGCAAAGGCTAGCAATCCAATGACAGCCAATGCCTGGGGTCCTTGTGACTTGATTCCATATTGGTATTGGATCGCTGCTGCTCCAAGGACGAAGCTCGATTGGACCAGGTTACAGAGTATTAACCACCATCGTTTTCGGGGTCCGATAATGTGACTGAGCTGGCCGGTGAGCCAACCGGCTCCAAGGAAGAGACCAAGTGCCATGCCAATGTTGGGTGTAAAGAACATTTCGCCGTTCAACTGCGGGAGGATGAGTGCCAAGCACAAGAAGACCGTATTGCCGGTTTGGTTGGACGCAAAGCAGTGATAGTCAGGGAACGTCGTAGCATCTACAAGGATGAAAATTGTATTAATGACTCTCCTCTTCCGTGATTTCGGGCCAATATCGCGGGATCTCACCTTGCATTCCGGTGCAGAATGTCAGAATAACGAGTTGAAGTTCTGTGAACATGGAACCTCGAATATCTTGGCGCAGGTATCCGCAAATTGATTTGTCCTCTGCTTCCAGCTGGGTGCTATCACTCTCATAGCCCGTCATCGTACTGGGGAGGCCTTCTACAGGCCCTGTAGTTTTCTTGCCTGATGTCATTGTTCTCAGCAAAGCGCGAGGGATTCTGGTCTCACTACTGTAGGAAGGTGCGTAAGAACGATGTAAACGCTGTGGTACAGTGAAGAACTTGGATGATGGAACAGGGCCAGTTGAAAGTGGTAGCTGCCTCTTTATGAACCATTTGACTCCGAGGCAAGAAAATTTGCCCCTAGATGAGGCGGTCGTGAGTTGCGGTCTGGGGCCGACAGCCGCCGCCGCCGCCGAATGGCTGGGGCAGCAGCCAACAGCCCGACACTCCATCCCAAGAATACGGCTGGTTCCGGTGACTCCAATTTTTCCTCTTGAGTGGCGACGGCTTGATGTGGGCCGGTTGCCGACGGGAGTTTTGGGCAGCGAGATGAGTGTCTCACGAGATTGATCACTTCTTCAACTGTGTCGACTTGACACCAGGGTCGCATCCTGACCAGGGCATTCTCACCAAAAATATAGAGTCAGGTAAGAAAGGGCTTCCGCATCTGCATCATGTGCGCTACTTCTCCATTGCAACATACAAGTCGGGCAGCTGCCGTATGCAAAACCGGTAACAAAGCGGCGGGCAAGAGCCAATCACGGATACCAGCGTGGCTGAATCCGGACCGAGACCCACCCGGCTCGGGAATACAACGCCGGCTTGTCTCCGAGCATCTGCGGGCCCACCGATGCCGCCGACAGCCGCGGCCATTTGCATTTAATTGACAGTTGAAGGTAAGAATACATCGAGATTACCACTCAAGATTGGGCAACGAAGTGACGAGAAGTAATTGTATAACTGAGATACGACTAATTTCATTACTTCGTTTGGCGAGTGTTGTAGCCTCTGGTACTCCATCTGGAGAAGGATGTGTGATACTGACATGACTATATGAGTGATTCAGACGTCACGAACGAATCTTCGAAGAACAAATGAATCCAGCAAGCCAACAGGGAGCCAATTTTGTGCTACAATGGATAATGGTCTATATATTCGGCGTGGATGCTGGCAGTGGTGTGTTCCCTGGCAGAAATAACTCCGTAGGTGGAGGTTGAACGCCAAGCCACGTGATCTCGCTCTTGCTGACTAACGCGACGCGCTACGCGATGGTTCACGGTCGTCGATAATGTATGTGGAGCGCTGAGAATCTGAGAAGGACTAAAGCGTGATTGCAACAGGCTGCAGTTTTGGTCGATAAGAACGACTTGTTTTTTAGGTCCTCAAATGTAAGCCATTGTTGCTCTTTATCAGCAGTCGGGCAGTAATTCGTCGTCTTCATGACTCGAAATAACCTTGCCGACCAACTCTCCTGGCTCCTAAGCAACGCCGCGTTATCGAAACCACGTCTGCGAACGTTTCCTTGTGCTGGCGACTCCTCTTCCCTCAATACTTCGCAGCCGTCTTCCATTGAAACTGGCGCAGCGCATCGACTTCGATCATCTTCAAGTATAGGCTCACAGACAAATCCCCGCCCGCGAAGCCGCGCGTTAGATAATGCTGTCAACTTAAACGGGTGGGGGGAGGACTTCGTGGATACACCGCAAGTAACAGTGTCAGACGACAGCATGGTTCGATTGGCCTCAACTACGAAGTCCAAGAGGCCTACTCTTATTTCCCAACCACAGAAGCACCTTCCAACTTCATCTGCTACTGATAACCCTGGATCAAAAGCTCGACCGGCGCCTACTGGAAACAATGCTGGTAAGTCAAGCCAATATGCTCCCATAAGTGCATCATGCTGACACGTGGGTAGTCTCAAACACACCAAAGAGCACACGAAAGCATTCGCCTCAAAAACGGAGTAATTCCCGAGAATTCATGTCGCCAAACCCGAGTCTAGACCTCGCCGATTTTGACGCAGATGACCTAGAATGCATGGATCTTACAAAGGATTTCACCGGTGTAACCGCCTCGACAGAAAAGAGTGACGACGTTCAAATATGGGATACTACTAGTGCTTTATGGTCACCACTGCCTCGTAGCAGTAAGAAACGGAAGAGTAATGGGATAAGCAGAGCTGATACAGCAGAAAAGGAGAGCTTTCCTGATGTGTACGATATCCTTGGCACCGAGCCACCTGTCTCAACTCCCGGGAGCCGGTCAGCTATACGCCGCGCTGGCTTGACTAGCACTTCAAAATCACGTCGTAAACGGGACGTGAAGGAAACACCAAAGGATGTGCCAGGAGACTTCGGGAGCGATACCCTCAATGAGGTCATGGCCAGTTTGTCCTCACCCTCTCGGCATGCGGCCGATCGGCGGAACCAGTCATCGTTATCAAAGTCGCCGACCAAGAAGTCTTCATTTCCGCAGCAAGAAGATAGCACTAAGAAGAGGAAAGTCAACCCCTACGAAGGCATTCTACCCCAGGACGGGCTGAAGCGGTATGGATTATCCACTGACGCCATGGAAATGGATGACTGTGTTCCGGATTCAGATGAGGAATTCCTCACACCTCCCTCGCACAACACATCTGCCATTACTCAACCAAAGCAATCAGACTCGAGCGGTGACACAAATTTTGTACAAAATGTGATTTCGAGGAGTCAAGAAAGCGCATCCTGGAGCCTGTTGAACTCGCCTTCTACTCGAGCCATTGACCAGAACAGGGCAGACTGCACAGGAATTACCTCAAGCTTTAGTACAGATAATTCTAGGATTGATGTCCTGGATTTGGTGCCGGAGAAAAGCATCCCCCTCGACCAGGCACCGAAGGTGTTGGAGTATATATCCACAAATTCGGAAGCTTTGACTAAACGACGTGAAGCTATTGTAGAAGCCATTCAGCGCAATGGCGGTGAGTTCGTGAAAGCAATCAACGAGAGATGGCCAAAAGAGAAACGCAGCCAGGTTAAGGCTGAAAAAGAACGGCTTTTGAGGCAACAAAAAGCTGCTGAGGAATTGGGTAATTCAATGCAGCCATATCGAGAAATATGCGAGAAAAGAGAAGCTCTGGCACAACTGGTGGCGCGGTCGTATGCTGAAGGCAATGATACCGACGACGACGAGACTCGACTTGACGCACTTACGGACGTGGTTCAAGAACAAGAAGAAGGGCTTGCCAAACTCGTCATTCAAGCTGGATTTGATGAATCCAACTTACCCATGCTGGCACCGCCGCCTTCTTTGTCACCAAAACGGGGGAATACAGTAGTATTTGGCACACAACCGTTGAACATGGGGATGGTCGATGTGTCTCATGGTCCGCGGGATTCTTCTGCACATGCTACTACGCTTACGCAAATTGTCCATCAGACTCAACTGCCAGACATCCCCACGCCACGCTCACGTCGAACGGCAACACAGTCAGTACCGGGCAATTCCAATAAAGCTTTAGTATCAAAGGATGGTGAGGGTGCCGCAGGGGAGCTGTTCCCCAGAGAGACATTACCCTCAACAGTGGATACCAGGACTCGACGTGTGCGCATTGCACCGACTGCTACCGAGGACATGGAAGACGACATGTTCTCAGAGTTTGATGAAGCTGACTTGCGACCGGTCCATACGGCACGAAGCAGAGGCACGCCCTCTCAGGTACCGCACAACTTCGCTTCGGGCCGGACACAAGACAATTTCAGCGACTTCAGTGACGATGATGATATACTGGCTTTTGCAGAGGACTATGAGACACGTCAATCGCTGGGAGATGACGGCTCAAGTTCTCGTCGTGTCTTCTCAGAAACATCTGGAAACGTAATGCCTCCTCCTAAATCCAAAGGACCGGCAAAGCGGCCATCTGCGCCTGTGTTACCAGAGCTCAGAATACCACCAGAATTGATGAAGCATCCGTGGTCACCAGAGGTCCAGAAAATGCTAAAGGACCGGTTCAGAATGAAAGGATTTCGGCAGAACCAGCTGGAGGCAATCAACGCCACTTTGGGAGGTAAAGATGCCTTTGTTTTGATGCCTACAGGGGGTGGTAAATCCCTGTGCTACCAGCTGCCGGCAATTGTTAGAACTGGAAAGACACGGGGTGTAACTATTGTTGTCTCCCCATTGCTGAGTCTAATGCAAGACCAAGTCGACCACATGAAGGGTCTCGGTATCCAGGCGGTAGCCTTCAATGGAGGATGCTCAGCAGAGTACAAAAGACAAATAATGAGTACTTTTGACGAACCGAGCCCAGAGCACTTTATCGAGCTACTTTATGTTACGCCGGAGATGGTGAGCATGAACGCTGCCTTTAACAATGCGATGCAAACGCTGTATCAAAGAGGCAAATTTGCACGACTGGTAATTGATGAAGCTCACTGCGTCAGCCAATGGGGCCATGACTTCAGGCCTGACTACAAAACTATTGGTCAGGTCCGCATGAGGTTTCCCCGAGTTCCTTTCATGGCCCTGACCGCCACTGCCACCCAAAATGTCATCGTTGATATCAAGCACAACTTGAACATGGCTAATTGCCAAGTGTTCTCGCAAAGCTTCAACCGCCCAAATCTGTACTATGAAGTGCGGACCAAGAAGTCCCATGCGAATGCTACCGAGAGCATTGCCTCGCTGATAAATGCCAAGTATCACAACACCACCGGTATTGTGTATACACTTTCAAGAAAGCAAGCTGAGGAAGTTGCACAAACGCTTGCTGGTTATGGTATTGCAGCCCGCCACTATCATGCGGCTATCGACCCTCAAGCCAAGGTCGATGTTCAAAGATCATGGCAAAAAGGCGATATCAAAGTCGTTGTTGCCACAATCGCTTTTGGTATGGGTATAGACAAGCCTGATGTCAGATTCGTCATGCATCACGGCTTGCCCAAGAGTCTAGAGGGGTACTACCAAGAGACCGGTCGCGCTGGCAGAGATGGCAAGCCCTCCGACTGCATTCTGTTTTATGGAAAAGCGGATATAAGAGTCCTGAAAAAGATGATTGCAGACGGAGATGGTAATAATGCACAGAAGGAACGCCAGATGGTTATGCTCAACCGGGTCACGGCCTTCTGTGACAACAAGTCCGATTGTCGACGTACTGAAGTGCTTCGCTATTTTGGAGAAGACTTTGTGCCGAGCCAATGCCAAAAATCCTGCGACAACTGCCGGGCCGGGCTGGTCTTTGAACAACAAGACTTCTCAGAATATGCCATTGCTGCGATTCAGGTCGTCCATACTCAGCGGCGTCTTACAGCTAGTCAATGCGCAGACATCCTGCTTGGCAAGAAGTCCCCTGCCCACGAGGAGTTGGTTTCTGACGGACAATATGGTATAGCCAAAGGCTTGAAGAAGCACGAAGTTGTTCGGGTCATTGATCGACTATCGGCTGAAAAGGCGTTTCATGAAAATAACGTGGTTGGAAACTATGGTGTAGCTATTCAATATCTTGAAGTTGGATCTACTGCCCACCTGTTCCTTACTGGCCAGCGTAAGCTGATGCTCACGATCCAAGTAGACGACGGGAATCGTTCCAGGACCAAGTCCTCGGCTAAAAGGACGACTAAGAAAAAGGGAAAGGAACAAGACATTCAAGCCATGCAGTCGACATATGTCTCTTCCCCAGTGGAGAGACGAAAGAGGAGGAGAAAGGTTGAGGGGAGTGACGATGAAGAAAATTTTCCAACTACTTCAAACGGCTATGCTAACGACGGATTTGTCGTCTCGGATAACGACATGCGAGAAGATGACGATGAAGAAGAAGAAGCTTTTGAGCCTCTTCCCAAGCATCGTCTAGCCAAGGCACCTGCCAAACCTGCAGGAAAGAAGAAAGCTGTGCCCTCAGGGCCACCCATCACTTCTAACAAGCGCGTGGAAGACCTGCCCGAGATCCATCAAGATCTGGTCGGCACGTTTGTGACGGAAGCCCGAAAGGTGGAAGAACACATCCGCAACAAGAAGGAGCTCAGACGCCCCCTCTTCACAGAGCGAGACCTTCAAGAAATGGCCATACACTGGACAATATCTCTCGACAGAATGAGTCGCATCCCCGGCATCGACGTGGACAAGGTTCAGGAACACGGTCGAAAGCTACTTCCCATATTGAAACGACATCACAACATGTATCGAGAAATCATGGATGCCGAAACTCCCAACGATGACGACCAACAAGTGGTGGACTTGGTAAGCTCAGATCTTGAGCCCGACCAAGCAGAAGAAGACGTCGACTCGCACTACTTCCAGCCCAAGTCACGACCAGAAGTGGAAGCCTTCCACAGCAAACTCCAAGACCTGAGCAGCCAACGACAGAGCCAGCCAAAGCCCAAGTCGTCCTATTCACGAGGGAGCGGCGGGGGGAAGAAGTACTTTGCCGGCAAGAAGGGGCCCCGAAAAGCCTCGGGTGGCGGTGTCCCCAAGCGTAAAGGTAATAGTTTCGGAGGTCGAAAGGCGAGTGGCTCTTCAACTGCACGGTCAACCGCGGGAACCAGTACCGGGAAACGAGACGGGAAACTCGTCAAGAAGAGTGGTGGGGGGATTGGCTTGATGCCCGTTTAGAGTGACCTTCTTGTTTACTCTGGGGGGATAAGAATTGACGATAAAATATATGAGATGCATGCCGTCATGAGAGCATAGAATATATAGGGCGGAATTATTATCAGCTTCTGCTCACTTATTGTGGAATCATCATTTTTCTTTGGGCCATAGGCGGCCTTTTTCGGCCGAACCTATGTGGAAATAATCAAATGAAATAATCTTCCAGGAGGGACTCTTGCGCACATCATACATGACATTAATTGGTTATGGCTCTGATATCCTCCGTACCAAAAGCTCGTTCAGTGGGAAAACTAGCACAATATACCAGAGGAAACCAACAAGTTGAAATTACGTATTTTATTATCCAGCATCGTTCCCCTAGAGGAAACAACGGTTCATATAGAAAGCAATATTTGCAAGTAGACCAAAGAGGGGATGGGAATTGGGTATATGAGGTCCCATCACAATTCACCACGCAAACTCCGTCGAACTGCATCATGCCGTCATGTGTCCCCTTCCTTGCAACATTGATCTCGTAGTCGTAGCAGAACTAGCTCAGAATACAGTAAAAAGAGTGAGTAGCAATGCAACTCGGGTTTCAAGTTGAAGTACAAAATGTGCTCACATGAGCCAAAAGGAGCTGGTTGACACTAGGAAAGCAAGGCTAATAGTAATGATACCGCCTACATGGGTGAATGGAGACAATTGCAAGTCAAGGCACGCTTGCTGAGATAGGACTGCAAATGTTGGGGCAAGTGTGGTTGCAAATATATAGCAAAAACAAAAGAGTGATAAAGCAGTGTCGGTTGCTCGTAAGTTTCCCAAAGATATCTTCTCCATCCATGCTTCGTTGGTTCATCTTTTGGTATCATCATCTAGTGCACCACTCCACGGATGTTCAGGGCATGCTGCTGGCTCATATGCGGACGAACCCTCGACGGAAACAAAACTTGGAAATAAAAGGTATTCAATTCCATGTCAATGCCATCACTTTTCTTAGTGACGCCAACGAGGCTTTGAATCTTTGGGCTCAGCAATACCTTTCTTAGTAGAGGTGCGACTGGCAGTAAAAAGCTGGGGACTATTGCGACCTGTGCTACTTTCTCGTCTGAGGTGTGGCAAGAAACTTGTTCGCCGATGGCTAGAGGCTAGGGAGCTTGCTGGACGGGACAGCTGACTCTCTTCCACAGCACTTTCAGAGCCAGTGGGCTGCATTGAGATTCGGCGATTCGAATTCAAGGTAGACATGGAGCTTTGTGAAGTCAATCGCGGCCTGGACAGAGTCTGCTGAGAGTAAGGCCCAGGTGATGTCAGTCGCTCACGGAATGATAGTCGAGAATGACCACCTCTGGAAGGAGTGTTGTCAACCTGTGGGGACTCTGAAGCGGACCTAGAAAAGGCTCCCCTGAGAGTTGGGAGTCTTGATGCCGACGACGGTGTGGCAGCGGATACCGATCGCTGGTTGCTGGGACTTGATTTTGTGTAAGGACTCGGTATAGTTAAGCTAAGAGGCTGGAAATGGTGTCCGGTATCAATATCTGAAGTATTAGTTGAGCCGTTCCAAGGCGGCCTGTAGCCAGCAGTAGCCCCTGGACGCCCAGGGGTTCTTGAGTTGGTAGCAGGAGTAGCAGCAGAGGAGCTAGCAATTGTTGATAGCCTGGGGCCTGTTTTCCTGTTCAGGGTGGATGAAGGAGCGGGCAAAGATGAGTGCCTTCTGCCAGTCGACTGAGAAATTTTGTTGAGGGCTGGGGAACGTCCTTTGCCCCTGGTTAGAGGCGTTTGTGGATCGAAGCCAAGGGAATTCATAATAGCTGACGATGGTGGAGAGCTTCCGGGTGTGTCACGCCCACTCCCGACAGTCGACCTGTCGTAGGAGAGCATGCTTGACACAGAGTCTCGCAGTTGTTGACTCTTCCTGTCTGCTTGAATATCGTCAATAATGGCATCCATTTCTTGCATTTGGGCTTTTAGCGACTCCCACCGAGTCTGCATGTCAGCGTGAAGACGGAGGATCTCGCCGTTCACAGTCAAACGGTCTTTGACACCTTTATCAATGATGGATAGAACACGTTCGATAGCCGGACCGTAGTGCGTCTTCTTAGCTTCGTAGCTTTCGATTTTCTTCATCATAGTGGGCGGGCTTTGTAAATGTACTTCGGTATCAATAGCTTCACCAAGTTTGAGCAAGGACCGCTGAACAGACTCATGCATCTTCTGTGCTTGACGGCCAGCTCCACGAAAGACGATAACCCAACGGTCCTCGCCCAACTCCTTTCGCAGCGACTCTGCATCCTTTTCCAGCTTCTTGTAGCTTCCATCCAGGCCAGTGCGACGCATTTCGAGCTCCTCGCATGCTGTAGGGAAAGCCTTTTCGGCTCGGGCCTCAAATACGGATAGCCGCATGGGCAAAAAGTCTAGAGATGCTCGCAGAGGCTGCATCCTGGCAAACAGGGCCAAAAGGCTAGAGTCATCCTGAGAAAGACTGGGTGTGCCAGGGGAACCAGGGCTCATGGGCACCGAGGGCAGACCGAAGCGGCTAGGGGCTTGCAGCCGAGTAACAGGTGGAGGCGTGTCCTCGACAATATTCTCGAGATCGCCAATATCGACAGTATCGCCGCCAGCAGCAGCAACGACACTCTTGTGGCGGCGTTCCTCCATTTCAAAAACCAGTCTGCTCAGTTCGTCCATCTCTCCCTGAATATCTCCCAAGACATTATTCCACAGCTCTTCCCACTCCATTGCAATCTCAACTTGGACCCGGACACTTTGCAGGGTGGCACGGATGTGAGCCCACTCATCAACAATTAATTCCATTTGTGCAACTGCCTTGTTTAGGTCTTCTGAAGGAACATGAGAAATATCATTTCGTTTTTGCAACTCCTCAATGGCACCAATATAGGCATTGATTAAATCTTCAAAACGGGTGATGGCGTTCTCAACTTCTTCAAGACCCTCCCGGCCTCCAGCAGCAGCCCATTCAACGTCGTCCTCGCTATCAAGACCACCAATGACTTCCTGTGCTTTGGAGATCCAACTTCGTATTTGCTCGGAGGCATTGATGAGGGCCTTGGTGGCTACGTGAGCTGTTCGGATAGATGAAACTTTGCTGGACAAGGTTTCGGCGTCCGGCAGTTGAAGTGACGTCAACTGAGCCAGTTGGTTCGCGAAGGAAGCACGAGATAATGTATATATAGAGACGGGTCGGTTATGACCTGGCGTGAAATATGAATCTAGCCCAGCAACATATTCGTTCGAAGACGCGATGGCGGGAGGCGTGACAGGCGGTGGCGTATCTTTCGGTGGCGGAGGGGGAGGCAGAGCTTCGGGAGGAGATGAGGGGAGAGTAGTACGCTCGATATGTTCGCGTCGTGTATCAAGGGTTACCTTGGTGCCATTGCCATTGGTGTGGTCCGGCAGGCGGTACTTCTGTGTATCCATGGCCAGAGGTTCTGGCGTTTTGATCTCGGGCAATTGAGGCGATTCGGCGGTAACGATGGGCTCAGTCGTCGAATTGAGCAGGGCCGACGTGGAGGCGCCTGCGCCTTTCCAAGGCCGACCGCGCCTAGCAATAATCGAGCTGATAGAGTTGGCTTGGTGATTTTCGTCCAGTTGGCGGAGTTGTTGTTCGTCGAGACGACCTATGTGGTCGTGATGTGGTGTGGGGACCGATGGCGTCTGTTTCAAGGTCCCAAACCCAAGGGCCTTTAGTCTCGCAGCAAGACCTGGAGAAGTTTTGCGGATAGCAGAAGTCGGGGGGTGATGGTGAGGCTGGGCCGGACCGGGTGCGCATGCGTGCGCGGAGTTGGGGTTGTTAGGGTTGTTGGTTGTACTGCTGGTGAAGCTTCCACTGCTGGTGCTGCGAATCGTGTTATTTGTGGTGCTACGGCTCAAGGCGGGCGTCTCTAAGGGAATGGGGATGGTGCTCGGTTCGTCTTCGCTGGTGGCACCAATAGTGGTAGTAGTACCGATGGTAGATGCAGGGAACGGACCACGTGGTGCTGGGAGGTCGGAGATGTTGGCAGGGACATCAGCAAAGCTCAAGACCTGGAAGACCTCATTCTCGTCTTGCTCCTTGACGCGGTCGCGTGGCTGATTTTCGAGTTTCTGGCTTTGCAAGGCCACGGCAATTTCCTCGTCGTCGATACCAGAGCCGGGCACATGGACAGAGTGGGCTATGACACCACTACCCGGTCTGTCGGAGGTCATGTTAGGTGACGCCTCAGGAGAAATAGGCGACTCCGGCTAGCCCTAGAGAGCCTGTGAGACTGCTCCAGCAAGCAAGGAACCACAGGCACAAGTACTCCGTACCGCGGCTCCGTGGCGACCACCCAGCTCTCCACGCAAGGCGTACCAGGGGAACAATGGAGTGGAGAAGGGGCCGGCAAAGCGCGGAAGGCGTCGAGGCCTGACAGGGCACGGCGAAGGGGACGAGACCTAAGCCTTGTACCCAGTAAGCGTAAAATGTCGAGGGCGAATCGAGTACGGAGCAGTGGGGGTGTATGGACAACGTCCCCGGTCAGGAGACCAGTGGTCACTGATGCGCTGGCTGGCTATCTGCGGCCAGGGGAACGGAGTCTGCAGTTCAATGGCGAAGGGAACTGGTGTGTTGAGGAAGCACAGCCAAATTGGTGCCAACATCGGCTTCCAATTAATATATGGTGAACTTCACGACTTGGCCAGTCGTTGCGAGAGCGATGGTCCTGCGAGTGGATGTTAATGTCTGTGGGTGAGCTCGGCGGGCATCCAGAGAATAAAGTGGGGCGAGGGGACGATCGGTCGGAGACTGGTATGCGAAAGGTGAATGAACAATATCTGACGAGATGAACAGTGCTGTCTAGCAAGAGTCCAGTAATAGCCTAGTTGAGCTTGTGATACTGGGATCAATTGCGATTGACACCGAGTCCTCTGTAGTTCCGTTGAGTTTATCGGTGAGATTCGTCTCCAGCAACGTGCAGTGAGATTGCCGGGATATGCAGGTGCAGCTCAAGGCGTGCAGCCGGTGGGAGACAAAGTATGCCTGCCTGCGTTTCTTCTTTTGGCCCCAAGTCTCGCCAAACGCCAAGTATTGTCAGAGCCTGACGGTGATCAGGGGTGCGTACTTTAAGCTTCAATATTAATAAGACTCGAATGTCGGTCAAAAAATTGAAAGGATAAAATTTGAAAATGGCGCTGATTGGGCCTCACCCAATTTCGCTGGCCGTGCGTTTCCCCTTGCTGGCTTGCTTTCCTTCCTTCCGACTCCGTGTCCCAGGGTCAGAAGCGGGTAGAGGTCTTTCCCTGTCGAATTAAAAAAAAGATCGAGGAAAATTGGACGAGCAGGACCGAATCCGGAGGTCGGGGAAAGAGGCGGTCAAAGAGGGAGAGAAAGTAAAACAAAGGAAGTGGCAAAAACGGCACGGTCGAATAAGAATACAAAAGACGAGCAGAGGGGATGGAAAGAAAGTAAAAAGCGAGAGAGGAGCCCGCACGGAAGATACTTTAAATTACCGTCCACGTTCTAGCTCAGGGAATTGCCTTCGCCGGGGTATTAAAAGAATCAGTGGGCGCCAGCAAGAACCGAGTTGACGCCTCTTCTGCTGGTCGCTCTTATTGTGCCACAGGAACCGAGTGTACACGAGCGTTTTTGTCGGCCATGTAAGAAGAGAGGGCAATGGGGAAAAGGACAGACATGACAGAAGTCGTGGAGCTGAAACACGGCAATACTGCGCAGTTAAAGCATTCGGGCACTGGGCGTAAAATTGCGCACGACACTGATGGCGCCTTGGACCTGCTCACATTACTTATCTTGATGTATTATAATTGAGCGTGGCTCGAATACGCGCAGCCAGAGTTGCATCTCGCTGTTAAGATGAAGGGATCTGCGACTGCAACATTGAGTACGGGCGAGCCCACACGCTTGTTGACCACTTCAGGAGGTACTTACAGGTACTTGGTAGGTGAGTTGATTGGGCATTTAATGTTCTCTCATTACTCTTGTACATCGGTATACGTGTTCGACTTATCTTTGGTGCTTGCTTTATTACGGAGCACAAGTGTTGCCAACTGGCCATATCACCCTGCATAATAAGTACTGTACGAATGTTATACTAACTCATAGGTCATGGTACCCCGTAGCAGTCCCAGCTATTCGGCACCTAGGGCCAAGGGGGTATGTACTATGTTCCTGGCGTTGTTTATTAATGCGCCTAAGTCTAAGTAAGCAGTACTAGTCAGGAACCGGTGGGTACATTAGGTACCTGGGTATCCTTGGAGCCTGGCGCCATCCAGATGTTTTGTTCCATCAATTGATGTCTGGTTGCCACAAGGTGCCTAAGAAGTAGGTACGTACCTCCCTAGTAGGCCAGTGGATTGACGCCACATGGAACCAGGGATCTGCCAACATGTGAGAAGTGAGCGGAGGAGCAAGCACGGAGTACCTGATAATGTGCTTTGAGGCATGGTCGACTGAACGACGACATTAAACTTACATCGACTTGCTCTGATGCATTATAAAAACAAGTCAACAGAAGACTGACACACCAAAGTGACAATTGTGTCTTGTCTTTAATTACCACATCCCTGCGAAATGAGATGGGCTTTCTCTGTTCACCCCCAGACCTCTCCGCAGCAAAGTACATAAACGACAGGGGTTGTCACAGTGAGTCCTTTTGGCTTCAAAATGGGGAGGCGCCAAAAACTTGGGAATATCTCGACTTTGACTGCTCGAGGCCAGGGCAGCGCGCGGTTAGTCGGGAACACTTGTATCAAGCTGCGGTTTGCAATATTATTACAGACATATGTACTGCCCACTCGTTCCGTACCGCTGAGATGCTTCCGATGGATCAGTCTGCTTGGCGCCTGTTGTCGTGCTCGTTTTATTAACAGCTGGAGCACCAGACATCATCTGCGTGTTTACTCCGCCAGCAATATGGTTACAGAGTACGGAGTACCTACTTAAGTAAGTACCTAGGTAGGTACATGTAGTTACAGTAAATGACAGCTCTGCTCCAGGACACCGGAAGCAATACGGAGTACAGCTCTCAATACGGGGTACCAGCAGGACAATGTTTCATTCCTACCCTGACGGTTCAACCGCCTCACCACTGATTGCACCCCTTTACGGAGTACTTGGCCATTGTTTTACCAGGAAGCTATCATCTGATCTGGCACCTTCGGAGGCTGCGGCTGAGATGGGGCAGCTTTCTGGCAAAAGAAGCCGTTCAATATGCACGTCATCTGTCCCTGCGGCAGGCTGCAGATGCGGAATTGATGTCCTCGGCATGAAGCACGTTGGTCAGAACTAGTATGTACTTGGGCATGACTATTAAGTACCGAGATGGCTGGCGTTGAACAACATCAGGTCCACTCCATGTCACAGCAACTCTGTTGAAGGGCTCAATCCGTGTTTGTACATACATGGGGAGGCTGGCGTTATTAGTATTTGCACAATATTATATTTATGTGCCCCGTACAGAGTACTATGCACGTACTTACCTAGGTACTTACTTAAGTAGGCAAGTACAAATCGTTGTCGGCTCCCAGCTCCACCCATCAGCCCCCGCAAGCATTCCACTGGCATTCCAACCGCTACAGTTGCCATGTGTCAATGGCATTGATGGCCATGGCTTGCGGCGCTGGCCCCTTCAGGTTGCCCCGGGATATGATACCGTTGACACCAAACAGCACAACAGGCATGGTGAGTAGCGGCGTGTGATTTATTAATAATGGGCATTGTGTCATTCCGGGAGCAACCTCCATAGCGACGCCATCACACTGCTGGACGCATTTAAGTACTGTGGTACTCCGTACTACTGGAGACACCAGTTGATGGTCAGGTAACGCCTGCCATCCATGTTCCTTCCCCTCTGCAGTCAACGAGAAAGAACGAGCGGTCCAGAACAAGGTCAAGACAGCGACTTGGGTCCGGGTTGTTATTCGATTCCGCGAGGAGGACTAACTTGAAAGCAGAAAAAAACGGCTGGTCTGCGTGTGTTTCCCTTTTTGCATGATACAGTATCCCGGCTCCCGGCCTCATACGCACCTTGGCAGAGGGCGCACCGCGCAAAAGACAACGCCATTAATTGACTTCATCACCAGCAAAACATCGACTGTAACTGTAACTGTGACCGAGCCTTGTCACCTTGGTTCGCCGCGATTGGTGACATCCCGGCGCAGCAATACATACTTGCAACATTACCGCGGTCGACACTGACGAGTCTGGGGAAAGCAGACGGTGCCGGGACGCAATTTCGAGTTCCAGAGTCTAAACGTTCGTCAGCCAACCACCACACGTCTTCATCACGCTTGCAGTCGGCCGGCCCTGGGCCGCGGAACCCCTGACCACAACCATCCACGCTGGCCTTTCTCGGGTCTTCCGTCATCTTCACCTTCCAGCCCTACTGTTCGCTTTCCTGGCGCAGATCGAGGACGCAGCGACTCGTTGAACCGCCCGTTGCAGCACCACAAGTGCCTGGTTTCGGCCGTCGCTGGGGACTTCTTTGCGCCGCTTGGTCGAGCCGCATCTTGAGCCTCAGACTGTTTACGCACTAGTACATACATCAACGGCAAGGCTGCCAGCGGTCCAATTCGGCATTCCCGTCCTCCTCCCAGTTCCACCTCGACCAGGACAACAACGACGCGAAATATTATTCTCTGTTCCGGAAATCCTCTCCTTCAAGCCTATACGGCCCTCTATCGCTCAGCAGCGACGCGACACTTGGGCTGCCACAATGGCCACTGTCAACGGGCATCAGATCCACCGTTCCGTGTCTCCCGAGACTTCTCCCACACTGGCCATTGGAGCCTGCCCCGAGCTGTCTCGATGCGTGTCAACAGCGTCGTCCATGTCGCATAGCTCAGCAACTGATGCGAGCCCCCGTGATTCTCTGGGTGGCGAGCTCTTTTCTCGCCAGTCCTCTGGATCTTTCCGGTCATCGCGACTGTCAGATGTCTCCAACATCTCCAGACAGTCAACTCACAGCCTGGATAGCAAGGGCCGAAAAAGAGGATATGTACGACCGCAAGCGACGGATTTTGCTGCCAGTGCCAGGTCTAGGGATAGCGTCATGTGCTTGGGCAGTATCGCTCATTTGCAGTATTATTTTGCCAGAACCGGTCTCTTGGACGGCAAGGGTGGTCAGCTCGCTCGCAAGAAGCCTAATCAGCGCGCCACTCTGGACTTATCGGTCCTCGAAAGCACAAGCTCTACCCCAACGATTCTTGGCATAGACGTGGACTCATCATACGATCCCGTGGACAGCAACCCGGAACATGCAAGCCTTGGCATGGAAGCAAATGTCACTGTCGGCTCTCCTGCAGAGGATGCCGACGAAGACTACTTTGAGGATAGCTTTGCCGAGTCGGATCCAGGAATGCTTCCTCCAACAGTGAGCACATATCATCAGAGGGACGACCCAATTCCCAAGCCTCCCACGATAGACGAGTTGAAGGCCGAGTTGGAAACGTCCCTGACAGATGCCCAAAAGGCCCTGGATGAAGTGCTTGACCGTAAAGCTGGCTCATTTCAAGAAACTCCAGATGCGCCCCAGTTGCCCAATATGCCCGAGGAGAACACACAAGGCTGGTATGAACTGCAGGGAATGCATATCCTCGACGTGGTGACACTGGCCATCCGAGCTGCCAAGATGTATTATACTGCTCACGAGATGCCGGATCGTCTGGACTATATCAAGTCTGAGAAACAGATTCGGGCCGACCTTTTGGCTGTGATGGAAGTCTTGAAGCAAATGGCCACCAGAAACTTCAAAGGTGGCTTGAGAGAGGATGAAATCAAGACCATGGTCGGCTGGGTCGAGAGTGTCTTCCATATTCTGGACAAGGAGCAGGAAATTGAGGCTGCTGAACGGGCGGAACGAACGAGCTGGGTATGGCTCGATGGTGACTGGACCGGGCGGGTGGTGGAGAGAGAGAGGGCATTTCTCTTGTCATTGGACCCCGAGGGAGAAGCACTTCCCGACTGGACACCTCTATCCCAAGCATCCGAATGCCCAACGCCCTTTCTCCGCAGCCTGCAGAACGGACTGCGGCTTGTCAAGCTGCACAACGCTGCTGTAAAGAAGTCCAGAAGGCGCTTTGGTGCCATACCTACTTTCCACGCCGACACGCAGAAACCATACCGATGTGCTGACAACCTCCGCTATTGGGTCAAGGCGGCTGAACTCCGGTTCGAGGTGATGCTCAAGGTTGACGTGCTGGGTGTTGTTTACAACAATGGGCCTGAAGTATGGCAAGACTTTGAAGCAGCCATTCTCAAGTGGTGCAAGCATGTCCGGGAGGAGATTGCCAGCGAGCTGGTGCAGTAAATACTTTGACTCTTCCCTCTGTTTGAATCCAGCAGAAGAGTCCCAACAGCGCATTATGACTTATGCCACCATACCCGGAGTTGATATTACAACGTTTTTTTCTTATTTCATCCGTCGTTTTGGATTTGTTGAGTTTAGTATTTGGTTGGGGTCTGTATGGGCAATCAATCTCCTTCGTATTCGGGGGAGTGAGGCCTTATGGCAAAGCCATGCTCTTTTCACACTACGCCTTTTCACTGCAGCCGTTCCGCACACTTCTTTCTGGTTCCTCTTTTTTTTTTCTTTTTTTTTTCGTTTGTCTCTTTGGGCCACTGAATTCATCGCATTGCGCAGCCTGCAAGTTTGTTATATTTATGCATTTCTTAGCGGGTGAGCGGTGAGCAACACAGCATACGACACAGCACCAGCATAGCATAAGACAGAATTGCATTGCAATGCAGTGTGTAATTGGGCACGAATCAAGCAAGGCAGGTTGTTCTGTGGCACATGTACAAGCCACAGCGCAATACCTCGCATACCTCAATTGTTTAAATCTAATCTTCTAGCATATACCCCCATAGCATAGGCTCAGGCGCGAAAACACTCTATCTATACTTGAGAATGGGATACACGACAGTATGAAATTGGGCCGTGTACTCGTTATTTCTTTGTTTCTTTTTTTTTTGTCCAAGACTTGCAACGACGAGGGCGATGTAGTAGCATTGTTCCGTCATTTGTAGATAGAATATTTATCCCGTTTGGAAATTGAAATTTCACCCATGGAAACGTTTTTCCTGCTGTTGATGCGTTGTATGCTCAGTGCGTGCCCTGGCTGGCAAAGTCCAGATCTTTTGGAAGGCGGCGTAGTCGACTTGGTTTTGGTTCGTGTCTGCTGCTATGGGAGTCTTGAGTGAAAGGGGTGGTCATTTACATGTCACATGTCACATGTCATGTCTGATGTCAAAAGTTGCTCCACAGTGATGGTCGGGGAATAATAGTATCAAGGCCAGTACATGTATTGTTTTTTTGTTTTTCATATTTCTATAAGTTTTTTTTTTTTTTCATTCCTTCATCAAAACAAAAACTCTACCCATTACAACCACGGCACAAAGGCAACAAATCAGACGCCCCAGAATCACTGGACATCGACCTTGCGAACCTCGGTCCACTCCCTCTCCAGCTTGGGCACGACCACGACCAACACCCCGTCCTCCATCCTGGCGGTGATGCCCAGGCCGTCGACGCTGTCCTTGTCGGCCACGCCCGCCGGCGGCAGCGTGATGTTCCTCTCGAAGACGCCCACTCGCCTCTCGGCCGACACGAGGCCCTGCAGGAACGCCTCGTCGCCGGGGCGGTGGACGACGCCCGCGACGCTGAGCGTGTTGGTGTCCGGGTTCCAGTTGACGCCGATGTCGTCCTTTTTCGCGCCGGGCAGCGCGGCGTGCACGACGTAGGACGACTCGGTGGTGAAGATGTCGACGGGGGGCTGGAAGGCGTCGGCGTCGGCGTCGTTGGCGCGGTGGCGCTCCGCTTGGTCGCGCACGCTTTGGAAGAAGGGGTGGTTCGTGAAGCCTCTCATCATGGAGGGGAAGTCGAACGAGCTGCCGCGGGGGCAGTGTCGTGGCGCCCAGCCGCCGTGGTGGCCGCGCCCTCCGCCTCCGCGTCGCCAGCCGTGGCCGCCTCGATGGAATCGGCCGCCTCGACGACCGGCGCCGTATGGCGGAGGCGGGTGCTCGCCGTCTGAGGGGGCGACTTCTTCGGGGTCCGGCATGTCCGCGTCCATGGTCTCGGGGGAGTCGCCCTTTTCTCCCTTTTCAGGGGCTTCCTTTTCGGCGCTGGACCGTTGGGCTTCTTCGTCGCTGCCTTCGTCGCAGTGTCGGTGGTGACGGCCACGATGACGGCATCCGCGGCGACGAGAATGTCGGCCGTGGCGGTCGTGGTCGTGGTCGTGGTCGTGGTCGTGGTCGTGGCCATACCACTGGCCCCAATCAAAGTCTGCCTCCCAGGGACCATGGCCTACTCCCGGAGGAGGAGGACGGTGAGGTGGTCCGCCATGATGAGGCGGAGGCGGCCCGTGATGCCACGGCCCTCCAAAGGGGAAGCCGCCCGAGAATGGGGGAGTAGGTTGAGGGTTGTGGTGGTCTACACCGTTGCCCGGGCGGTTCTGAGCAAAGCCCGGGATAAAGTCCCAGAAGCTTGGGGGTGGGTGTTGATTGTGTTCTTGATCGGGGGACATTGTTATCAACAGCCAAGGGATTGTGTGTTTAAGGCGTGTAAAGGGATGGTTGTCGGGGAGTTGAAGAGACTGGTTCTCTGACGAAACAACAAACTCTACACGGCGATATAACATGCTTATATACTTGGTTCACTTACAACGCCCACCGCCACCGTCCTCGGTCCGGGCACAACTCCACGCAAGTCTCTGCCTGGCAAGGCAATCAAGGGCCAACGCAATCCGCTTCATCTTGACGGTAGTGAAACGACGCAGATGCCTACGGAGCCGGTCATGCACTTGCGTCGATATGGGCTGTCGCATCATCGATTAGCAGCAGGCAAGTCCGTCGCCGCGCGTCCACACGCGGCCTGGTGTTGGTCAGATGTCGGGTGCGACACCATCTCCGGACGCCCGATCTTCAGCTCTTGCATTCTACTCCGTACCTCCCGTCCGCTTGGGGCCGTTGGCGTCGTCGCGCCACGAGTACGGAGCAGCAACATTGAAATTAGTTTGCCACGGGGGACTGTGGCCAGTCGAGCAGCCACGTAAGAAGCGTAGCGGCGCGCAGGACGGGAGTGAGTGATTGAGTCACACTCGTTTGACGACGCCACTTATTTTCTTCCCCTGGAGCCCTGGAGCCGCGTGGCTCTCGGCTCGTTATTGCACTGGTGTCCCTTAGTGTCCAAGTAGGTAAAGTACTACTTCGTAAGTGTTGCAAACTGTCTGGTTGTAAGCACATGTCTGGTCGGCCTTTCGGGCATGGAGCTGCTCGTTTCGCCCCCGACGGAGCCCTTTTCACCGGGTGCGGCAGCCGGACCTGCGTCCCATCTAAGTAGTATGTACTGTAGATTGATGCATGTGCCGGGTTCCGTTGACAGACTGATCATTGATGGGTCAAGTTTGACTCGGCGCCTTTCGCTCGATTGATTGGTGGTAGGCAGCAGCAGCCGCATAGGCGTCAATCATGACTCCGGCTGTCCGTCATTGACAGATACTCGTCACCGGCGCCAGTTCTACTCGCCTACGCGTGGGCGATGGCCACCTGGGAGCTGTTTCTTCCTGAATTGATGAATTCGGATTCAATCTTCAGCAACTTGGGCCGTGGTGTCAACACACCCGGCCAGCAGCAGTAGTACATGTCTGGTGTACCTGCGCAAATTTCTAGTCGCATGATTGGCCACACCAAGCTTAGAAATACACCACCCAACTTTGTTCTACCCACGCCACATGCAGCTTGACATTCGTAACTGTAGCACCTCTGTCAACGGCAACGGCAAATTAAACAAAAAAAAAAGAGCCTGTAACAAGCCAACGTCAAACTTTCGCTTGCTCTTCCACCACCACCACCGCATTATAATACAACATCATGGACGCCAAGTCCATTTCCTTCCGTACGCAAATTGTCCTCTCTGTGCTCCATCCATCCAATGCTCACTCCCTAAACAGCCTCGTCGGCGGAATCCGCGCCCGCCGCTGCATCCGACAACACCCAGAAGCCCAAGGTCGGTCCGCATCCTCGCTTGTCCAGCTTGGTCAATCCGATGGCAATGGATATGAACTGACGCCCAAATCACAGCCGTGCTGCGTGTGCAAAGAGGAAAAGTCCAAGCGAGACGAGTGCATGTTATTCTCAAAAGCATCCGATCCCGCCGCCGATTGCAAATCCTTTGTCGAGCAGTACAGGAGCTGTATGCTTGGCTTCGGATACAAGGTCTAATTGCACACGACGCTGCTCTTCTCCCTCTCGATTATCCGGCCATCAAGCGCCCGTGTATACTATTTGTGCATTAGACGGTTTACGGAAAAAACGGAAATAATACAAGGCATTGGATACCCCCTCCTCTTTAGACAAACGACAATGTTCGATTATTACATCTGACACATTTGGGATTTGGTATGTGTTTGTGACTGCCTTGCACCCTCGCCCCTTTGAGTATGCTTCCAGTAGACTTCATTATCGAGTGAATGCTTGCAAGATTGATACAACGATATCCCGTGAGCGTCATTCCTTGCGCTGGTGAACCTTGGCACCGAGAGCATTCAATGTTTGTTTGGCCTCCTTGTGTCGACCCTTGTATCCTGCCAGCATCATCTCTTCAACCTCTTGCATTGAAGCATGTACACCTGCCACAACTTGCAGCATCTTGTTCTCAATTTGTTTTCTCTTCTCGACAAGCTCAATGACCTTTTTGAGTTGCTGCGCGAGTTTGGTTGCGCTAGGCAGTCATTAGTTGCGAAAAAAACAAATTCAACCCCAGTGGTGACAAGCACTACCTTTTTCGGCGTTTTTCCTCCTGATATGTCACTGCTCGCTTTTTCACAGATGCCAGTGCCTTCTCTGCTTCGGCCATAATTGCTCTGGCCCGTTCGTCTCGCTCCTGTTTTAGCTGCCAGTAACACATCAGCACAGTTGTCATTGAAGGGTATCTGCGGGCAACAAATCTACCTGGTAGATGCGCTGTGGTGCTTTCATGGCAATGATACTGGGATCGGAATCGTCTCCAGATTGGTTGCGAGTGCTTCGTCGAGGCATGGCGGGCAGCCGTCAACGCGCTCACATGTGAGCTTTCCCAAGGGTTGGTCTAGAAAAGCCGTAGGTCCAGAGTCCGCACAATGTCGAATGGGCAATCCTGTGCAAGTTGTAGAATAGGAATTTCGTGGAAACAAGGCCGAGACGCCAGGGCTTGGTTTTGGTTTGCTGGCCATGCAGGCACCAAGCAGGAAGGAACGACCTGGTGCCGCTGCCGTACTTGAGAGCATGACATCTGTCTGCCTACCTAGGTACTTCACATTACTGCACCAAGGCAGCGAGCGGATGGCAATTCAATTTATCTGGTATCACTTAATCCCCCATTTTTGGTCTATTCCCTTTTTGTGGTAGATATTATCATACATCAACCCGCTCAAGTCTCCGCCTTATCGCGTCAAGGCAATGTCGTCTATTCTCAGAATCATCTTCACCGTCTCAGCAGCTAGCTCGATAGCACTCGTACTCACGAGCAGCGGCTGCAAGACATTCTCCTTGGAGATGTTTGTGTTGACACCGCCAGACTTGATGCTGACTCCAGCATTCTTCTCTCCCATCTCATGTCGGTGTCTCAAGTCCGTGACAACCTTGATACTGTTCAGCCCAGCATTTTCGGCCAGAGTGGTAGGAACAACCTCCATAGCATCTGCAAATGCCTTCCAACAGATGGCCTCAGTGCCCGTCAAGCTACGAGCTTGCTTGGACAGCTGGGCGGCTATCTCAATTTCGGCAGCACCTCCACCAGCGATGAGGGCCTTCTTCTTAACCAAGCAGCGCATAACGCAGAGAGCATCGTGCAAACTTCGCTCCGCCTCCTCCAAAATCAGCGAGTTGGCTCCTCTGACAACGATGGAGACAGTCTTTCCGGTAGCCTTGGCACCGGTGACCTTGACCATGCGTGAGCCTGAAGATTCCGCTTCCTCGACTAGTTCAGCATATCCCAGCTTATCCTCAGTGAAAGAATCAATGTCCGCAACAGGCTTGCAGCCAGTTGATTTGCAAATGAACTCCACTTCGTCTCGCTCAATATCCTTGATGGCAAGAATTCCCAGCTTGGCCAAGAAATGTAGCGACAAGTCGTTGACAGCGTCGCGCAGAATCGATTTCTGGATAAGAAGAACGTTGCACTTGGCCTTTTTTATCTTCTTAGCTATGTTGAGGAGGTACAGACGCTCCTCCTTGACAATCTTATCCATTTGTCTGTAGTCGTTGACCTGGATCGTGTTTTCCATCTGAAACAAAAGTAAGTATATATATCAGCGTTTCGTCTCCAGAAATTAGAGCTTACGTCTGGCTTGGGCGGGCTGAGCTGGAACTGAATAAGGCCGATGCGTGCCTTCTCCATTCTGATGGGGCCGCCGGCGTTCTTTAGAACTGGCTGGTTAAGGACCAGACCAGGAACAAGCTCGCTATCCTCGATAGTGCCTCCAACCTTCTTGACAATTCGAATGTTTCTCAAATCAACGTTATCGGCTGTCTTGACATCGATCACCTTTGTCACGGAGTTAACAGCCATCGGGCCAAGCAGGTTCGAGTATTGTGAAACAATCTTGGACGACAGTGAGGTGTTGGCAGCCTGCAGAAGAGCAGAGGTATCGTTAAGGGTAATCGGTTGGGACATATCATGAAGTACTTCCACGGCGGCAGCTGATGCACGCTGGAAGGACTCTGAGATGACCGAGGGATGGATGCCTTTTGACAGGAGTCGGTCTGCAGCACCAAGCAAGCTACCGCAGATGACAACGACAGAGGTTGTGCCATCGCCAGCTTCGACGTCTTGAGCGCCAGCGAGGTTCACCAGCATCTTGGCGGTAGGGTGCATAACCGACATGCTCTTCAGCATAGTGTGTCCATCGTTTGTAATGATTGTCTCGCCCTTTCCGCTTCGGATCATCTTGTCCATACCTCGAGGGCCGAGGGAAGTTCGAATAGCATCAGCGACAGCTGTATACATGTTAGCAAACTCATTTCCTAGGCTCGGCTGGAGTTGTTCGCACCTCTGGCGGCGACAATGTTGGACGACCGCACAGCCATAGGCTTCTCCTTGTCCTGGGAGCTTGTTAGCGGGGGGTTCACAGCTTAGGGGACCTGCGCGAGCTCCTCGTACTCTAAAAGTGGCATTCTGAGACTGCCCAGCAGAAACCGCGGGTGCTGACATGGTGGCGACGAAGTTGAGCTACCCGAGTTTCTTTGATTCTGTAGTTTGCGTTGGGGTGTTGCAGAATCGTCGAATGGCGGGATGTTGGCAGCCTGGGCGAGATATCCCACCTTCTGCCACTTTCTGCCCTACTCCCGCTCCGCCATGGGCTGTCTCCAGAAATTTTGGTGTCGGGCCACAGATTATCCATGCTCCGATATGTATGTACATTGTGCGACCCAAGATGGTTTAGCGCCACTTGTCTTCTGGCTCAGTCCGATGGGGCCCGTGCACGGAGCTCAAGGCAACCTACTCTGATTACGGAATGCTTCGACAGAGTGTTAACCCTCAGCATCGCCATTGCCAACGACACCCTCGACAGCCTTCCCCTCTATCGAACCTTTTCATCTACCAGCGCAGCGGAGCCGGCCGTACCACTCATATCGCTGTTCCCTCCTATTTCACTACTCCCCGATCGCATTCTCAATTAGCAGCGTCTCATCGGCAACGCGCGCCTGCAGGCGGATTCCATCATGGTAAGCTGCCCAAAGCAACTTTCTAAGGCTGCTTGTGCCAACCAGTGGCTGACTCTAACTAGCCTTCCGCGACCGGTCAAAACTGGGAGAAGTACCAGAAGAAGTTTGCCGATGACGAGATAGAAGAGAAAAAGATTACTCCCCTGACTGATGAGTACGAACGGCCCGGTAGGATGATGGGACATGGGACATACCAGCTGACTGTTTGTCAGGGATATCCAAGTTCTGAAGACCTATGGCGCCGCACCCTACGGTGCAGCGCTCAAGAAGCTCGAGAAACAGATCAAGGACAAACAGCAAAGTGTAGATGAGAAGATTGGGGTCAAAGTACTAGCCGGCACCCTCGCTAATCCCTGCCTGGCGTATATCTAACATCGACCAGGAATCCGACACTGGTCTTGCCCCTCCGCATTTATGGGATGTTGCCGCTGACCGTCAGCGAATGTCCGAGGAGCAGCCGTTCCAGGTTGCACGATGTACCAAGATTATCGAAGACGAGAAAGGCGACGAGTCAAAGAAGAAGTACGTTATTAACGTCAAGCAAATCGCCAAGTTCGTCGTCCAGCTAGGAGACCGTGTGAGCCCAACAGATATCGAGGAGGGCATGCGTGTTGGTGTTGATCGTAACAAGTATCAGATCATGCTGCCACTACCACCAAAGATAGATGCAAGCGTCACCATGATGACTGTCGAAGAGAAGCCCGACGTCACATATGGTGATGTTGGCGGTTGCAAGGAACAGGTTGAGAAGCTGCGAGAAGTTGTCGAAATGCCTCTGTTGTCTCCAGAGCGATTTGTCAACCTGGGCATTGATCCCCCCAAGGGGGCCCTTCTCTACGGACCCCCCGGTACAGGTAAAACGCTCTGTGCCCGTGCCGTCGCCAACAGAACAGATGCCACATTCATCCGAGTCATCGGTAGTGAACTGGTCCAAAAATACGTCGGTGAAGGTGCACGAATGGTCCGTGAGCTGTTCGAGATGGCAAGAACGAAAAAGGCCTGCATTATTTTCTTTGACGAAATCGACGCCGTCGGTGGTGCCCGATTCGACGACGGTGCCGGCGGTGACAATGAGGTACAGAGAACCATGTTGGAACTTATCACTCAGTTAGATGGTTTCGACGCTCGTGGAAACATCAAGGTCATGTTCGCCACCAACAGACCGTCTACTCTAGACCCCGCTCTGATGAGACCCGGTCGTATCGACCGAAAGATTGAGTTCTCACTTCCGGATCTGGAAGGCCGAGCCAACATTCTCCGAATCCATGCCAAGAGTATGTCCGTTGAGAGAGATATTCGATGGGAGCTCATTTCTCGGCTCTGTCCTAATGCTACTGGTGCGGAATTGAGGAGTGTGTGCACCGAGGCGGGTATGTTTGCTATTCGGGCAAGGAGAAAAGTTGCGTCAGAGAAGGACTTTTTGAGTGCTGTTGACAAGGTCATCAAGGGCAACCTCAAGTTCAACTCGACTGCTACCTACATGCAATACAACTAGAGTGGGTGAATCTTTTGTATTTTTTTTAAACTAGAAACCTTGGTGTATGACTATGGGAGATGACACGGAAGGTTGCGCTTCTAGATACCTTGTTGATGCCTCTAGCAGAAGTTTAATAGAAGCCGGCGTTCACGGTGGAACCACGTCATGTCTAGTCTCATCTAAAAAAAAATGATGATCAGTGCAAAGCATCCACGATGGATACGTATATACATTGAGTCGCATCCAGTATAGGTCAACCCTAGGAAAATGCTATCTACGGTTCATACAGACGCTATGGTCTGTGCACTATCTACTGCGCATGTGAAATATTTACATAGTGAATATTCAGGTTCCTATCGCGCTAAATCCATATAAAAAGCAGCATTAACCCATGGCTGAGATCCCAAGCCACCGCTATCCACACAATCTCCTCCAGCAAAATATGTATTCGTGAATGTAATCGTATGTGAAATGAAGTTTAAAAAGGAGACTATAACTCCGCACCCGGTTACTTGAAGAGAACGCCAGAGCCAACTTAGATCGTCTGTCATTAACCACCTCTCCTAATAAGTTTCAAGTGCCTGGCATGCCAGACAAACATCCCAAGCAAACTACTTCTCCTTCGCGGCCCCTCTCGACACAACACCTGCTGCACACGACGGAGCGGTGTCCCGACGCAGCCCATCCTCTGGAATCTTTTTCTGCCTCCTGGTAGTGCCCATAAAGTTGCCGTGTATTGCTGTCTCCATCCCCCGGGTGGCCATGATGACCATCTCGTGGCTCAGACTCCATGTCGTCTGCGTCGTCCATGTGAAATGATCGCGAAAGCACCTCCTGCTCCGAAAGCACAGACATGTCATAGTCTGCATTCCATCCATGGCACTCTCTGATGCAGACGAAGCACGCTCTCTCCCCGCAACCCTGACACTCTGCGAACGAGTCGAGGTCGGATTTCTTGGTCGGTCTCCGGTGGCAAATGTAGCATGGGGCTAGGAGCGCTGCACTGGGTGCCACAGGAGCTCGATTTCCAAGACCCGTCTGGTCCTGGAACACTTTCTGCTGCGGTGGTCGCCGTCGTTGCGTCTGTACGAGGCTACTGGGGCTGTCGTGGTGGAGAGAGTCGTCTTCGTGGGTGATGCGAGCCCTTTTCGACGAGGAGAGCGGGAGGATTTTGCGGGCGGCAGAAAAGTCTGACGCACGGTTCAACAGGTAGAAGTCGGGTTGTTGTTTGTCTGCGTGGTATAGCCGGTAGACATTGCTGTCGTGGTTATCCTCCCATCGTCGTTTTCGTGCTGGCTGGAAATCATCGCCGTCGCCGACATACGGCATGTTCACGCCGGGTTGGAGGCACAGTGATGCGTATGGTGGCGTGAGCTAACGAGATGCTGGACGGGAGTGTGAAACAGGCTTCATAGGTTGGTACGGAGTGGACATCTGTAGCAGTGAGGTATTCAGTCAATGTTGGATGTTGGATGTTGGATGTTGGAGGCAGGTGGGCGGTTGGGCGGTTGGGCGGTGGGGGACTGGAGGTGTTTCTTCTTGTGACAGTTGACGACCACAGAGGTGCCCATGGAGAATCAAGGTCCTGCAGGGATGTACGGAGTAGTTATCTAAGAAGTAGGTACCTACCTCTAAGTCGGTAGGTACAAGTCGGCAAGCCCGTTCATTTGCTGTCCAACCAGCTCACCACATGCACACAGTGTTGCTCACAGCCGGGTCTAAGCGTCGACTGGTCCCGTCCAGAGCTGGCCGGCCAAACAGGCATCGTGCATGTGCTGCCAGGCCCCAGCCGTCTTCTATTACTCCGTACAGTGAGGAGAGAACCGCCTAGGCAGCGGCCTAGCCAGTCCAGTCTGTGTCAACCTCAATGTTAGGTCCCAGCCATACATGAATGTTGCAGGCGACCGCACCGTATTCATTTCCAAGTCAAAAAGATTAAAACAAAAATAAGAGCCTAGCCGCTTACAATACGGCAACAGCTTGGAAACATGTCCTGCGCTGACATGGGCGATGAATAGCTTCTTTCCACGAGGTATTGTGACCACATGCACTGCCGTATTGATCATTGGCACACCTTGAATAAATCACATGTAAGGTGCGGGAGCAAATTGTGCATTACTACGACAAAAGTAAAGGTATTGAAATTTGGTTCATCTGATTTACACTCTACCATCCACCTTCCCTGATTTTTAAACCACCGTCTCCCCGTTCTACCCGCCTCCGCCAACAAAGGAGCATCTCTAAGGGGAGGAGACTAGTATACACATGGCACACAACTTTGCCTCATCACCTAGCGGCGAACCTTGGAGTCCGCAGGAGGGTCATAGGCAAGCTTTCTCGACTTCAGCCATGCCCACTTGTATCGCTTAACCCAGACGCTGACGGCCCACAAAGCCGACGTAACAATCAACACCTTCAAGCCCATCTTCTTGCGGTCGTCCATTTCAGGTTCGGCAGCCCAGTTGAGGAACTCGACAACGTCCTTGGCCATCTGAGAGGTGGAGGCGGGGGTGTCGTCTTCGTACTCAACAAGGCCGTCATAAAGAACACGAGCCATACCAATACCAGTTCCGGGGAAATAAGGGTTGAAGTTCATGCCAGGAGCGACCTGGGCACCGGCGGGAGGCTCTTCAGGGTAGCCAGTCAGCAAGCTGAAAATGTAGTCGCAGCCACCGTGGCGACCCTTGACGATCAAGCTCAGATCCGGCGGAAGGGCACCGTTGTTGGCAAATCGGGCAGCCTCCTCATTCTTGTAGGGGTCGGGAATGTAGTCGGCCAGTTTTCCAGGTCGCATCTGGATCTCGCCCTGCTCGTCTGGCTCACCAGGGTACTCATTCTCCTCAGCAAGAGCCTTGGCCTCGTCGACAGTCAAGACAGCGCCAACCAATGTTCTGTAGGGGATACGGCTAAGTGAGTGACAGCTGGCGCAGACTTCCCTGTAGACCTGGAAACCTCGGCGAAGACTAATATTCAAGGTCAGTATCAGGATGGCATAGAATCAATAGCATGTGCTCCGGTCCAGATTCCTAGAGCGGCCAAACAAGTAGCACTTACGCCTGGTGGTCGAAGGTCTTGAGCCACTGCTGATGGACCCATGGATATTGTGTAGCGTGCAGACTGTTGAAATGAATTAGTGAATTGGTCATCGAGATAGAGAGCCCCATATAGCCGAGCACGGCAATTTATGCCGCACGTGGCAGAGGACGCCAACGACGTGGCAACAAGAGTTCCCGTTCATATATTCTTGGGAGGGGGGACGTACCCTTCCTCAGCAGGGCTGGCAGCAAAGGCCACAGGTCCATAGAGGTGGTAGTACCAGGCAATGGAGCCGGCAGCGACGGTGGTCGAGGCGATAGCGGCGAAGTTCAATCGCGCAGGGGAAGCTTCCCCGGCAGCACCCGAGCTGGTCGAGGCGGCGCGCTATAAGACAAAAATACAATTAGCAATGGTATTCTTGATCCAAGATGCATGTATAATTCGATTGATGTGGTTCCGGTCGGTTGGGGCGGGTGGTGGTGATTCCCTCGGCAAAACACGAAAACGGGGAGGCAGGCGAGTCCGAACTTGAGCAGGACCGTTATACCTTGGACACATTGTTGACGCCATTTCGGAGCCCATTGAGGGTGCGCGTCGAGCGCAAGCAAGACCTTGCCAGCATAATTGACAAGCTATACCGTATCCGTGGAGGGAGCCGTTGTGAGGATGTGACGGCGATGGTCGTATCGATTTCGTGGGTCGGAGGTTCGAAAAGGCTCAGCAGGAGAGGTCATACCTATTGAGAAAATCCAGCGTTCCGAAATGGGCCGACGCTGATTGGTTAAAGTCACGTGATTATCTAAGCTTGGTGATTGCCCAGCTCGTCAGGCCACAACTCGCTTACCTAAGTTGGAAGCACTCAGATGCTCCACTTTTGATAGGTAGGTACCTTGGCAGCTGGCGCCAGCTGGCAGGAATTTCTGCACTCATCACCCTGGCGCCCACGCACTCGCATCCCCCTGCACCTGAATCAACCATCCTTTCCGTTGCCCCGCCCCCACTATATAATTAATTTGGCTGGGTGTGACAAAAGCAACCATCATCATCCATACTGTCACGCAAACCGCGTTCTTTCTTTTTACCCGCTTTGCAATTTTGCCCTGCTTTATATTGTTTTGAGCATACTCATACAAGATGACTGTTCTCCCCAAGCTGTTTACCATTGAAGGCAAGGGCCTCAAGCTCGATACCGCCGCGGATGTCGAGCCTCATATCCAAGATCTTCGAGCCAACGATGTTGAGGAGGTCAGGTTGCTTGGCAACACCCTGGGTGTGGAAGCTTGCAAAGTTATTGGAGAAGTTCTGGCTACCAAGAAGAACTTGAAGGTATGATTTTTTACAATCCATCAAGCTATCCGAAATTCACGATAAATGGATAAGTTCCTAAAACTAACGCTACCCTCATCAAGATTGCCAACCTCGCCGACATTTTCACAGGCAGACTGCTGAGCGAAATCCCCGAGGCACTCTCTTCGCTGCTAACTTCCATCCTCAACCACCCAAACCTCCACACCGTCAATTTGAACGATAACGCATTTGGCCTCAACACACAAGCCCCCCTCGTCGCTTTCCTCTCCGCCCACGTGCCGCTGCAGCACCTGTACCTTAACAACAACGGCCTCGGCCCCCACGCCGGTATCCTTGTCGCCGATGCTCTTTCAGAGCTTCATGCCAAGAAGGAAGCCGCTCGCAAGGAGGGCAAGCAGGTTCCCGACTTGGAGACAGTCATCTGCGGCCGCAACCGACTGGAGAACGGTAGCATGACCGCCTGGGCCAAGGCGTATAAACTTCACAATAAGATCCAGCACATCAAGATGGTTCAGAACGGTATTAGGCAAGAGGGAATCTCTCATCTCATCAGCGAGGGTTTGGTTCACGCCACCGAGCTGCAGATCTTGGATCTCCAGGACAACACTTTCACTTTCACGGGTGCCAGAGCCCTCGCCAACGTCGTCACAAATTGGACTGTCGTTCGCGAGCTGGGTATTGGCGATTCACTTTTGAGCGCCAAGGGCGGTGTCCTGTTTGCGAAGGCTTTGGCTAAGGGCAAAAACCAGAAAGTCGAAATTTTGCGACTGCAGTACAATGATATCACCGCGACTGGTGTCAAGGCCTTCGCTGCCGCAGCCAAGGACGCGCTACCGGCCCTGAAGCGCATAGAATTGAATGGAAACAAGTTTGACGAGGATGACGAGTCCATCCTCTTTCTGCAGGAGCTTCTTGACCAGCGTAAGGAGAAGCTCGCCGGAGATGTGATCAATGAGGACGAATGGGGTATTGACAGCCTGAGCGATCTCGAAGAGCTTAGTGGGGATGAGGAGGAAGAGGAGGAGGAGGAGGGCGTCACTGCTGAGGAGCTTGCCGAGAAACTGGTCAAGGAGGCTGAGGAGGCTCAGGAGGAGCCTGTGGTCCAGCTCAAGGACAAGGAGGTCGAGGCTCTCGCTAAGAAGCTTGAGAAGGCCGAAATTTAGATTGGAATGCTGTTATGCCCCGTGGCGTTGGATGATTTATTTACATACACTTCAGATTATACATAGGGTTAGAGCGTGCAATACATACGATACCCCTTTAATACTATTTCTGTGAGGATTGACACGAGGTTTACGAGGCCAATTCACAACCAGCTCATGCGCAACAAAAAAATGCGGCCAAAGGGCAGACTGCATCACCTCGTGTAAATCACACAGTCACGCACAAAAATTGAGTAACCGCTAGAGTTTGCAATGAAGGAAATATTGATCAATGACAGAAATATATTCAACATTTGGTTTATAGTATAAGAGGCTAACATCACACGAGTTTCATAACTTCAATAAGAGTGAAATGAAAATGGAAGGTAGGGGCAGGATGCGCTCGAATATCGGAGCTTCGGGGTTTTGGGGAGGATATGGACACGCACCTATACTGGCTGTAGTTGAAACCAGGTTCTCTAAAAGTTTTGTTAGCCGCCACATCAACACTTCCGGAACAAGGGATGGGGAGAAGATGAAAGAGTGGAAATGAATAGTCAGGAAAAACAACAAGGTATCTCCCAGTCCAGAGAAACATTAACCCTCCTGGTATATAGTGACAACCAAACCCCCAAGCCCATAACACTGATACCAAACCACCTGCGCACATGTCTGTTTCTGTCCATACTTTGATTTGTCCCAGGCACAAACGCAAAACACAATCCATACAACCTGTCTATGCATATCTAACGGCTGAGAGCAGTATTGTGTATGATTAGATCGCCCCCAACAAGCATAGTTACATGACATCCATGGCATCAACCGGCATCGACGCATTCCTAAATTGTTCAAAAGCACCGTACTGGACAGCCATCTCCAGCTGCTGCTGTTGCTGGTCATAGTCAGGCCCTTTGTACACAGGGTCAGTAGACCTAGAATATCTGTTGCTGCCCACGGCAGTGCCATAGTGGTTGTAAACATCTCTGGCATTGGTGTCAATAGACTGACGTTCATACTCTCGTCGCATGAGTTCTTCATACCCGGTAATCATGTATGGCTCACTTTCGGCCGAGACCTGTTGAGTCCATTTGCCGTTATCTGTTTGGACAAGGGTCCCGTCCAGGCTCATGGTGGGGTTGCGTTGCCTCTCATATCGCATTTGTGCAAGATGCTCTTCTTGGTCCAGGGTCGTGCTGCTCCAGGCAAGAGAAGGAATATCTTCGGCCCTGTTGGGAGGACAAATGCTCCAAAGCTCGATCAGGCGAAGTTTCTGCGGATCATCGGCAACACGGAAGAGTTGAACCTGGGATGGTGTCAAGACGGCGGGGTCTACGCCGTAGCTGCGCAGAATCATCTCCATCGGGGATATCTCGCTCTGAGGCGGCTCCGATGACGGCCGCTGGGGCTGATATTGTCCTTGATTCTCAGATAGTTGAGCGCCAGGCTTCGCAGTGTGTGCGGAGTGGTGGTAGTGTTGTGAAATCGAATACACAATGGGTTGGGAGACTGGAGCCGCGGGGGTCGGCTCCTGTCTTGCTGTCTCTTTTTGGGCAGAGACGTGAAAGTCGGGGTTAAATGTCAAGTTACGAGAGAAGAGATTGGCAAGGTCATCCTGAACCTGTTGGGCGTTTGCCTGCATGCCGGGTTGAACAGAAACCATGATCTGGAAGCGAATCAATATCAAACAATCACACCTCCCGCTTACACGCAGGCGGACATGGAGAGGCCACATACCTCGGCTGTTGGCGAATTAGTAATGCAGCCAGCGACGGACGGCAAAGACGGTAGTTTCTTTTTGAAGTATCTCTGTATCGTAACTTTGAAGTCAGTATTCGTCGCTAGCCTTCCGGTCCACGGATCCTTTTATTTCCTGTCAAGTGAGTCCTTTATTTTCTCAAGCAAGGCCTTGGTTGGGTCGATATGCGGTTGGGTATCAAGACAGAATGGCCAAGCTGACGGTACTCGGATCTGCTGGGGTGGCCAGGTGGCAAAAGAGACGAGGCAAATCAGAAGTATATTTCGGCTACGCTAAGGTGATGAAAGGTAAAGGGTGAAAACGGACAGGAGCGTGAAGATTGAGAAAGTTGACAAGAGCTGGAGGGGAAAGTGAGCAGGTGCTGCCTTAAGTCTCCTCGTTCTCGTCTCCTATTTCCTGTCTCCTCCTGTCTCAGGCAGGATTTAGCACAGGAGCGGTGGACTTTTTTCGATTTTAGGCGGCACAGTGGACCAGAACCGCGGACCAGGGTCCAGAGGCGGGGGGGGGGGTGGGCTTTGGGCTTCGAGGGAACAGAGAAAGGGCGGAACGGAGCGACGAGACAATATTGGTGTTCAGAGATACGTGCTGCGCGATGGATGGTGAAGAGGACACGTCAACGCTGATTCATGGCAGACACAAAGTTATATATTAAAACAAACAGAGCGTCATCATCCTTTCCGTGGAAGGCCGATGGACTTTGTTGAGAAGCCTGCAGGCGCGGGACCTGCAGGCAGACCAGGGAGCGTTACAGGGAGCATAGTCATGCGATAGCAGGTGGTTGGCGGGCGCCTAGCGGCGGTTCTAGTGGTGTGGAGGGGCAATTCGTGACGCAACATCATTCAGACGCCTTTCTGGCTCCAACCGTCATCGACTCGAATTCGTCACGGGGCCATTTTCTTTCACGCCACTGGACCATGGTTGTTGAGGAATGGAACAGAGATGGAACGCTCGACTTCCAGTGGTTCATGTGTATTTCGTGTATTACTAGCTGCACACGGATGTACCGAGTACGGATGGCTTGGTCCGCCGGCATCCGAGTGCCACTATTTCCACCTGCCCCGGTCTGGGCTTCTGGCTAAGTACGAATGGAGCTTGCATCAATTAATTCATGGCCAGGCCGGAATAAAATCATGTCTAAAGCTCCTTCCAAAGAGACCCTCTGGTGGACTGCCTGCGTACCACGTCGGGGTCTGGTGTATTTTGGCACTCCCTGTACCAGATTTCAGGTGTCTGGATTGATGCGATCAGTCACGAATGGTGATGCTTCATGATGGCCATATTTAAAATGTGTTTCATGCTCTAAGCGTCACAACAATGAAACGGTGCGCATTTGATCCTCAGTATGATGTAAGTCCCAAAAATCGCTGCCGACTGGCTACTAGGCGGTAGTTACTTTTTCAAGTATCTGTACATGTGAATTTTCCCTTCATTTACTTTCGTACTCCGTACTGCAGCGTCATTCTTCATAGCCCTTTGAATGTGCGCAGGTCCAATTGGGGTAGCGGACCAAGGTCCTAGCTGATGTTAAATGCTGATAAAAGAGATATAGTTTTACTAAGAAATATAAGATAAGTACTTAATATTTTAAGATATATATAAATATAAGAATAAACTAATTATTTACTGGAGTTAAAAAGTACCTTGAAGTATCATAAGAAGAGTGGGTTGAGTACATTCATTGAACCTGCGCACACTCAAAGGGATCTAATAAACGGACACAGGCCCCCGAGCTCCGGATCCGATGTGGATGCGTGACATGTGTGCCGTGTCCGCGTCAGCCACATTCAGCTCGACTTCATGTGGCTGACACCTCAACCAGAGTTTGGCGCCTCAGGCAAAAACTGCAAGCCAGCCTCGCGCCAGCACACTGCAATACGCAGCTCTCAGGCTGCCTGGCGATGCTTGTCGGTTGGAGCTTCAGGTCCATATCTGCCATCTCAACTCCTCATAATTCCCCCAGCCATTCACACAACAAGCCTCTCTACCTGACGAAACCATCTCTCGGACAGGTTTCACGGAGACCAACTTATCAAGATGGTCAGTGGTTTGCAGTCACTGTTTGCATGCCCTACCCGTGAAGCAAGCTAAGCTAACCAACCCTCAACATCCAGACATCGATAGGAACGGGCTACGATCTTCTCAACTCCATCTTTTCGCCAGATGGCCGCAACTTCCAGGTGGAATATGCGGTTAAAGCAGTAGAGAATGGCGGCACCTCAATCGGCATTCGGTGCAAGGATGGCGTCGTCCTAGCTGTTGAGAAGGTGGTGACATCAAAGCTGCTAAAGCCCGGCGCAAACAAGCGAATCGCTACCGTCGACAGCCACGTTGGTGTTGTACGTAACCTTGCAACTCCGTTACCAAAGCAAACTCATTTCTACACAAAACGTGTCTTCGGAGCTGAAGCTAATCTGTGCACCCAGGTCTACTCAGGAATGGTCCCCGACGGCCGACACTTTGTCGACCGTGCCCGCGACGAGTCCCAAAGCTGGCGCCAAAACTTCAAGACCCCGATCCCCACGGCCGATCTTGCCTCCAGAATGGGCGGCTATCTCCAGGCATACACCATGTACGGCTCCGTCCGGCCATTCGGCATCACCGCCATTGTCGGCGGCGTGGACACATCCGAAGAGACACCCGTCGACGGAGAAGTTGGCTCTGGCCCCAAGTGTGGTGCTGGCGGCAAGGTCGCTGGTAAGCACGGCGGTCCCTTCCTGTACATGATTGAGCCCAGTGGTCTGTACTGGGGCTACTACGGTGCTGCTACGGGCAAGGGTCGTCAGGCGGCCAAGGCTGAGCTGGAGAAGCTGGATCTGCAGTCAGGCAATATGACCATGGAGGAGGCCGTCAAGGAGGCTGCGAGAATTATCTACATTGCACAAAAGGACAACAAGGACAAGGATTTTGAACTGGAAATGACTTGGATTAGTGGTGTGGACGGTCCGACCAAGGGTCGCCATGTCGAGGTGCCCAAGGAGTTGCGGGAGGAGGCTGAGAGATTAGCAAAGGCGGAGGATGACTCAGACGACGACGACGAGAACGACAAGAAGGACGATGATAAGATGGAGGAATAGAGAGGGTTCGCGAAGCAACAAGGGGAAGGGGACTTAGTTGCGCACGCGGCGAAAGCACTTGTACTATCACACGGCAGGTTCATAGAATAATGCTTTATATGGTTGGGCAATGGAGAATAAGCAATGAACCTTTTTAAGAGAGAGAGGGGGAGTCCATCACACCAGCAAAAATGTGAGCCTGAATTTCCATCACAAATCTACCTAGACATTCACCTCGACTATGCAGCGGGCAAGTGTGTGATGCTGCCTTAAAAATCTGTTTTTATCTCCCTTGCAACTCGCTCGTTTCCATGGGCCCCAAATTACGAATCTATGTACACGACTTGAACAACCACATCCACATCACGTCCGACTCTGCGAAGCATGATTCTGACACCAGTTATTCCAGTCAGCAAAAAACGAGTTCTGCATCGTGACGTCTCCCAAGACCCAATCACTCTGTGTCTTGGCATACACGCCCGCCACCTCACGAATCGCCTCCCTATCGCCCGCAAACATGCTCGAGGCCACGATCAAGCTAGCAGCACTGGCGGCTTTGGCGTACGCGTGGGAATTGTCCTTGCCTGCCTCGTCGTGTATTTGCACCAACAGGCCCAGCATATCCGCTCCGAGGGCGTCGTCGCCACTCTCCTTGCCGGCCCTCGCCTTCCGGAGGCCCTTTTGGTAAGCGAGGATGATTTCGCAGGCTCTGTTGGCGAGCGGTTTTGCAGACGTTGTGCGCATGAGGTTCAGCAGCGGGACGAGCAGCGAGTAGGCAAGGGTGTTGAGAGCTTCGTTCTTGACGTATATGTCGAGGAGGTCGAGGATGCGGTGTTTAAAGTTGATGACGGATTGCTTGGCGTCCTTTTTGGCCTTTTTCGCGTCGGATTGGGACGACTTGATGCGTGGGGCAATGGCCGCAGAGAGCTGTTCGTCCAGGGCGAACATTTCCGAGTCGGACATGTTGTCTTCGGAGGAGGAGGAGGCGGCGTCGACGTCTCTGTCGAGGCGGTGGGAGTTGAGGATTTTGCCAAGCACTTCGTCAAGTTCTTCGGGGTTGTTCCATTCGCCTTTGTTCTTTTTGGGGCTGGTATCATCCGATGAGGAGGCGGCATCGCCGTCTTCGTCGCCGTTGAGGTCAACGAATTCCATGTCAGAGTCGATTTCGAAATCTGAGGCATCCTCGACGTCTTCGACTTGATCGTCTTCGTCTTCGTCTGAACCCTCACTTTCGTCTACATCCATGGCGTCGTCATCTATGTTGAAGAGCTCCTTTTGGCCCTTTGTACTTTCTCCTGAGGCTAGTGGCCCGGTGAGGAGCTCCAAGCCCTCGGCGGATATCTGGCCAGTGAATGCCTCAAAGACTTGTTGAGAAACTTGTCTCATTAGAGAGGAGGGACGAGCAACCATCGACAGAAGTATTTCAACTAGCAGTTCTGAACTACCTTCGTTCTGTTCGCCGTCTTTATTCGCCTTTTTTTCTTTAAGTCTGTTGTAGAACTGGGAAAGGTCGTCCAATACTTCCATCGCATCAGGGTCATCATTATAAAGTTGGAAAATGGATATTGCGTGGAGCATCGCGAGACCCTGGGCTGTCTCCTTTTCGCTTTGTGTCTTTGACTTCCGCTTCAGAAGCTTGTTCATGCGTGCCAGGGCGTCGTCCATTGATTTTTTGATCTCTGGGGCCATATTCTTTGCGCTGGCGTCTATTGATGCTACGGCTTCGCAGAAAAGGGCAAAGTCTTTGCTTGAGCGAGCGAGCTTGGCAAGTGACGACTCGAGGCGAGAGCGACACATTTCTCGAATTTGTTCGGTAAGAGCATCTTCCGGTATATCCTTTGGCTGAGCATACGCCAATCCGGCGAGTTCCTGTAGAACTGGCCCAAATGACCCCTTGGTAGCTTCAACTTCATCATCTGTTGATGGCGCCGAGGCGAATGCATTCAGGATCTTGGCGAGGTAATCAGCATATGTCCGAACAATAGACTGAGCGTCAGCAGCTTCTTTTTGCTTCAAAGTCTTGATAGGCTGTCGAACAACAGCCAGCACAGCTTCCGCGTCTTCTTTGTTGATGTTTTGCAACAGCCTATCCACCGTCTTTGTACTCGTCCGCTGGTCGAAACCGTATACACCATTCTTCCCGATGAGGTTGGCGAGAACAGGTGTCAGAGATGATGGGTGAGCTGATACGACCACTTCGATAGACTTCAGGGCTTTGATAGCAGCTCGGTGCAAATAGCGGTCCTCTTTCGACGCTTGATTCACCAGACATGACATTAAATTCCGACTGAAAAGTGACTGCACTTTCGATGGCACCTCAATAAACCCTTCGAGCATCTTCTGAAAGACCATGAAACCCTTGAACTTTTGTCCGTCCGTGGCTTGTTTGGAAAATAGACCATCTTTATCGATGTGAGGTCAGCAGGGATAACATAATAAAACGGGGTAAGAAGAGTGCATACCGTCAACAACCCGATTCCAAAACTGTTCGAAATCCTCCTCCGCCTTATCCGACTTGGCATTGAGAAACCGTGCTAAGATGAGATCCCACACAAAGTGCAATTGGGCACTCCACGATGCATGCTTTCCGCCATTCTGGCTTTTATCGTTTATATCCTTCCCATTTTCCTTGAAGCTCTCCTTGAGGACTGCAGTCAAGTCAGGGAGAGACTTGCTGGAAAGCGGGTTCTTCCACGGCTGGGGCTGCAGAGTAGGAAATCGATTGAGGGCAACGATCCAGGCGGCCGCCCCCTCTGGGGTCTTTGCCAAACCAGCTTTTGCAATCCTGGATAGCGTTTCCGCCGCATCGGCTTGGTCCATTTGCTCGAGAGCCTGGACCAACACCCATCCACATTGAGGTCTAAGCCAGATTTTCTTGTTGCCCAGTTTCAGCAGCAGATTGAGGACTGAATCCCACCTCGAGGTATCCCTGAACAGAGTTTTGGACTTAACAAAGCACTCGATTCCGAATAGCTGGCCGAGAAAATAGTCTCGCTCTTCTTGCCCCGGAATGTTGCCTACAGCTTGAGTTTTCTCAGCCAAGAGGCCCAACACCTTGTCAAATGACAATCCAGTATATTTCGTATTTGAAAGATCCTTTTCTCCGAATAGCTGAACCAAAATCTCGGTGATCGCGAGACAAAATCCAATGCGAGAAGCATTGCGACCGCTCGCGAGGCCTCGGAACAATCGCCGGTCGAGATGTCGTTGGAGAACAGCTTCAGAAGCCCCTTCGCCGTCAAAAAGACTTGAAATAATACAGTCGGCGGCCTGGATTCTGTCGTTTTCGTCCTCGCTTCCCAGCATTTCGTACAAGTCTGCTTCTCGTTTTCGATCGTCACCAATGGGCGCTTCAACGAATGGTTTCTTTTCGATGTCCGGTTTGGAGGAAAGGTGGGTTGATATCTTGCCCTTTTTGGCCTTTTTGGGGCCAGATGACAAGGTATTGGCGCCATCTTTGGCTCCTCTCTTCCGTTTTCCTGCCATTTGTCTTTGGTGGTCTGGCGCAAGAATTTCCACTCGATTGCTGTCGCATTACTAAATTCGCAGCTGTAGATGGAAATTCCCTAGATAATTTGGTTCTGCCAACTTTGACCGCTCTATGTTTTGCCCCACCTCCGCATGGGAGTCGCACTTTGCAGGCCTGGCTACCCTAAACTAACAATGAGTCCCAAACTCCTAGGTACTTGGTACTTTTTATGGTCTGAAAATATTCTTCTGCTGATTGTGAGTTGGTATGACACGTCAAACAAAAGCACGGATCGCATGTGGTGCTTTGAAACTAGCTACGTTTTAGGCGACATTGTTTTCCATGCCCCAGAAGACATATTATCCGATCTTTGATATCCTCGTCTCATGTCCGTGTGCAGAGGTGGAGAAGTTTTTGACAAGAAAGCACAGAGGTCAGAAATCAGGGCCCCATTGCCCAGGTCTGCTGTTTGATGCTCATCTCGTGGAGTGGTTTGCTCAGTCTACAGATTAATTCAAATGTCATATGGTATTGATACTCTACCAGGTGTCATGAACTGGAGCGAGATATGCATGCTTGTAGTCATCGTCCTGCAGAAAGCAACATCTGCACCGAGCCTTATCAACCTGAAACACTTCAATGTTTGGTTCGTTGCCGAGCTGCTGCGGCACAACGGCTTGAACAAACCACACCGAGGGAGTGACGGCTACAAAGTGGGTCTGGTCACCGGCCAAGGGTATGCGGTGTGCGAGCTCGGTGTCTAGTCACGTGACTTCGCGACTTCGCGGTAGCCGAAGGGCGTTGCTGGGCGGGGTAAGACGCGCTCCAGCGCTGCTTTATTGACCAACTTTTGTTTACTTTATTTACGCGACGCCGCCGCATCAATGCGACACTTCGATGGGGGCCGGATTGTGTCTGGCAAGCTTGGACAATTTAAGAACCAAAACCAGCCTCCGGCCAAGTCTCAAACCAACTCATGAAATAGTATGTACATATGGAGCACGGAGACGAGGCGTCATCATATAATTAGCCCATGATGTTCGCTCTTGGTTCCCCGCTTCGTCGGAAACGGGGTCAGAAGACTCGTTCTGAGGCAGCTTGACAATCAAAGCACTCAAGTGCTCTCGCCTGGACACAGCCCACGTACTAGCAGGGCGTAAGTGCGTTTCGCGACTGGCGCCATTGTTGAAGTTTGATGTGGCGGGGGCTCCGCGGTCTGGGCAACTCTTTTGGGAAAATTGGAAGGATCTGGGACCAGCTGAGCGGTGGACACTGGCTGGAGTTGAGTCGTTCCATGAAGTGATTGGACAATCTCGTGTGATATCCCTGGTTCGCCGTGCCCGAGGCCTTGCTTTTTAGAGGAAGTCGGTGGGCGCTGGCAGCATGGCCATTGGTAGTTTCTCGAGTAACACGTCGTAATACCTAGGTAGTCTGTAGTAGTTGCGTATATTGTCGTCTGCTCGAGCTCGCGGACAAAAGACGAGCTAGGTCGGCAATTGGCTTTGCCGGGGGGCATCACGGAACATTATCAGCCCTGTGATCTCCGTGTAGCACGAAGATGGAGACCGGAGAAGGCAGTAAGCGCCGTGGCTGAAGTAAACAAAAGACGCGGGCGTTTGGTGTTTGTTTTGTCCGGGGAGTTTCGCATTTCTGCGACGTATACTCCGTAGCTGTCATGATTAGTTGGGTGCCGTCGTTTATGAATTCGAGAATTTATGGATAGGCAGACTATCGGATGATGCGAATTCGATGGAAATTCGATCTCAAGCCAATGGCAAGATCTGGGCTTGCAACTACGTACTCGGGCCATGGTGTTCAGGGAACATGCTGGTGGGTAGAGAATGGGCGTTCGTGCATCCTTGCTCGCCTTTGTGATGATGACCATGGTGACTCCGACTCTCCCGCCGACCGCCAAAACCGAAAAGCCAAGAAAGGGCAGTGCGAGGGTATGGTATGACGTCTTGTGCATTGCGAGCTGTCGAAACTCGCCGTCGAGGAAATCGGGGCTGCGGTTGGGCAATCGACAAACAAACCATCGTTTTTAGTGCCGGATACGGAGTGGAAGAGCCCAGGACGCGCAACGTCATCATCTTGGGACACGGCCCCTAGTGCACACCGCCGTTGACCGTTTGAGAGACTGTTGCTGGTCTATGCATGCCCTGGTTCCATCATGATTATGATTATTTCAATTTTTTTTTTTCCCCAACTGCGCGCACCATTTTGCGAAGCAAGTTCAGAGCTTGACGGTACGTACTTGTCTGACGTTTGAAGCCTGCTCCGCTCCAACGCCAGACATCAATACCCCTCTGGTAGTCTCGAGCAACCACAGAGCAGTGCGAGCAGGCACTGGGAATAGTCTGGTACATGCCTACCTAACTTACCTAGGTAGGTACTTCTAGGTAAGTACATAGTAGTTGGGATTGACGTCCCCCCACCCCTTCCCTCCCCTCCTGGTCTGACATGCATGTCCCCAAATGGACCAATTCTACGCCCACAGAAGAAACAACCAATGCAGCTGGCTGTCTTTGTGCCAAAAGCATGCATCGGGGCGCTTGGCTTGGCTTAGTTGCTTCCAGTTTGGTTCATGGCTGGGACCGTGCCTTGTTTACAATTCTAATTCCGGCAACGAGCTAGTATTGTGAGGAGAAAATACTGGCCATGGGACGCAAATAGTAGTCGACAAAACGCACAGCAACTGACTGGCCTGCATGTATGTATGTACGTACATACTTAAGTACTTATGCACATATTCATGCCGCCGCAATGGGAGATTGATTCTCCCACTGGAGCGCTGCACGTGTTGAATATTCAAATATGTACCCTTGGGCCGTGGGAGGTTGCACGCAAGCTCGACTAGGGCCGCCGACGATCATGTACACGTACATATACATGTGCACATACATGCAGAATGGACAATGTGCGTCAGAATATCGTCAAGGCGACTGGGCGTGCATGCTACATACATACAAAGGGTTGACTCAGCTGATCCTAATCGAGATCCGGCTCCCATGCCAAGTCAAGGGATGCGGGATGAGCCTGTCAAACCTGTCTTGCCCATGTCATAAACCGTCGCGTGTTGGGAGGATTCCGGCCGGAGCGAAGACAATCAGCTCTCCCACTCTTCTTTCTTGGCCGGCTCCGTTGCAACTGTCCAATGTCGGCTGTTGGGAGACCCCTTGGAAGGAACACACTGAGACCTTGAACCAGAACACCCGAGCCATAATGTGGGCGGGCGGGTGTGAGTGGGAATTGTGGGAGAAAACCGCGATTCTGCCAATCTATGTGCAGAGTAAATGGGAATAGCATGTATGTATGTATGTGTTACATAGAGGAGGCGTTTGATGCAAGGGAGCTTTGGGGGATCAATCGATGGGATTTGTTCTGGCCTCCACGAAGCTAATAGTTTGCCGTGAACCAATACGCCCCCAGCTCATCGTCCGAGTCTTAGATGACATGTTATACATATGATAGTTGAAGGGCGAAGGTGTTGATTTGGCCGAGATTTTCCAATCTGGAAAAAAAAGAAAAGAGCCGATTCGGACCGGGGTTCGAATGCCCAGTGCTTCTCTGTCCGTCATTTGATCTCCAGTTTGTCTTTTAACCCAGCAACGCAGTCTGCGTGACCTCGATGGCATTGATAGCACGGACAATAACTATGGAGTCTTATCGACCAAGAATATCACCATCTGGCATGCAGCATGCAACTGTAGCGGTCATGTCAACGCTAAGAGCGTACAAATTCCCGTTAGCCGCTCGTTTTGTCGGCGGGAGCAAGCGGTTGGAATCTGGTGTAATCATCTTGACCCTGCTGTCCCGCTCAATGTGCTCGCCTCCGAGTCAAGAAGCTGCTTGACGTTTCCCATGACACCACATGACCTCAGCACTATCCGTCCGGCGCGTGGGTGCGTTTCCCTGAAGGCATTGAACCCCCGACGAGCCCCGGACGTGCCCAGCCAAAATACGTGAATAATTACTCCGTCCCTGGTTCGGCCAGGCAGGCGTTGGACGTGACGAGGGAGGCGGATAAGGAAGAGGACTGTCTCGGTTTGATGCTTTCAATGTTCGGTCCCTTCAATTCTCCACTCTCCGCAGAGCAACCGGAAGATCTTTGCTAGGCGACCTGGTCGTTCTGGGTCGGCGATGCAGGGCAGCTACATACGGTTGGATGGACCAACGGCACAATCCATATTATACACTACTAATAGCAGTGAAGTTGGATTTTTTTTTTGTCCCTCTTGCGTCTTGGCCCGTGAGCCTTGCTTCGTGCTCGTGGCCGTGGAGCATGTTCGCATACCAGGGCGATGCTTGCTGATGCGCAGCTGCGGGTTGCCGGGTCGTCCATGTTCGCATGAAGGTCCAGATGCTAGTGTACCTGGATACGCCGTACATAGGCTGAGGATCAGTCAATTGGCGTTTTGTCATAATGGCCCGCCCAATCGCAGCCTTGAAGGGGCCCTGGTAGAGGCCAAAAAAGCTTGTTGATGCCAGCAGAAGTTTGAGGCAATTATACAAGCTCGGGTACGAATTGCCATGTGTCTGCTGAGGGGGTACCTAGGTACTTTACCCAGAGACTGGGCAGTTGACAGTTGCCGGCACCTGGCTCATCAAAAGTAATCTGATATAATAAATACACCGGACTATATCGTGTCTTCCCCAACACCACCAAGTACAACCACTCTACGCTAATATACCACGGGATATTGTGCTATAGGCGCGTGAGAGCCAGGTACATGCCTCCGGTCTCAGCGAGGTGACAAGCTTGCGATGCACCAATTGCTGGAGTGGCTTGGCTGCTTGGGTCCAGGGATTGTGACGCTATTCGCGCTGGCGAAGCTGAAGTACAGTGGGGAGGGGCAGGTGGAGGGGGGGGGGGTGGCATGCCCTGCACCCAGCACACCCGGCAACCCGCTAGCGCGTCCACTGTTCTACCGCGGTGCCTGGCACAAGTGCTGGGTTGCCTGGCGCTGGGGGGATACATGTCAAGTAGCGCCCACTCCCAAAGCTTAGCCCGTTGCTGCTCGCTGAAACTCCCTGCAGGCGCGCCGACTTTCGTCATTGACTGCACCAGACTTGACTTGACGAGTTCCAGATGTCGGGCCAACTGGTGTGCACATGTGCTTACCGCCCGCCCGCACCATCTAGTGAACGCTGTGCTCAAGTCTGGTGCTCAACTGCTCACCCCCTCCTCGCTCTAGTCACCCCTAACAACGTCGATGTCCCCATCTCGTCCCCAGCATCTGGGCCTGGTCCGTTGCACTTGCACAGTCCATTCAAAAGGCGTTGCTCCCTCGTCCACTTCTCACAAAGTTGCTTCTTGTTCCTCCCAATTGCCTCACCCGGCAATCGACGCAAATTTTACAAGAGAAGGTCGTCGCTCTTCATTGAGTGCCGCCTCTCTTTTTGCGTGAGAAAGCGTGCCCGGACTTGTGGTGGCTTTGGGTGTCCGGCCAATATTTGGAACTCGACTCCAACCTTCTTGACTCTTTTTCCTGCTCCCCCCCGCCCATATTCCGAGGCTCGCTGCGTTGTCTGCTCGTACAGTCGATTCTTTCTCTGGCTTGCAGTAGTTTTCTTCTTCTTGCGTCCGGCATCTGGCATCTGGCATCTGGCATCTGGCATATTGCGTCTTGCGTCTTGCGTCTTGCATTTTCCCTGGCTTGCTTCATTGTATACGCTACATCCATGCAGTTCAGCTATTAAGACATGATGGAGAATCGGCCTTCCACAGACAAACAGCCTTCACAGAACCAAGCTTTCGAGAATCAAACTTTTCGCCATGATGATGGGCTGCATAAAGAGTCGTCGTGAGTTTTCATTGCTGTGGCTTGTATACCGCCTGTGCGGCACTGACCGTCACATCAGACTTTGTGACTACTCCTCCGCTGCCTTCGAGTTCGCCTGCTCCCGTCGTGGAGTATATGGACCTGTCTCCTCTCCCGCACAAGGCACCTTTCTTTTCACAGATGGAGATAAGTTCTCCGACGCCAGGCTCTATACCGTCATATGACCAAGACATGGTTCTCGACTCTCCAGCGCCCATTTCTCGCCAGCTCTCGTCGGAGGCGGCCAATTACTTTCTGGCTGAGTGAGTCCAAGCTTTTGCTCTTGCCCTAACACGCACCTGGGGAACTTCTACTGATTGCCAGTCTGCAGCCGTAGGATAGCAGCCCCCCGTAGGCCTTCATTGAGTCGGATGAAAGCACTTAGTTCCACCCCGTTGCTCTCGAGAGCTCAGAGCGATACTCATAACCCATTACCTCCCTTCCGCTTTGGCGCCGACTCTGCCATGAGCTCCAACCTCTCTCTATGGGAATGCTTCGAATCCGCTTCTCCGCCACAGGAGCGGAATGAGCCTGTACCTGACAACAGCCCCTGCGTACTAGCCGCAGTCGCTCGACCTCGCCCTTTATTCACTGGTATTGGCGGTGCTGCAGCCACTCGCTTTGGGTCGCCCATTAATGGCCATGCTAGAAGGCAGTCAAATCCGTTCTTGAGAAACCGCAAACAAGTTCGTCGGTCGTTGAGCATGTTTGAACATCCTGCCGACGTTATGAAGCCCAAGACTGAAGCCGAAGAGCTACCTGCGTCAGCATTGAAGTCAGTCGTGGATATTGAAGAAGTTCATGAACCTGTGCTTCCCCATTTCTTGCTGGATGATCCCACTGATTCAATCCCTCGGATTGCCAAGGAGACATTGCTTAATGTTCTGGATGGTAAATACGCAGACCATTTTGATCAAAAAATGGTTATTGATTGTCGGTTCGAATATGAATACGACGGTGGGCATATCGAGGGAGCTGTCAACCACAATGATAAAGAACTTCTGGCTACCCAATTATTCCAAACACCAATTGCAGGCCGCACTTTACTGATTTTCCACTGCGAGTATTCAGCCCATCGTGCACCATTAATGGCCCGACATGTTCGATCTCATGACCGGACAGTAAATGCAGAGCACTACCCCAAGTTAACGTACCCCGAGGTATATATCCTTGACGGTGGATATAGCGAGTTCTTCGCCGAACACCGTGGGAGGTGTTACCCTCCCGAATACGTCGAAATGTCCGATGAGAAGCACCAACGCACATGCGAAAGAGAAATGAGTCGTTTAAAAGCGAGAAAGGGCCTGGGACGCTCCCAGACATTCGCCTTCGGACAGCGAGAGCCCTGTATCAACGACTCTCCCACTGCACAGATCCGACCCAGCTCGCGCAACACCACACTGTCGATGCTCACCCGTCGGATGGCCTCGTACTGAGGGCCGGCTACGTTACTTTGTATTATAGCGTATGCAATCAGTACCTTTCATTATAGCGTATGCAGTCACAATACCCATTTTCCTTTATCACCAGATGTTTTCGTGTTCCTAGAAATGTAAATAGATGAGAGAGTGCCTCTGATTTAGTGGTGTAAGAGTTTTATGAAATTGAATCAGAGATGCCGTCCGTGACGGAACATATTTCCGCTATCGCTAAGCTTATATGTACATATTATATTGTATTGCAGTGCATCATAGTATACTGCGTGACCAGCCACACGCCTTGTTTGCCCGAATCCTTTTTGATCTCCCAGTGTATGTGGACGCCTGTGAAATTGGCGAATTGCATGAACCCTATTGACGAGATGACAAAATGCACTACCATCGTGCGTTGATTTTCATCTCCGTCTTTACCCCAGAGTAAAATCCCACGCCTTGAATGCCTCCCGAAACGCTTCTACATCTGCAGTCTCTTCTTCCACCGTCTGTTCACAGTCCTGCCAGATGAATCGTTTTTCCAAGCCTAGTAGTTTCGCAATAACGCGCCGCCCGAATTGGAGGTCGAAGCGTGTGTCTGCGCTGAGGGGCATCACGAGGGACTTGCCCTTAATCTTGTCCTCGCCGTTATCTGCCCACAGCCAAACGCGAAAGTAGTCCCCAAAGGTGGGCTGCTCTTCCAGCGTCAGCTCCCTGGTGACAAAGGACGGGTATTTTTGGTTTTCGGCTTCCACTCGGAAAGCGGCTTCTGCGATTTCGCTGTGAATCATTTCAGCGGGTATGGGCATGAGCTGCCATAGTAGGTGGATGTTGCGGTCGCGGGATATTTCCCAGGTTACTACGCCTAGTTTGTGGGACGACTTTGCCGATATCATTGCTTGGATGGATTCGCGGAAGCGGCTCATTTCGTTGTAGGCCTTGACGGCGTCGGAAGTTGGGTCGGAGGTTGGTCCCATGCTGGGGATGGTAGGTGCGTGTGGGAGAGGGATGATGATGAAGTGACCAGGGAAGTTGAGGCCTTCGTTGGCAAAGGTGGTTGAGGTAGGGAGTGGTCCCTTGGCGGTGGTGACGTAGGATTCGTCGCCGATGCTGCAGCACATGTGGGCTGAGATGTTGGGGTTGGAAAGACAGAAGTAGCATTTGTCTGGGCCGGGGGGAGGTGACTCGCGGCGGCGTTTATTCTGGCGACCGCGTCTGTTGTTGTCGTGGGAGGCGAAGCGGCTGTAGCCGCCTTCGTCGTCGTCCAGGGGTCGTTTCCTTTTCGGGGTGAATGGTGAGGCTGTTATGCCCTTGGGCACGGTGGTGTCTGACTTGTTGAGGGTGAAGGCGTACATGGCTTTTGCTTTGGCCTCGTTGCCATAGGGTGCCATGGAAATAAATCTTGTGACGGAGGTTGGCTCTGTTTCTGAGCTGGACTGATGCACGAAGGGCTCTCGTTCGTAGAAGAATGCCTCTGGGGATGCGGATATGTGGTATCGTGGTTTTAGGGTCGCGCATAGTTCTGCAATTGCTTGGGTGCTCTGGATGGAAGCCTGGTGAGTTGGCCCGAGCACGACTTGAGAGCCGTTCCATACATTGGCAGGCCACATTGACGTCAGCAAGATGTCGGCATTGTTTGCGCCTTTCAATCCCTTCGCATCGTCGTCGGTGTGGAATGGTAGATGCTGCTCTTTCGACTGGCCGCCAACCACTTTTGTATCCAGAAGACCACCCAGAGTGACGATTCGAAGACCTTCCGAGGTCTTTGTGATGCTGCGCTTTCCCAGAAAGTGAAGGTTGTGGCAGATTTCTTCACCTGCTTCCACTCTCGTAGCGATGCGCTCAGGGAGCGAGTGAGTCCCGATGGTGAAGTAGGTGGGAAGAGGCACTTCCAGAGAACCGTTCAAAAGGGCGGAAATCGTCTCATCATCGGTATCTGGGGTGAATACATCGCCAGTTAGGATTGCTAGCGAAAAGTTGTTCTTGGCGTGGAGAGTAGCTAGTTTGTTGAACACGGGCTCAAGCTGGCCATTGAGGCTGCCGAGTATGATACTAAGGAGCCAAGAGGTTAGATTCTGTAAATTGCTATTAATACGGAGCAACTGGCTGACCTACATCTTCGGGGCAGCCATTATGGTCTCTCACTGGCCAAAAAAATTAAGGTGCGAGATTGAGGTTGGGAGCCTCATTTGAAGTTTGGAGGGAACAGAGAGCCGCCGTGGAGGGTCGCTGAGAACGATAATGCGTTTGCGCGAAGCGCATCATTGGTGGGTAAGAGCTCAGGTGGGTCATTTATAGATCCACCATAATGCTTATCGGTTTTCCCGCATATCAACCGATCAAAAAAAAATTACGGGAAGTACTACTACTGGCGGGGGACTGTCTTTGACTTGGAGATTCCGCCTTCATATTGACTTGCAATTTTCCCCGTCTGTTATTGCAGTCGGCAGCGCATACCGCCAAAATGCCGTCCAAATCATCTGGACGCATCGAAAAAGTGCGGAAAAACAAATACTCAACACCCCATCAAAAAAATCACAGATGGGAGTCCTTCTCCACGAAAATCTCAAAGTTTAATTCCCTTCAACCGCTGCGAAAAGTTAGACGGCATGATCTCGAAAACGAAGACCTGTCGACGGCCACATCGTACTTTCACAATGGACTGCAAAAGTGGAGCGAACTGAATATCTCAAAACCATTCTGCTTTTTCAGGCGAGATGTGCTGCCACTATCAGAAAGCTTGCCGCAGATTCTGCACTTTGAAGATAAGATCATGGGATATCTCGCCCAATATATTTCTCTTGGTGACAAAGATGCATTGGAGCCTCTTTTAGACCTCATGACTGCCTTTGCGCATGATTTGGGTGTACGATTCGAGAAGCACTATTTGCAGAGCATAAATTTGTTGCTGGACATTGCTGGCAAGACTCAGCCTGTAGAGGTTATTGAATGGACCTTTGGTGCTATGGCATTCTTGTTTAAGTATCTCTCGAAGCTTCTCATTCCCGACTTACGACCAACGTACGATCTTATGGCGCCATTGCTCGGACGATCACGACACCCTCAGTACATTGCTCGCTTCGCCGCTGAAGCAATGAGCTTTCTCGTGAAGAAGGCGGCTGCGCCTTCTCACAGAGAGATGGCCCTCAAGTCTTTTGTTGAGCATGTCAGAAACGATCTCATTGGCGCGGCTGAAACGCATCAATTTACCCTGTACAATGATGGTGTGATGACCATGTTTGCTGAGGCTATCAAAGGAACTGATGGCATGATTCATTCTACTGGAGGTGCCATTGTATCGGCCCTCATTGACGCAATTCCAGAGAACGAATGTACGCTGTCTCGAGAGAATATTTGGTCGGATGTCATATGTGGAGTCTTGACCAGCGTTCTGCACCACGGGAGGGCAGACACCATGAGCGAGTTTTTGGAAGAGATATTCACAAAGCTTAGATCTAAGAAGGAGCTTGTGGAAGGAGCCCAGGTACAGTGGAAGGCCGTGCCATATATCAAGATTCTCGGTGTTTTAGCTGGAGTTAGACGAGGGTCTCGTATCAGCAATTGGGATGGGCTTCTTCGAGATTTCACCGACATTCTGAGCATGACGGGCAAAGAATCCAAGGAGATAAGACCGGATCAAGTTGATATCTTGTGGAACTCCATCATGATCAAAGTCGCCATCGTTTGGCACCATGCACCTATGGACGCCTTGATACCCCATATCGCAACTCTCAACCAAACACTCACGAAAGAACCCTTTATGCGATGGTTCATTCCTTTCTGCGCATATTTTTGCGATCTTGACACTAGCCGCTTTGGTAGCCTTTTCCGATCTGAGTTTCAGAGGTGAGTAGTAGTCCGACATAATTCGAACTTAACTAACAACATTACAGGTTTGTTGCTGGTCACTGGTCGCAAGGGAAAAACGAGGATGTCCTTTGCGTCTTGCTTCCAAAGATGATCAAAATATGGGCTTTCCCACCGCTAGGCGAGAAGGATTGTTGCAGATTGCCACAAGCCTGGCAGGACCAAATTGTGTCAAAGTTCGAGCGCCTAGAAATCTCGCCCTTTCCTGAGCGTGGACCGTACAACAAAGACCCTCAAGAGTGGCGGGATCGGTGTTTACCAAAATACGCTGGTTTGCTGCAGCTTCTTGAGCTTACCGCCGTACACCCGTCTACGAATGCCCGAATTGCCGAGTTGTTATCAAGAAAGCTGAAACTGGCTCTTCGACCATCCTCATCCTTGGCCTCTGATGAGGTTCATTTTATCGTTAGCCAAGGATTTCATGCTTATTTGCGCATGAGCAAGGCTGCTGGATCAATTGACACCTCTTTGAGCCCGTTACTTCGTGCAGCAGTGCCGAGATTTGCACGCTCGGTCGGGTTTCTGCAAGCATATCTGGCTTACGAGAAGGCTCATCAAACGGGTGCTCCTGCAACCTCTGATAAGATGGAGATAACAGGTGGCGACAGTCCAACATCAGAAGAAGACCCTATGGTTGTATCTTTGGTGGAAAACCTCAGCTCACCTTCTCACGAAATCCGATTAGCGTCCCTGGAGCTGCTGAAGCGGATGAGCGAAACCGAGGCATTGACGAACTGCGTGGAAACCATGCTGCAAATTGAACAGATGCCGTTGAGTCATGAGAACACCAGAACTATCGCAATGCACCTGCGGAAAATTGGGCTGCACTACAACGCCATCGATGCGTCAACCTGGCTGCGGGACGGAATCCCAAGATTCATATTTGGTCTATTGACTGTGAAGCTGTCCCCTGTATGGGACGAAGCGGTGGAGAACCTGAAATACCTCACTCAGTCTAGTATAGGAGAAGAAGCTGTTTCTGCTATCGCATTTCAGTGGATTAACCGGCCATCCACAAGATGGACACCGCCTAATCCCGACAGTGCTGGTGGAGATCGGAGATTCTACACGGATTTCGAATGCACTGCTCTGGGGAGACTGGAACAATTGGCCAACGTAATACAAGACCTGACCGAGAAGGCAGACGATTCGCTTCTCAAAAATTTCGATGAGAAACAACATTTAGCTGAGCACACGCCGCCTACTGCAAGATCGAGAGCTCTCAAAGTCTTCAATGCTGCTCCAGCTGTTGCCGAAAAACGGTCCCGGCAGCTTGTCCCTCACTTCCTGTGCTGGGCAATAGAAGAAGATGAAGCCGATGGTAGTGAAGCTGCACGTGCTCAAGCATCGACTTGGTCTCTGGCTGACCGCAAGGCTCTTCTGGGCGTTTTTGCACAGTTCATCAATCCAAAAGTGCTCTATCAACATGAAAAAGTTTACGAAGCACTGCTGTTGCTTATGGAGAATGGCGACGTCGAAGTACAGAAGCTGGCTCTTAAAGCTATTTTGAGCTGGAAACAAGATGGTGTCAAGGCATACCAGGAGAACCTGGAGTACCTTCTTGATGAAGCCCGATTCAAGAACGAGCTTGCAGTATTTCTCCAGGGGGAGGATGTTATCAAACCGGAGCACCGATCCGAGCTAATGCCAGTGCTGCTTCGCCTCCTCTATGGCCGAACCATTGCCAAGAAGGGTGCTGCCAGTGGGAGGAATGGGCTGCAGGCCACTCGACTTGCTGTACTGCGAAACCTTTCGGTTGAAGACATGGGAAGTTTTCTTGAAATTGCCGCAGGCAAGTTGAAGCATGTTCAAGTTACGGTGACAAAGGCCCAGCGAAAGAAGCTGTTCAGCGAACCTATTATCACGACCCGGAAACAAGTTGGCTTTTTAAACATGATCTCATCTCTTATTTCTGAACTGGGGGCTAATGTCGAACCATACACGAATACCCTTGTCAATGCGGTCTTGTACTGTCTTGTTTATTCTTCAAGACAGCTACGTGGCACGTCTGGAGACGATGATGCCAGGGACGAAGAACTTGATGAGAAGGTCAGCGACTTGTCATTACTCAAATCGGCAAGGTCCATGGGTATCAAGTGCCTAACAGCACTCTTTCAAAATGCACAAAAGTTTCAATGGGATCCTTACCAAGAACTGATAATCGAGGAGGTTGTGGCGCCCAGGCTTGATCTGCTCCCAGTTGAGACGACGCAAGGCGTTTCTGGCATGCTTCACTTGCTTTCTACTTGGTCAGCTCTGCCAAAGGCGGCCATGTTCCTTGGTCCACATGGCGAGGTTCTACCGCAGGGTGTGCTGCCAAACTTGGTTGACTGCATATCCAAGGAAAAGACAAAAGATGAGGTGAAGATATTTGTGCTTACAATTCTCCAAAATCTAGTCAAACTTGCCTTGGCACCAGCCCAGGAATCTGAGTTCAATGAGATTATTAAGGCTGACCTCCTGGAAGCCAACGCTACGGAAATTCTGTCAAAGATCACAGTCGTCTTGCATACCGGTGGTATCAGCAATGCTCTCCTAGAGGCTTCTGTAGAGACCGTCTTGGCTCTCGCGCCGGTTTTGCAGGACTTGGATAATACTCAAACCGTCATTCGCATGTGTAGCTTCCTCTTGCAGCAACCCCCTCGCCGAGTTAATCCAAGGACGAAAGGTCGAATTTTGCTCATCGTTGAACGTTTTGTGGCATTGCATGACGCAGCCAAGGACCAGGCCTTATTGTCAGATGTTTACAACACTCTTTCGTCCTTGTTCAGTTACTTCAAAGATAGGGAGAACCGCCATTCTCTTTCCAGAGCTATGTTGGCGATTTCCCAACAGGATTCCGAAGTCGCAGAAATAGCCAGTCTCTGCAACGAACTGAACACTTTCAAGGAGGGTCGAATTGATGAACCGGATTATGACCGTCGTCTTGCTGCTTTCAACGCTATTTCTATGGTTCATGATGTTCCCTGGAGTCCCAAGCAATGGCTTCCCGTTATTCATAATCTCATCTTTTTTATTCGCATGGATGAAGAATTTGGTGTTTTGTCGTCAAATTCTGCAGATGGTATGCGACGCTATATCCAGGATGTGGCAAACTGTCAGCCAGATGAGGTGAAGCCCACCTTTGATAATCAGATGCGTACAGTTCTTCTGCCTGCATTATACGCTGGCTCAAGAGAGCAATCAGGCACTGTACGCAGAGAATACTTGCGTGTCATGGGCTACATCATTACCGTAATGCCCGGGTGGGAACCCGTTGCCGATCTAAGCGGGCTTCTGACCGAACGCAATGAAGATTCATCCGAACCGTCTTTCTTCTTCAATATTTTGAGTCCTGCTACTTCGAGACAGTTAGAGGCTCTACGAACTCTTGAAACAGCGAACACCGTGAAGCAAATGGGCAGTCCGAACCTGAGCCAATTTTTCATCCCTTTACTGGAGCACTTCATCTACGGACGTGAGTATGGTAGTGATGATCACGGACTTGGAGCGCAGGCTACGACTACGATTGGTAATCTGGCGCTGTCTTTGAATTGGAACCATTACCGAATGACTCTCTATCGATATATTAGCTACATCGAATCAAGACCAGAGATGCAGAAGAGCACCATCCGACTCCTAGGAAAATTTGTGGACGCCCTCGTTCTGTCATCGGAGAAGAACAAAAATGATGGCACGGATGTGGATGGAGACGAGGTGAAGGCGACTTGCTTGAGACTCCAGGCCACTGTCCCAACTATTACTAAACTGTCCGTTGACGTACTTGACTATATCCTACCACCTTTGATCAAGCACCTGCACGAGAAGGACGAGTCTGAAGTTAGCTACCGTGTGCCTGTCGGCGTTGTGGTCGTAAAACTATTGAAACTGCTGCCTCCGGAGCAGATGGAGCAGAAGCTGGCTGGAGTTCTCACCGACATATGCCATATTCTCCGAAGTAAAGCCTGGGAAGCTCGTGAAATGGCACGGGACACTTTGGTCAATATTGCGGTTGTTCTCGGATCCTCTTTCTTCGGCTTCATTCTCAAAGAACTACGTGGAGCCCTTACGAAAGGTTACCAGTTGCATGTTCTCTCATATACGATGCATTCTATCCTGGTTGCCACAATACCTACTTTTGCGACTGGTGACCTGGATCACTGCCTTCCTTCCATTGTTACCGTTATTATGGATGATATTTTTGGCGTCATCGGCCAAGAGAAGGACGCCGAAGGCTACACGACACAAATGAAGGAGATCAAGAGCAGCAAGAGTCAAGACTCCATGGAACTGGTGGCTAAGAACGCGTCTATTCGCCACCTCATTGATCTAGTTAAGCCGCTACAGGCTCTTCTGCTGCAAAAGGTTGACTTAAAACTGGTGCGCAAAATCGATGCTTTGATGGGCCGCATCGGCTCTGGCCTTCTCCAAAACCCTGACGCTGGCTCTCGGAATACTCTGGTTTTCTGCTACGAGATCATTCAAGACACATATCGAAGCCAGAAACCAGAAGAAGCCCCAAGGATGGATCCTAGGGTGAGAAAGTATCTTGTTCAGAAGGGAGCAAAAAGGAGTGGCGAGCGCGGTAGCACGACGAAGCACACTTATAAGCTGGTGCGCTTCGCTTTCGACACTTTGCGATCCATGTTCAAGAAGCATGAAGACCTGCGAACCCCGGAAAATGTTGCAGGATTCCTTCCTATCATCGGAGATGCTATCATTGATGGGGAGGATGAAGTGAAGATCTCCGCATTTCGTCTTCTGGCAACACTTGTAAAGGTCCCATTCAACTCCGAAGATGGCACCGGCATCTACCGGGTTGCGGTGAAGGAAGTTTTCAAGAGCATATCGCAGTCAACGTCCACGACGACAGAAATATCCCAAGCAGCTGTCAAACTTTTGGCTGTATTACTACGTGATCGCAAGGAGGTCGTGGTCAAGGACGCTGCGGTTGATATGCTCCTTGGAAAACTCAAGGATGATTTTACAGAACCTCTTTATCGACATGTTACCTTTAACTTTTTGCGATCTGTTATGGTTCGTAAGATTGAGACGGCTACAGTTTATGATACTTTGGACTATGTGGGTACGGTTATGATTACGAACGATGACAAAGACACGAGGGATCTAGCTCGTGGTGCCTTCTTCCAATTTATCAGGGAATACCCCCAAAAGAAGGCTCGTTGGGCTAAGCAGCTGAACTTCATTGTAGCCAATTTGAAGTATGATCGAGAGGGCGGTCGCTTGTCAGTTATGGAAATCGTGCATCTCTTGCTCATGAAGTCTTCTAATGACTTTGTTCAAGAAATAGTGGGCACATGTTTCCTGCCGCTATTCTTTGTTCTTGCCAATGACGATAGCGAGAAATGTCGACTGTCAGCAGGGGAGCTGATGAAGGAGATATTCCAGAAGGCTGATAAGGAAAGAATCCAGCATATCCTCGGACTCCTACGAACATGGCTTGATAAGGAAGATAATCCGGCTGTGCAGAAACTGGCTTTGCAAATCTTTGGCTACTACTTTGAATCGTATGGCGATGCTCAAAATAACAAGAAGGATTGCAGACTAGTTTTGAACAGATCTGCAGCTATTTTGAAGGCGGAAGACATCAAGAACACTAATAGCCAGCTAATCGAGACGACACTCGGTGTTGCTCGCCTGTTTGGCGGGTGTATGAGTGAGGAGGCGCTGTCCGCAAAAAGGGAAGAACTATGGAGAGACGTTGCTCGATATCTCCGTCATCCTGAGCCATCTGTGAAGCTAGCGGCGGTGAGATCAGTAAATTCTTACCTTGCCGATTTCGCCAGACAGCGCACTGAAGCCTTCATCGGAGAGGCTATTGATGGGTCGTACGGTCTCACACTCCATCTCGAAGACATGTACAATTTTACGCGGCTCGCACTTGGCTCCCTGAACAGCAACGATATTGATGAGGATCTTGCCTCGGAGCTGGTGCAGGTAATTGTCTTCCTTGGAACCTGTCTCCCCGTCTCAACGACTGTCGAAACAGACGTTGAAGAAGACGAGGATGAGGAGCAAGATGAAGACGAGGCAGTCTCAGGACAACGGGAAGGTGTTGGCTATCTCTTCTGGAGACTATCACATATTCTCCGAAGAGAAATTCCTCCCAGATCATTGGCGATTAACTCGAAAGTCGCTGCCATGGAAATCTTGGAGACTGTCTGCCGACGTGTACTCAGCACTCCCGGCCGACCTCCGCTCAAGACTGTGCTTGTGCCTCTGCAACAGTTGACTGATCGCTCCATTCCTGCCCCTTTTAGTAATGATGAAGTATTCAAGACTAAGCTTGAAGGGGTCAAGACCAGAGCTCAAATTATGATGGACTCCCTCCAAAAGAAGTTTGGCACTGCAGAGTACAGCAAGGTTCTTATGGAAATCAGGGAAGAAGTAAAGGCAAGAAGACAGCAGCGATCGAGCAAGAGAAAGATTGAAGCAATTACGCAACCGGAGAAGTATGGACGAGACAAGAGAAAGAAGTTCGAGAAGAATAAGGAGAGGAGGAAAGTACGATCAAGGGAACAAAAGCAGGCGAGGCAATCATTCAAGAGCTGGTAGTTTTAGGGCATTGGCATGGCGTTTTACAAGAATTTTTCATGTGCATATACGGTGTTTTAAAAACCGGTTCATTTCATGTCATGATACAGTATTATTTTAGATGAACACTAGAGCGTCAATATCTTGGCCAATCGGGCCGTTCATTTTTCCTCTTCTATATTTCTCCCAGCATTTCATGAGAAGGGTATCTTTATTAAAACGCCGACGCCAGTTCAGTACAATGCCACTAATCGTACAATGGTATGGTAGCTACCCACCTGTATGCAATGGCAGACTGATCACTCCTTCGCTGTTTCTGTCTGACCACTTGTCTCTTCGGGCCAAAATTCAATATCCCCATCCTCACCTAGACTGCCTCTCTTGACCAGTCTTCCCTGTTCTCGCATCAAGTCCTCGACTGTCACCTTCCTCTCTCCAAAGATATTTAAATGGTCGCTGATGACATGTCGATTTCGACAACTAGGGCAAGTGATAAGGACCGAGCCCGTGTGATACCCTTGCTTCGAGACATTATGGTGGCTGCGATGACCGCATGGCACACAAGTAAACGACAGCTGGTAGTATGCAGGATTGACCTCTGGGCGTTCTCCTTCGCTTGCGGGCGCCTCGCTGGATTCGTTTGCTTGCGCTTCGGCTTCGGGGTTCAAGTATACTGGTTTCTTGGGTGGGCGGGGAATCGAGTGTGCTGCTCGGATGACGATGGGGGAGAAGGGCTTTGCAGAGCGGAAGGTCGACTGTTGCAAGGGGATTGCGCGAAGCCGTTGAGGGCGCAGTTGCCGCAAAGTGAATGAGAGTAACGGTGTTGCTCTTGATGCCATAGTATGTGATGTTACGGATGCTTGGTGGCGTGGTTGAAAGCAAAGAGGGCGGTAATTGCCAGTGGTTGTCGAAATTTCTGAAGAGCTTGGTTGGGGGAAGTTGAAGTTTTGCGGTCGAGAGTTCGAGAAACCAAGGGCACGTCATAAGTCGGGCGGGTCCACGCGAGACACCTGGGGCGACAGTTGGTGGGCCACTGGAGCTGGGCTGGAGGCTTGAAGCATGGGTTGCAATATCGCAGGATATTCTCGCATGTACTCCGTACGTAATATCGGTTTTAGATCCAAACAACCCAAGCAACGTATACGCCAAGTTCGATGTCTTCTCATTCTAAATTTGTGCTGAGATACCGAATACGGGCAACTGATCTCGCAACTGAGCGGAGCTCTTGCCTGATGTGATTCCGTGTGTGTCGTTCCTGACCAGTATGCTCGGAATCCGGCAAAAATATCCATGGCGCCTGCCATTTGAGAAATACTATGAAGAATCTCTCCTTGGTCTGCAAGACAGGAAATTCTTGCCTTGGGTTATGCAAATTCAACTTTGAACACAAACTACAACGCCCGGTATCCTCTCCAAATCAATCTACACCCACTGTAGAGCGTCACATCCTGGCCAAGTCCCTGGACAGGCTGCAACTATGAAGAACTTCGTTGGTTCACTTATTTCCTGCCTTCTGGCCCAGAGGGGCCTTGCCATAGCCGGAAGCAATGATCCGAGCATGGCCCTGACACTTGTAAATCAGGCTCGTCAAGGCAAAGGCCTCCAACCTCTTTCATGGGACGCCAACCTGGAGGCTTATGCTCAATTTTGGGCAAATCAAATGGGAAGCGGGATGCAGCCCTTTGAACATTCCCCAGTGTCATATCGACCGAACCAGGGAGAAAACCTGTACGAGCAATCAGCCGGACAGTGCGACGCGGATTATGACAGCCCTATTGTAGCGGCAATGCGTGCCTGGTTATCGCAAGAGCGTTTATATACCGGCCAACCGATAACTACTGGAAAAGAGCCGTGGCTTCATTGGTGTAAGTACAGGCCCTCCTTTTGCACTAGCGATGTCGTTCGGGAACAAGCTGATTTTCTGAGTAGCCCAGTGTATGTGGTCTTCCACCACCCGGATTGGCTGTGCTCGAGCTTACAGCATCTCTGAGCCCTACAAGTTCTTCGATGTTTGCCGATTCGCTCCAGAAGGGAATATGTGAGTAAACCACAGATCGGATAGATGTTGCGTGTAGTTCTCGCTGACAGGCTTAGTGTCGGTCAGAAGCCGTTTTAGGTACAGCTGCAGTCCCAGTCACATCAGGCCGTCTCTTTGCGCAAAAGACCAAAATATCATGCATTAAGGGGACGACTTATTATTATTATTTGAAAAATTTGCGCCGAAATGTTTCAGAAGCTTTATGGAGATGACAATCCCTTTTAGTTGGACCAAATTATGTTGTCAGCCAATACATGTCATGTACTTGATGGTACTGCTACTTCGGTTTGCTGCAGCAAAACCGAATTGTGCTGGACGGTCTAAAATGGTGCATCTATTGGTTGTAAATTACTCCATCTAAATGGAGTAGAGTCATTAGATATACTAAGCAAAGCAGTTCTTGCTCAAGCCAGAGTGTGTTGTGTTTGTTGCTATGCCTGCTCTTGGCGTCGCTCCTCGGGTAGACTATGTGTATGAAACGCAAACTGGCTCTATCAGTCAGCTTGTTTTTTTTTCCCCTTCTAAGTCGCGGAAAACAAATCAAATTTGGCCTCTCATGTGTACTTCTCCAGTTACAGTTATGTACAGTAAGATGGCTGAAGGAGAAGACGTGCGGCAAATGGCGCTGTCGAGAACGAAAGATGGGTGTGGCTAGTGCACATCTACCTTGGCGCACCGCCACATTCCTTGTTTGCGAAACGGAATATGCCGAAATTTTTGGCCAACAACGCGATTGACAAAGCGATGGATGTACAAGTCGCGACTGTGAAAGCTTCAACCACCATCGAACCTCGTCCAATCCATCCACGCCACCACCATCCCAACTGCGATATCCATCAGTATCATTCCGGAACGACCGCTAGATAGCTGATTGCCAGGGCCGCGCTTTTGCAGTCAATTGCGGACACGGGGTTTGCCCCAGCCCCCCCTGCTGCGCGTTGCGATCGCTTCACCACAGCTGCTCCCTTGCGCCAGCATGACCTGACCGATACGGTCGTCTACTGCACATCATGGAACGATCAAGGCCTCAGGCTTTTCAATCATCTTATGCGCCTCGCCTGCGCGCTTACAACAACTCTCTCCTGACGCCAGTGCTGCCCAGTGCGCCCTCGGGACCCCTCTCGAGAACGACGAAGCGAGGCACCACCATCATAAACTACGCCGAGGATGGTTACGATGACTTGGAAGAAGATAGTGACGACACCCGCCGTCGACCGACTGGCCTAAGGAGTCTGCGCAAGGAAGATTCTGCATCCAGACAAGATTTGGCTGAGAAGGCTGGCAAAGACACCAAGGAGCCCGTGGAAGTTCAAGGCATCTGGCGCGACTGGATGGGCAAGAACCGAGCACTAAAGAGCGACCAACAGAATGCTGCGCAAGCAAGCCTTCCCCTCACCCTGATTCCTATACGAATCGATCTCGATATACCGGCGTTTGTCCCTGCTGCGGCCTTTCCTATCCCAAATACCGTTGCAGTCGATAGCTCTCTTCCTCAATATCGACCCGGTGAGATGACAGTGCCGTACAAGCTTAGAGACATATTTTGCTGGAATCTGCACGAAACACTCATTACTACTGACCAGTTTGCGCAGACTCTCGCCCAGGACCTGGACCTGCCTAACCGCGGCGTGGTGGTTGCGGAGATTAGCAAACAAATTAGAACTCAGCTTGAGGAATATGCAGGCGTTGCGCTTCATCCATTGTTCCACACGGAACAAAATACACCGGCAGCGGTGCCGGCGCCGGCGGCCACAGGTGGTGCCAATGGGACGGCTGTTGGAACACCGAGGCCGAGCCTGATGATGAAGTCGAGAGAAGACTCGCCGGCTTCGATTGCCAGAGCACTTTCACGGCCAGATACTCCTGCTCGAGGTGGCGCCGGCGTAGCAACCCCGTCGCAGACTGCAGCACCAAATGTCACGGCGGAAGCTACACCGATCCTGCCGGACTCTGACGACTATAACCCCGATGATACCTACCGTTGCATCATCAATTTAAGCCTCAACCTGTCATCTATGTTGTATACAGACAAGTTCGAGTGGTCACTACTTCATCCTCCTGGCACAGCCGAGGCGTTTGCAAAGATGACTTGTGCAGATCTGGGATTAACAGGCGAATGGATACCGGCAATGACCCACGCAATCTATGAAGCCGTTCTACGGCTGAAGAAGGAGGCTTGCGAAGCCGGTGGCTTGGTTGCTGGCTGGGGTGGACTACAACAAGACTTGCCCAACGATGCGGCTTTGGGGACGGAAGCAGGGTGGAGGTATGATCCGGACCATTTGGCGGATGATTGGGAGCCCAAGGTTGAATTCCTGAGCAAGGAGGAAATAGAAAAACGAGAAGGCGAACGGGAACGAGAAGCCCGGCGATTGCGTCGTGAGACGGCGCGATTTAGCTCGACAGCCGGCATGCTGGGAGGCACGCCTTTCGGCGCCCCTGCGGAAGTGGAGGAGGAGAGGATGGGCAGAGGCGAACGATCGAAGAAGAAGCGACGGTTTAGAAGTCTCAGCCCGCTGAACCGCAGCGGAACGCCTGGAGGTCGTGGAACCCCAGATGTCGGTGGCTACGGCGGTGGAGGCGCATTGACAGACGTCGAGAGACACACATGGAGGTGCACACACTGTCGAGTATGGGGAACCAGTGTATGGGCAGTTCGCGATGGTCCTGCCGGCCCCAAGGTAAGTCGAATGTTTTTCCAGTCGATCGCGTCCTCTTCCCCCGTCCTCTTCCCCCGTCCCCTGATGACGCCTGGTGCTAACGGACATGCTAGTCTCTATGTGCAAACTGTGGGTATTCATATGAGCGTGATCGCAAGCTCCCTCGCCAAACCAAAAACCTGCACATGCAAGATCCTCGAGCGGCCTAGGGGTCCTCCGTCACGCAAAGCGGCAGGGACAAGGCGGACAAAGCCACGCCTGAGCGGTGCTCTGGGCAAATCTCGACGGGCTCACCCCAGTCCGAATCACGCTTGTACTCTAGTCGAGGGCGCTTGCCGTCCAACTCGACAGATTGGTTGCAGACACTTCCCATCACAAGCGGAGACCGTAGCCTTGGCCCTCTGATTGCTCGAGCCGTGGAGTCTGGCATACAAGAAGGACGTTCAGTACGGCTATGATTTTGACAAGAAGGGTATTCACAATTCGTTGGGGGAAGGGGCGTACAGGGAATGTTCTTTCATGCTGCTTTTGATATATATCTTTTTTTTTTATTTTGCCTCGGTGCTACCTTTGTGAAAGGAAGGGAGGGATCGAAAGGGGGCATGGGTGAGAGACCTTTGTTGATTCTAGTCTTTTTACTCCATCTGAGAAATCTTGGGTGATTTGTTGGAGGGCGAATGGGAAAAAGCTCCGTGTAGAGTAGACCAGGATGTTAGGCGTATCAATATTGCCGGTAAATCAATAAGCATTGGCGGCATGCCGTTTCTCTTCCATCCTGAATATCGTGTGTTTTGGAAGCCATCCTCCTTGAGATATTCTGGCATCATCTGCAGTGTCTCTACCCATCGACACAATGCACTCCAAACAGTGCAAAGTGCGTCTGTTCAGAAAAACATCTGGGTCGACGTCATTTCTGGCGAATAGTGTACTCATTGCTGACCGAGACGCTGCCCTGCTCTGGCATAGATGATGCTCAAAGCCAGGGATATTCATACTGCAAAACGACGGAATCTATCATGTTCCCAACTACATGCTGCCTCTACCAAGTCGATATCTTCAAAACCCCTTGTAACAAAGACACCTACCTTTTTTAAACAGCTCCGATTTTACACGTTCCTCTGGATATATACTTGCTCCCAAGGCGAATGATTAGTACTCTCAGTATTTGTGAAGGCGGCAATGCAAGAGACAAAATTCTGTCGAGTACGTGAACCAAAATAGTCACGAGGTGGCGGCTGCAGTGGTTGGATAAATGCTGTTGTTGATATTAGCCGTGTGCCTTTGCTTTGTTTTGGGCATTTTTCATGTCACTTTGCCATTTCTGAGTACCGTTTTTTTTTAATTTCCAAGCTTTCGATTCTTGATAGCAACCAAAGCACGTGGAAGTCCGCAATGTAACACGGAAATAGCCAGGGATGGACAAGCATCAAGAGCCGCGACCTTATGCATACATGATTCGGCCGTGCCCGTGAGTAGTATTCAAAATAGGACATACAAGTGCGGGTATTGTATCCTTTTCTTCCTTTGCAACAAACGCCATGTGCCCGTCAAAAGCCCATAAACATACATCATTGTTCAAATTTAACAAAAAAAAAGGTCGGTCATGTCGGCTATTGACGAGGTCCTCCGTGCATCATCTGAGTTGCATCCACTCCTACCCATCTCATACCAGCGGGTGCCTGCTGGCCTTGAAGTTGAACTACTCCTGAAGGAGTCATAGATTGGACTCCGTTTTGATACTGGTTGTGACCAGACAACTGGCGAAGATTTCTCAGGCGGTCCACCGTCCCGTTGGACAATTGAACAAAGCTCCGCTCCAGCATCAGTGCATCTTCCCACTTCATCCCGTAAAGCTGCAACGTCTTGGGGATGCGCTCCAAACACCAAATAGTTCTATCAAGATTTAGATTGCCGCCCACGGGAATATCAGGTCTCATATGGCGACGAGGTATGGGCGGAGCAGGCGCTGAGCCAGGGGGAGCTGGCGGAGGTGGGACATGTGCCCCAAAGACGAGTAAATCCTGTGCGTCTCGCAGCACAGCCAGCAGCTGATTGGCCATGAAGTAGACTTTTAACGCATCATGGTATGTGTAGAATGCGCTGTTTAAACCACTGTATGCAATGTCATACATGTTGTTGAGATACTCTAGAGAATACTCGAATATCAGGACTCGAATGTAGTTTGTGATTTGAGGTGCTCTGGCTGACGGTGCAATGCAGTACACATAGCTGTAACGTAGCTCCTGCTCAAACATTTGCCGAATTCCAGGTGGTAATGTGTTGGGGAGGGACTCCTGCCATTCTCTCATATCTAGGCACATCTGCCAAAGAAACCCGGTAGGGTTCGGCAAGGGAGTCTGCTCTGATTGATAAAGAACCTGGTACCAATATGACTGGGCTCGGCGGAGCTGGAAAAGTAACAAGGCCGGGTCCGCGGATTGAGGACCGGATATAAGTTTCGAATTGGCCGGCTTATCCCCCAAGATCGACATTTGAGGGAATGCAACATTAATAGATTCGTCCGCAAACGAGAAGCTCCGAGCATGGGCCATACTGATAGCACTGGTTCAAGTAAGCATGTGATGGCACACACGAAATAGGGGAGCAAGGAAATAACTGACCGGTCGAGAGCGTAGGTACAATAAAATATCTTGCGTCGCATATCGAGAGCGGACCGGTCCGACACTGACGATGTGGGAGGGTCCTGGTGCAATCCCAAGTCAACCACAGCCCTCGACGTGAACCCTATTAGATGCCATGTATCAAAGTGAGCAGGATCCAGCATGGAATATATGGTTAGTAGAAGTAGCGACTGGATCTGAGTGACATATCCCGGCCCAAGCGCTCGATCTGCATAAGACATGGCTCTGCAAACAAAATTGACACCGCTAACATAATACTCATCGTTGATCTTGCGACTTTGAGAGGTAGAGCCGATGGCAAGTACCAGAAATAGCAACCAGTAATCAGAGTCCCTGATAACGCGGTCGTCTTGACGGTATACGTCGTCTAATATTGTCAAGAGCGCAGTCTCAGAGAAACACGGAAACAATGAGTAAATGTTTGCCATGAAATACTGCACGATGGTGTTGGCGGCCTGTCTAGAAGGCAGCATGGATTGTGGTGGCTCTGGCAGTGAGTCTTTTGTCGTAACCGCCAAGACAAGCCTTGCAAAAGTAATGTTGCCCAGAGAAGGCTCAAAATCTCTAGTGGTGGCATCGACCGATCTGCAAATACGTATACTGTCAGAAACGGTACCGGAGGGGGGGCAAACAGAAACAGGAGAAAAGGGGACAGAAGCGCGCTACTAGGTAAAGCTCGTACAGGATACCAAAGTCTGATACTAGGGAGTTGACGTCCAAGTCCTCCCGGTTACGCGCCGCCTTGCGATGGATCGCAGCTCGAATAGCCGCTAGGGAATCTCTTCTCTCCGCTTCAGTGAGGTTGGTGTTAGTAGTACCATCGGCTTCATGCTGTCCAACGGAGTCTTTGCGAGATTTTGCATAATCCAAGCGTCGTTCGAGCTTCTCGATACGGAGTTCAAGAGCGGCGACATAGCTGTTCACACAGAGGTTAGCCAAGACACGGGCAAAATTCGTCGCCCTGATGACACACCTCCGTTCTTTGCCTCTGGCAAATTGATCATTGGCTGCCGAGCATTCATTATCACGACCTGCCTTTTCACAAGCGGTGCAGGCAGGTAGTTTGCCATCACACTGAGGTTCACGAGAGGTTAGCTGTCAAAGATGAACCCTGCAAGCATTTGGCGGAAGTAATGTGTACCTTGACCTTGGCGGCACGACCTAGGCAAATAAAGGTCAGTTGGGGAAACGGGCAGAATTTGCTAGGCGGGATTCATCATATTGTATCAACTCACATCGCGAGCACGCCGATACTGGCCTTGAGACCCTCAACAAGGGATTTCGCGAGAAGCTAGTGCGGGGCATGGCGCATTGCCTCGCAAGAACTGCGGTGCGGAAAACTGAGCGCCGTTGGAGGGTGAGGCCAGCCGGGCAAAAGGCCCGATAACTGTGCTTCTGGGAAGAAGACAAGGTGCCAAGTCGATGTAGAGGAGCGTCTAGCAAGCTCGCAAGCACAGGACTAGCAGTGGTGAGGTATCGCGGAGCTGTCGCGCAGGAGGTGATGGTGAGCTAAGCGGCTTACTATTGACTGAGCAGGGTGAACGGGTTGTCGTTGCGAGTGGGATGGACATGGATGGACATGGATGGCTGGAATGTGCCACAGCCGGGCCTGTATGGCATTAGGACGACTGACAGCCACAGAACCGGCCAACGGGCGGGGCCGGTCGAGGCTCTCTGGCGTTGTCTGGAGACTGGAAAACGGACCATGTTCATTGACCGCGACAACTGGGGTAATAAGATCAAATTGACCCCAGCACCGGCCGGGCGAGCCAACTAGTGTGGCGGAGAGACGCTAGGGCTGGGACCAGCAAAATGTCTAGTCTGGTTCCTTGTTCCTTGATGAGCGGTGCCCATGTATGTACTATATGTAATGCCCGACGCTTTCTTTGATTTCTTTGCACCACCAACGTGCGACATGAATAAGAGCTGCGACGCGAAACGGGCAAAACAAAAGCCGAGAGAGACGCTGGCCGGCTACGATTGCTCCATATAGTTCCTCAATACGCCATCGACCCTCCTCATAGACAAGGCTGGACTCGACTCGAGAACGCCGAGAACCGACGGCGACGGCGACGGCGGGGAGTGCGAGCAACAAGCCAAGGCCAGCCGAAGAACTCGGAGAATCACGAGACAAGGGAGACGGAATAGCAACTCCAGGTTGCATGTTTCATTCCATCTTGGCCAAAAAGAGTGCCACCCTGGTGGGGTCAGTATCATATCTGGCCAAGAAGAACAGTCGACAATGGAGAACCTACTCAAGTCAGAGTAGTCGGGAGGCTGCTGCTGTCTAGGCGTAATTGAAGCTGAACACTACTGAGAAGGAAATGCCATTTCTAGAGGGCGAGCCAAGGTTGGCCTTGGCCTGTACTAGAGAGAGTTCTGTATCTGGCACGTACATAATACGTAGTCTGCCGAAAACACACCGACACCCACACCCACCTACACACTCTCTCCGTGCAGTATTTTTTTCTGAAATTGTTTGTGTGTATGTATGTACATGCATCTTTGGATCTCCTTCCGAACTAATGTCAGCAACTGTCTACCACGATATACGACCCGTCGACATGCGACATGCGACATGCAATATGCGGCAGTTGGCGCCACTCCAGCGTCGGTGGAAGGAGCACCCGGCAGGAGCGATGGAGAAAGGGAAAGAACGATGTACTAATCTGTCAGGGGCAAAACACGGCACACGGAACCGAATGACGGATGACACAAGATCTGTCGTTTTTTCAAACTTATTCTCGCCCAACACTCCATTCTCCGCCAGTCCGTGCTATTCTGCATGCACGTGTGCCGTGCTTCTCGCTGTTTTCGATGACAGCAAGAGGGTCCAGGCACAAGCGGACGGGGATTCGGAAGCCAAGGCCGGAGGGTCCATGTTTCGAGTCTTTCTGCAATCCTCCCTACCTGGTACTAACTACTAGGCATCTAGGTAGTTGACCAGGGTGGTGCGGCTTTGCATCAATGCCACCCCATCTCGCCTGTCACCCATCGCATTGTACGATTGAGATGTCGGTATTGCTATTAATAATGTACTCCCGCGCTCTTGGAAGCCAACTGACTAGATTCTAGGCAGCCATCTTTTCGAAAGCCAACAACACCAATGGCCCGCGGAATTGCGGAGCCTCGTTCATCGAGACTCGGCGAGACGATTGACTATGCTGTGGCGCGATTGGCCGACATATTGATACATGACGAACTTGCCACTTTATAGGGTTCATGGCTTGCGCGCAACTTCCTCATCCACCAGCCACAGCTCGGGCCTTTGCGAGGTTTCTGTTGCCCATTGATTTCCGCGCTCTTGGGGACATCTGCATACCTAGGTATCTAGTAGGTAGGCTGCATAAGTTGACTGCGAGGCTAGCGGCAGACTGCGGATGGATGGATGCAGTAGTTCTTGGTGAAGATTGAATTCTGGTGCTCCGACCCGCATCTCGACGACAAACGCCATTGCACGTGGCAGCGCCGCGCATCGAGGTACGAGCCAGGGCTTAGGATTGTTTCCCAAGGAAACCAAGGTTGACAAAATGCACTGCACAGCCTCCCAAAGCATAATCTCACGATCGTTGATTGCCTACTGTGCGGCTGTACATACATGCCTTGGCCTCGTTGTTGAAGTCTGGACAAGAAAGTGATGTGAACAACATAGTACTCGAGTCAACCTTGAGCGTTGGACGACCCTGGTGCTTCTGGCTGTGTGGATCTGCGGCGCTTTAGTGCTCCCGAGACACTCGCAGGCTCGCTGTGGTGGGGGACTTGTTTTCAACATGAGTCGCATCATTGTCATTTTTTAGTTTTTTAGATGCTGCCTGCCAGACCCAATGGCTCTCGCAACTGTCGATAGTGCGTGTGCCTTTGTCCACAAGCGGAACGATCAATGGGGCATTGTTTCTGGTGCTTGCCAAGTCCGCAGCCCGTTCAACCAAGCGATGCGACGTCGACCTGCCCGCCAATGCCCGCAGACTTCGGTCAAGTTGTGCCGATGGATATGCATGTGGCCTAGAACGACAGACGGCCATCCACGCGTTTACAAGGGCTAGGTACGTAGTAGTATGTCGGCGATAAAGGGTCTGGTCAAGCATGATGTGCACGTTTCAAATAGGGCAACATTGAATGCACCCACGTACCCGGGTAGGTACCTGGGGATCTACTGCCCAGTATGTTGAGCTCGCGTCCTTTTCACAGACATCGGAGCCCAGTAGTAATAACTCGGTACGGAGTAGTTATTTGCCAATTGACACAGGAGGACTCGGTGTCCAGCTGACGTGCTCAAGTGCTCAAGTGCTCAAGTGCCCACGCCATTTCTGCACCTGACGGGTAGACGGCTGGATGGCTTCTCTCCTGCACGGTCGCATTCCGTGCCAATCAGCACACGCACAATCCACTAATGCGCCTCCGGTTGCTCTTGCCCGAGTCGGTGCAGACGTCCCGGCTGCTGACCCTCTTCAATGTTTGCGAGTCAACCAGCTGTGTTGTACGTAGGTACCTGGGAACCTAAGCAGGTCCCTAGAGGTAGGAGGGTACCCTGGGCTCATTCGTGTCTGGGGCTGACATCTTGGGGCTGGGCGGTTCTTCTTGGTCATCAAGACCCTCCTAAACCTCCATGTCAGTCCCTCCTTTCCGCCTAGCACCGCTGACCACATCCTCGAGGCGAGCGAGCACATCTCAACCGCGAATTCATTCCGCACTCTGCACCCTGCACTCTGCACATCGCCTGCGCAGTCGCAGCTCCTTCTGCCGACCTTCTGCTTCTTCTTTCAACCGCCTTTGCCGCTCGATCCACCAAGGATATATAGCTGTCATCGACTCTGAAGACTACTCTTAGCCACCTGTTAGCCCGCCGCTATAATTTTGCTTTGTCTGGAAGTCAGCGGATGAACCTTACCGCTCTCCGCAACCCCTTGGACTGGTGTGCTTCCTCCACCGCCTCGTTGCGGATTGCTAAGACAGTTTGCCCTTGACATCAAAACGATATTACCAGCCTGACTACTACAGCGAACCTGGCCGGCAGCTCGGTACACATTGCGCCCTTCTCAGCCTGTTTCCGGCGGCCCGGTCCAAGGCGAGCCCCACGACGTACGCAGACTTGACTCGGCCAGTCGCACAGGGCTTCTTGTGCAACCCGGCGTCGTTATTCAAATACGTTGGGGCGACACGATTGAACAGGCGCATTCTACGCCAATATTTACCTCTGGCAAGGCGCATGCTCTAGAGACAGGCGGGTTGCCAGCAACTTGAAGGATCCCCATCATGGATCCGGCACACATTTTTAGGCAAGGACTTGGGTCTGTCCCGTCCCGCCCAAATCAACCATATACAGCCCATTACCAGAAACCACAAAGGTCCAATGACGATCTTTCCGATGACGACGGCTCAGGTCACCGCGTTGCCCACACATTGACAGCCTGCTGTCGCTGTCGTCAGGTATGACCTGCCTACCTGCCAGCATGCACTCTTACTAACACAATGTCATAGCGGAAAACCCGCTGCGATCCGTCTTTGCCACGATGTTTGCCGTGCGAGAGGTCTGGTTCAATATGCGAATACTTGGATACTGCCAAAGGCAAGAAAATTAACCGATACTATGTCATCAAGCTTCAGGACAGGGTTAGGGCGCTCGAGGCCGAGTTGGCCCATTACACGGATGATGAGAATGATTATCCCAAGACTACTGAAGACATTGTTCGACCTGGAGGCATGATCCGTCTCAAAGCAAGTGATGAAACGTCTAGATACTTGGGGCCCAGCAGTGGCATTGCTATGACTAGGCTGTTGATGGAGGAGGCTAAGAGATACACGGCATCTAACCGCATATCCGACCTCATACCCGAGGTACGGGCTAGAAGCCAAGCTCGGATGCAGTCTATACAAATGACTGGGCCACCAAATGGCAGAAAGAAAAGCTACCCGATGCTCAGCGAGGGCCCTGCCGACGGTCTACCGTCTCGCGCAACCATGGACAAACTTATCGAGCTATTCATTCAAAAATGTATGGTTTACCAATTCCGAACTGGCCACAACAATAGACTTGGAGGAAGTACTAACTTGACTCATCTTCTAGCACAAGTATTTTGGCCTGTTCTCCATGAGAAGAATTTTGAAAGGGACATGGAAGCAGTGTACAATGGTGACGAAGACCCGTACAAAAACTTCGTGCTGCGGATGGTTATTGCTATTGCCCTTCAAAAATTTGACTCACAATATGCCGGCTTAGCAGACAGCTACTACTTAGCAGCCATGCAGTACGCCGAAGCTGTGATACGTCCCAAGGATCTCAGGACTTTGCAGTGTCTAGTTTTGATCGGTCATTATTCGCTCCTCACCCCCACGAGAACGCCAGTGTACTATGTCATTGGCCTTGCGACTCGCATCTGCCAACAAGAGGGCTTAACGGACGAGCAGACGATCACTACTGGCTATAATTTGGACGAGCAGACGATTGATATGCGAAGACGCCTTGCGTGGATTGTCGCAGTCATGGACTTTGGGTTGTCCTATCACATGGGGCGACCCAGTGGGTTTGCAACAGGAAATGACAAAGTAGATGTGTCCATATTTTCCACCGTTGATGATGAGCACATCACAGCAAATGGAATCAGTGCTGGCCCTACCAGTCCACGAAAGGCTTTCGCTGCTCACTTCTATCAATGCCGAGAATTACAGGCGGAAATTCGAAGAAATCTCTATGAACAAAAGCGACACCAACCAAATAACGACTCATATCCCTGGTTCGATAGTATAGAAAAGAAGATGAAGTCTTGGCTGGACGCTGCGCCCAGTCATATTCAATGGGGCCCTTCATGGTATTATGCCTATCAATGTTTGGACCTCTCACGTAATGTTTGTGCTAACAGATGCAACAGGTGTGCCACCTTCTATCACCACACTCGGGTGGTTCTCTACAGACCTTCGCCGCAAGTTCCCCAGCCCTCTGCACGGGCTGCTACGATTTGTTTTGAGAGCTCTGCCTTTGTTATCAACCTGGCAGAAAAGCAAATGAGCAGCGGCTTCTTCAGCATCACTTGGCTACTACTACTTATGCTCACCTCATGTTTAAATGCCCTTTTATGGTCAACGTCATACCCAGAAGTTCGGCAGGCCCATTCTCGACAGGAAGTGGAGGATCTTGTAGCCAGAGCGCTGGCGTGTCTCGAAAAGTGCGCAGAACGATGGCCCGGCACTCGTTATACGGCCCAACTATACAACGTCATCTCCAAAGCCTGCTTGCAAAGCTACGACAGGGCTCCTGACAGCCAGCATCCAATGTTCTCCTTCGCCAGTCCATCGTCGGTCGCCGAGCCACAGTCATCACCCGACAGTTATGTACAGACTGGGCCTTCTCAACAGCTCCCGTACCTGAATCCTCCCCAGTTTGGTTTTGTATTCGATTCACCGCCAGAGTCCATGAATGCATATACTTTTGATCCGAACTACCCGCCACCTCAGCCGACTTTTAGATCCAATTCAATTTTCTGCAATCCTGCTACTGATGCAAACGGGAGGAGATTCTCTTATTTCCCGCCCGAAGGTTCACCAGAAGACAATCCTGCCCAGTCTGTAATGAGTCACAATCAGACGACTTCGCCTTCTGTAGACCACTCGAGGCAGATCCCGACGCCACCTGATTCGATCCCGACTGGCACCATGTCGGCCGCTACTCCCAACACGACGCTTTCGCCGCAAAATCTGCCATTGCAGTCGTCAGCTCTATCTGACGCTTCATCCGCACCTCGTGTTGTGCCAATGCAAGACCACATTTCGCCTCCGCAGAGTGGGCAGCCAACTCAAGTAACGCCCAACTTCACCACGGCAAGGCCATCGGTGCCCCAGCGGCCATTGCCGGCCACCACTTCCGCTGCTGATTGGTTCTCCCCTCCAGCTCCCTTTATTTCGCCGTACAACTTTGGACCTATGAGTAGCAACTGCTTCAACGACGCAATGCCTAATAATTTTGCCGAGGTGCCGACTGGTAGCCTTGGTGGGCTGCAGAACATGGCCACTGGGTTTGATGCCCATGGCCAGTACGGCTTCATGCCTGGGAGACAAGGCAGTCTTACTCACTCGCAGCAATTGGAGCTGATGAATGCGTTGGAGACAGAAGGTATTGGAGACATTGATGCTTTTTTGAACGCTGGAAACAACATGGCAGATGTAAGATGGTGTTAGAACTACCACCAAGGAGAGTTGCCAGGATTTCTGTAATTTCGGCAGACAATTCTTCTCCCAAGCATGTCGCCTAGTTGTGTACCAGACTCTGTTTTGGCTTTTGGGGCATTACCGTCATTTAAATGACGAGTGGTGCTAGGGAAAGTGAGCGGGCGTTTTTGGATGGCAAGGGATATTGTTATATACCCAGAGTAACCCAAGACATTTTAGACAAGGAAGACGCATTGCAAATATGAAACTCGTGCGAGAAGCGGACGTGCACAATAAGACAAATTCATGGCTGCCACATATTCATAGAGTCTCCAAAAATTCAAACGCTGTGCCAACCCGCCGTTTTGCATGTACTTAAATCTTCAAAAGTCGAATGCTGCGAATACCCTCAGCCAAGACATCAGTCTGAGGGTAGTACTCTCATTTATCCCTTAAAGTCCAACCTGCTCATGTCGGCCTCCACCGTGTCGGCTTTGACCCTCGCCTTCCTAGGCCGCCTCCTTTTCTTCGCTGTGCCTATTCCTACAGGCACTTCCTGGATCCAGCGTACAATAGCTATTGTTCTCTCCACAAGGAACGGAAAGTCCTTGGTTTCGTCATTGGAATTCCAGTGCCGAAAGGGGTCGTATTTGTATGATGGTGTAGATGATATTAGGTGTACCGGGTTGACTGTTGGGTCTACGGCTCCTGCTTGAGATGAGATCTCCAAAGGCCTGCCCCTCTGATTGTCTGGGGAGGATGTTCCTGCATCGGTTTCTCTTAGAAGGGAGGCGGCAGCTGCGGATAGTGAGTCGTTTGCCTCACTACCATCCAAAGGGGCATGATCGCATAGAACCTCCCAGGTTGAGCCTAGGGGAAGCCAGTCCTTCGTCCGGCGGAGCACTTCTTCCCAGTCGGACCGAGCTGGTGATCGTGTGGCGAGAAATACGGGATACCCGTGGCATAATTGCACGAGACGGGCGACCATGTAAGCATGACGCTGCAGTTCCTTTATTGACGTCTGCAAAAGACAATGGCAGAGTAGTAAGGAATGCAAGGCTTCAGTTAAGAGGGGGTGGTATGTGACCGCTTCGCTTGTGTCCGGCTCTGGGCCATTTTGCACAGCATTTCTGGCTTCATCCTGGGTCCCAGTTTCTTGTGGAGGGAGATGCGGAGGCGGCACGGCTGCAAAGAGGTCTGATAAGCGGTATACAATGTGCCTTTGTTCGAACGACTTGCAAGGCTTGCCAATACCTTTCGCTCCATGCGCCACGCGGTCGCTGAACTCACAGAGAGCCGGATTTGGCAGATTAGGAGAATAGTCAAAGTAAGAGAGGAAGGAGGTGTAGTCCTTCAATGCGCGTTTAGCCAGAGCTTTCACAAGCCTTCGATTCTCAAACCGTTCGTTTGACACGTCTTGTATCTCGCTAATACCTTTGAGAGCTGTGTTCGGATTTCCATTCTCGCCTTGGGATTTTTGAGGCGGTGAAGGGTCAAAGCAAGAATCGACATGCTGGCAAGCCATAGTGATGTTTACCGAAGCTCGTTGAAAGAACAGCTGTGCCACAAGTCCACTTGGCTGGTCTTTTTCAGGGAGAAGAATGCCCCTGTTTCTTTTTTTACCGTGCTTCTGGGTCTTCTCAGGGCCCAAATGGTTCTGACTTGGGTTATGAGGCGGAACATGATGTCTCTGTAGGGCCAGCGCCAGCGCTTCCGTAAGGTCTTGTATTGCACCATCAAATTCGCGTCGGATAACTTTGACTGCCGCCCGAGTACGAAGGGCTTCTGCTTGGTAATGTGCCGATTCAATCATGTCAGTCAAAGGTGAAAGACTTGTAGTCTCGACCAATCGCTTCGACGGAATCTTTTCATGGAAAAAGTGGACATATTTGGCGTTGAGGTCATCCTGGTTTCGCTGCAATACCAAACCACCGACTTCTTCCAAAGCAGATGCGCCTTGCATTGTGGCAACACTACACGCTATCTCGTCCAACCGATATGCATGGGCAAGTTTCTGGCATGCTAGAGCTCTGATCCGTAATTTTCTCTCTCCACTCAGCTTTGCACCATGGCTGAAGGGGTCAAATTTTTGAGCACCTCCGTTGACATTGACAAATGTCGAAGGGGCCAAGTCACTTGCAGCCACTACGGCAAAGTTCGTCGCTTCGTCGACTGCCTTGCGAATTTTCAGAACATCAAACACAACAGCCGGGTCAACGGGACGAGGTCGAGGGGTGTTGTAATTGTTGTGAGCGATCATTTCCAGTATCTTGATAGGTAATTGGAGCCATGGCCCATGAAAGGCCGATATATGACGCCAATGCCTAGTGTTTTCAAGTCAGAAATTGTCTAGCGAGAGACATCCTGCTGTCACCTGAACTGTGGTGTAAAGGCTGCGCTCGCAGATATGTTGGGAGAGTACAACTCACTTATGGCGAGAAATTATGAGACCGGCCGACGGAGGCGTTACAGACACGTCCTTTTCTAATTTGGGGCCCTTATTAGTAGATGGTGTTGGAGACGGAGGAAGATTGTCAGATGGAGCGCCCATCTTCTTGGTAGGTGAAGAAGCATCGCCATCGCTGCCCAATTTGATATTGCTTAACAGCCTCTCTTTCTTGGAGAATTTGGTCATTCTGAGAATGACTAGTGTCGTAGAATGCGGATTTCCTACGACCCCTGCCTGTTCGACGGCGATGTGTTTTGCATGGAGCTGAGGTTTCGGTATCTCAACGTGGCGCAATTTCGGGCAAAGGTAAACTCCAAAGCTGAAGAGCGAGTATTAATCTGGAAGTCAAATCGATGGACGTGAACTTGATGATATACATGTGACATAATATAGATGGCATAAATGATTCTGTTGGAAGAATAATGGAATCTCTAGAAGAACTAGAAGAAGAAGAAAAGACACCCGAGAAGAAAAAAGCGAAAGAATAAACTGACCATGTGGCGCGGAAGGTGAACAGAAGTCGGGAAGGGAGCTTTAAAAGGTGGGATGCAAATCACGTGCGACGTGTTTGCACCAACATGGGTGAGGTTATCCCAACTTTCAGATACTTCTTTCCCACTTGCACATGCAATGCTCCAAGTGAAATAAAAGCCCTCAACCCGAATTTAGATTCTATTACGTGTCGTGAAACTTGAATGATATTAAATTATAATAAAAATAAAAAAAAGGCTAGTTAATCACCAGGACCGCCTCTTGTCTTTCTGTTTGAAACGAAACCTGGGCATGTCTGAGGCGAGTTATGGTCCAGACTCGAAATGAAAGGCCCCAGTTGATGCCAGCAAACATTGCATGGTTTCTGAGCTCGAAATAGGCTCATTCTTTGTGCACAGTGCAGTCCAGAAAGCTCAGGGGGTAAGAGTATCTGTTTTCTCGGTCGTGCCTTTATGGTTCTCATACATTTCATTTCAAGTCGCAAATCGCAAAACATTGCACATGAATACGGTCACCTAGTTCACAATCCTGACATGTGAGCAATATGCGTTCCTGCCATTACGTTCCAAGATAAATGGAGTGTCTAGTCTACGGCACCCTTTCTGCCACACCCACGGAAGCTATACGCTGTCTATATAATACATTGCGGAAATCCTGGAAAGGAAAAAAATGCGCGAGACTAATGAGAAAAGATCACCAGCGCCACGCTTCCCACCCACCATAGCAACGGCCCCGGCACCCTCCTTCCCGCCGCCGCTATGACGACTGACGGGGTAGGACTAACGACCCCGCTAGAAGAGACCCCCGTGCCTGTCGGAGTAGATCTTGTTGGTGTAGTGGATGTAGTGGATGTGCTGGTCGTCGCCGTAGCTGTACTAGAATATGTTGTTGTGCAGGAACTTTGCTGGTCACTGCAGGCACAGGGTTGAGTATGAGTAGTTGTCTCAGTCTGGGTATAAGTCTGATTGTTCCTGGAAGTAGATCCGGGCAAAGAAACAGACGGTATGTCGGGATCATTCTTGACAAAGTCGGCACAAGTGATACGAGTCGAGTTGGCGAGGTGGATGACAAAAGACCGATTGCCGAAGAAGGTAGCATCGCCTTCTTTTAGAGATACGAACTTATCAACGTACTCGACAATGAAGGGGTCGCTAGTAATCTTGCCATATTTTCCAGCAAGATCTCCAGCCTGGCACGATGGAAGAGAGCCAGCATCGCAAGGCGGCTTCTCACCACGGTTCGTGGGGTCCAAGTGTGCGCCCGTTGCGGTGCAGTTACCGTTACTTGCTTTGTTGACATGAAGGTGGTAAGCTGCTTTCCAGTCAGTAAATCCCTAACGTTTGAACATGGCAAATCCACTTTGCCTTGGTTCTTTGACCGTGTACTAACGAAAAGGGCCGCCTGTCTTGGGCAAGTTCTCAAATCGCACAGTGAATCGAACTCCCAAGCCGTCAGGAGGCGCGGCAGCACTTATAAAGCCTCTAATGTTCCCATCAAGCTCTGGCGCGTGGAAAAAGGGGTCCTGCGGAAGTGTAGCCGTGTAGATCACATCGAGAGGATTGTCTGTGATCTCGGGCAAAAGGTCCGCAGCGAGCACAACGTTCACTGCAGCGCCTAGAGCTGCCACTGTTGCTGCAACTCGCATCTTTGTTCTCCTTTTCTTTTGTTGTGATGCCGAAGAGGGATTGTACGAGTTTGAGCAGTTAATGCGTGTGACATGCACCCCTAGTTGGATTCGGAGTATCTCAGGGTTTCCTGGACAATGCTTGACTGCGAGCAGTTTATATATCACGAAGGCAGAAAACTTGGCGTAACACAAGACACCAATGATAGGTCGGGGGGAACTCCAAGAAAAGAAACAGATGAAGCAGATGCCGGATCCAGTCTGGTACGTAATATCAATCGGAGAGTGCGAAATCGGCATATAGTGTAATTTGCAGGACTGGAAATCTGAAGTGTGCATCCAACATGTTAGATTGTTGATAATAATAAGACAAAGACAGCCCAACCAAAGCACGGGCGGATGCGCGGAATGGGCATTGGGCAACGACTAGAAACGGCAAACAAAGGCCAACAAGATAGACAAAGGAATCACGGGGGCACGAGATGGGCACTTCTTTATTTTATAAACCAACGCCTTGAGTCGTTGGCGCACAGTCCGCACTCCGACCTCAGCACTGCACTCTTCTAATATTGTACTACCTGGTGGCCTGTGTTGATGGGTTCGTCAGTCGCATCCATGATAGGTCTCTGACACGTCGACAAACCGTAGCAGGCTTTGGAGGCCAATAGCCAAGAAACATGAGCAAACAACCATGGCATTCTAAAACGGCACGAATCGAAGGGGGTGTTTCTGTCTTGCTCGCCGCAATACGAGGTCCGGTAGCCGAGATAACAGTGCGTGTGCGTGTGTGTACGCTGTAGCATCGCGCCAGTTGTTCTACTAACGATTGCGGTGAGGATAAAGCAACGGGGGGCCGCCACGGATAAATGGCAATTTGACTCAGCCTCGAGGTCTCGTTTCCATTCTATTGGAACCTTGTGTCAGGCCCGACGCCCTAGTGAGACGTTTGCTGTTGTCGATGGCATCCACTTCCGACCGGCCTGAGGTGTAAATCCAAGAGACGGCGTAGCACCAGCAGACCAGCTCTTGGCCGAATGAATAAGTTGTTGGAACAGCTGTCGGGAGTCGGCAATGCACCTGAGTAGAGCTGTTTTGTTTGGTGTTTCAGGGTCCGCACGGATCGCCGCAACCCGCTTCATGGGGCTGGTTTGAACGCTTCAGAAGAAAGGCGTTCCTTGCCCTTCCCGAATTGGACAGAGATATGGCTGCGGAACATTTTGCTGCGGAACATTTTCTTTGCCGTGACTTCCGGGGACTATCCGAATGTGAATCGTTTCATGTCGTAAGATGAGATCTCAGGCTACCTTGGGATCCTGCCACAACTGCCACGTTGTTTCGTGAAAACACAAAAACATCGTGAGGCCGTGGCTGGGTGCGATCCCATATGAAGCTGACCATCCATCATGATCCATGATGGTTATGAGTCGTACCGTGAGGTTTCGTAACACAAGTTGGGAGGTTGGATGGATGCTCGTATGGCATTGTACATACACGACTCGAACAAGTAGATGGGTTCTGAGCTATTCTCGGCTAAACTTTCGGCAGACGCACAAACAATTATGGCTCCGTCTGATGTGTAAGTAGGTAGGCAGGCACGGAAACGGACGAGAAAATGAAATTTTCGCTCATGAGCGCTTGAGAAAATAGGCAATAGAAGATGAGTAAGGGAACGGAAGAATGGATAATGAATCCGTTCAAAGACGGCAAATCTCCATCACGGTTGATGTAAAGTGCTCGGCAATAGTATGTACGTATTATCTCTTTAGCTGCCCAGTGGCTTATGGAGACTCCTCTGCCATACAATTTTCCTAGGTAAGCGAGTCTCCATAAGCCACTGGGCAGCTAAAGAGATAGAGAGGGATCACTGAGTATGTATGTGGCGCAGGTCCAGTATGTGGCTTGATCGAGCCGCTCGCTGCCTGTGGCTTGGTGCCCTACGTCTGCCTAATCCTTCAGGCAGGTAAGGCCGTTACGTACCAGCGAGATCTCACATCACCACTCTATGGAGCTCAGAGAGCCATCACCATCATTCGCGACAGCAATACCGTCGGTATCACCCAATTCCGCCGAAGCACCTCGACGGCCATTCATTTCCCATCAGTCGAATAGACGGGCTTGCGCCACCACTCCCCATCATGAAGCCCGTCGTCAGTGCCATGCACGCCTGGTCGTGGTATGTCCTGACTCCTCACCCGAAATAACAGCTCGCACTCTCTGTAGCTGAACCCGCGTCTTCAGCTCTTACACTAACTCCGAGTTTCCGCCTACAGCACCGTCATCTCTGTTTTTGCCATCCTCATCCTCAGCGTTCTCGCCGGGCTATACCGCACTGGGCACGAGGAATTTGTTGGAGGCGTTGGCGACCCCAGCCCCGTGGAAGGCAAGGCTGTAGCTGGAACCATCTTTACAGCCGTCATTGTCTACGCAGTACGGGACCCTCGGCTTCTGCTTCCAAACTTTTCGTGTGCCACCTATGCTGACCTTGGTGTTAGGCTTTCCTTGTGTTTTGTGGTTTCCAGGGATTACTGCACGTCCGTGAGAACCGAAGAGGCGCAATTGCCCTATAGATCTTTATTTTCAGCTACTACGTTCGTATATATACAGGCGCCGGCGTTCGAAGGGAATTCTCGGGTTAGGGAATATATTTTATTTCGTCCTTTTTTACTTCTTGCCACGATCGAGGTTTGAGAGCTCAGCGATCGCGAGGGAGGCGCCTTTTGGTGCTCTTTGGTGCCTTGGTTGGCCATGGCCCACATGCACTCTTCGGAAGAAGCTTTCGTAATCCGGGGCCCAGCCGAAGTAGGCTATATGTATCAAATAAACAAGAGATGATAATGTTGATGAGGCTTGATTGTGGTGCTTTTATCTCGTACTCTTTCCTGATCGATGTATCAATATTGCCGCGTTACTACAAATATCACGCCGACGGACATGGGCCCGAGCAGGGTTGTGTAGGTGTCGGGGCACCCTGTTCACCGGGCGAGCCTCCGAGTTCCAACAAGATGCTGTCCACAGCTTCAGCTCAACAACCATCATTGCCCATGAAGTCATGAGGCTGCTGCACGCCCCTTCATTCGAGCTATGCGTTTTCACAGATGACCAAGTCCCGCCATACGCCATTCTATCACACACCTGGGTTGATGAAGAAATCACTTTCAATGACCTGTCCCGGCTGCGGAGGCACGATGCTCGCGAGAAGAGAGGATGGGACAAGATACAGAAAAGCTGCGCCGTAGCAAAATCCCTGGCATTAGACTTCATATGGATTGACACATGCTGCATCGACAAATCCAGCAGTGCAGAGCTTTCTGAAGCCATCAATTCCATGTTCAGATGGTACGCAGAAGCTCGCCTATGCATCGCGTTCTTGTCTGACTGGAATGCCGCGACAGACACTCCGGCCTCGACGACGTTTCGATCCAGTCGCTGGTTCACAAGAGGATGGACTCTGCAGGAACTAATTGCTCCCCGTGAAGTCATATTCTACGATCGGCATTGGGAAGCGCAATTCACGAGAGATTCGCTCAGGGAGCTCATCCGCGATATCACAGGGATACCAAAAGATGTGCTCGAAGCATCAAAGGACGGCGGTCTACAAAGTCGCCAGCGCCTTGATGGGATTTCGGTTGCGCAAAGAATGAGCTGGGCTGCGAACCGAACCACCACACGGCCAGAGGACGCTTCATACTGTCTCCTCGGCATCTTCGATATCAACATGCCGCTTCTGTACGGCGAAGGGGCCACCAAGGCATTCAGACGCCTTCAAGACGAGATCATAAAGTCCACCGACGACGAGTCACTCTATGCATGGAGCTGCCCCGTCGAAATAGCAGACAAGCGGCAGTTCTGGGGGCTCCTAGCGGCGCCTTCAAGACGAGATCATAAAGTCCACCGACGACGAGTCACTCTATGCATGGAGCTGCCCCGTCGAAATAGCAGACAAGCGGCAGTTCTGGGGGCTCCTAGCGGACAGCCCTGCTGCATTTGGCAACTACAACGACATGATTCCACGTCGGTCAAGATATCTCACGCGGAGTTCAAATCGGACAGTCACTGTCTCGAACAGAGGACTGCGTTTGGATCTTTTCGTGACGCCCTTTCCAAAAGACACATCGCGTACTATATTTCTCGCCTTTCTGGACTGTGATATGGGACGAGAGCGGTCAAGTTCGTCCCTAAGCCCGGTGATTATACTTCAGCGAACGGCATGGGACAATAACTCGGACATGGCCCGCATTCGGCCTGATATACTCGGCCTATCCATGATGAACAATGTGGTCCTTCCGGACGAACTAGCCACGTTATTATGTACCGGTTCGGGAACCGGGTCGACACTGCAGCAACCTGAGCTTGGCCAGATCTTCATCCCGCACAAGTGCACCTCCGCCCGCCCTCCTGGTGGCATCGTATTCCATCCTGAAGTCCATCACCCGCTGAACAAACTTTCCCTCAGCGTCCGATCCCGCTCTCCGACGTGGCAATACTTCATCGGCATGAAGGGCAGTGCCGTGGAGCGCTCGTACGAAATCAACTTTGAGCAGAATCCCATTCCAGCCGTTGATGAGCTCAAGGAGCCAAAAGTTCTTGGCACAATAGAGATTACCATTGAAGCGGGGGCCAACAAGACCAAGACGAAAAGCGTGTGTCTGGTGGTTGGGTTAGAGCCGTTGGCAGAGAATCCATTTGGTACGCCTGCATTGTACTTTGTTCCATGGTGCGGGTTTGAGGAGCAGGACAAAATTGCCCGTGCCGAGCTTGAGAGGGTATTAGATAAGACGTCGAGGAGAGGGGTCCTTGTGTTGGGCAATGACGTTGTGGTTGGGACATTTGGGTTGGAGACAAGGTATTCGAGGTTGGTATTTACGTTGAAGCTTGAAACCAAGGAGATGAGGGATATGAGAGGGTTTACTTGGTCGAAGTGATGAAGCAAGATGGCTGTAAATATGGAGTGTCTTGCCAGTTGTGTTTTCCCATGGCCAAGTACACTCTACTCCTGCACAAGAGTTTCACTGTTTGGCCAAGAATTCTTTACAAGGCTCAAGGCTTTTCCCCCTCCGTCTTTCCTTTTGCCTTGACCACGTACAGAGTATACTACAGAAACATGCCCGTATATGCCCACCTAGGTAGGTAGGTATATACAAATTCTGTGCAGCCCGACTCACTCATGGCTACAAAGTAAATGCAGCATCTACGAGCCAGCCAGATCCATTCCCAACCTCTCCCTAATATCGTGGCCAACCTCAAATACTCTCTCCTCAGGAACATACCCCATATCCAGCAGCTCCTCCCTCGTAACGTCGGCTCTCTCATCGAGTGCCGCCTTCAGGCCTCTCGCCTTCTCGGTGACGTCCTCAATCTCAGCGATCCATTCCTCTGCCCACTGTTTACTCAGCGATCCCGGGATGCCAATCTGTATGCTCCTGTACGGCAAAACCCGCAATCTCTCATCGCGCTCGGGATCCCACTGAATCCTGACCTCGCTCGTCTTATCGCGCGGGCCCTGCTCACCACCGCCAGCACCACCGATCCGTTCAGTGTGCGCAGACAGCACGCCCTTGTCGAGCAGCGCGATGAAGTGCGCGTGTTTCATGCGCAATGCTAGAATACGCTCTTGCCCGGGGTCCTTGTACGAATATCCTGCGCGGTACATCATCCAGCTCCAGCTGGGCTTGACCCAAGTCATCCGTCCGGGACGAAAGTCTGGAGAGGCATTGAGCTTCTGGTGCTTCACTGCGGCATCGGCAATGGAGCGTTTATACGCCTGGTAGACGGTGATGGTGTCGGGCGTGTATGTTGCTCGTATTTGGCGATACGGGGGTGTTGAAGCCATTGTTGGTGCCGTGATTTTATGGTGAGCAGTGTTTACTGAAGGCCTCTGGTTCTCAATCGATGAGTCGGGGTAGATTATATTGGAATTGTGAGGGCTTGTTTTTATGCCGAGTCAAGTGTTGTGACTAACTCGGCCTCGCAAAACGCCTGGGCTGGTGATTGTGAGGCTGAGTTGCAAAGCTTAGACTTTCATGACGATTGCTGAGTCGACCGGGTAAGCATTTTCGCTACGGAACGGAGATTGTGTGTTTTGGTCAAGGAAATGAGTCATGATTCTTTTCTTGGGGGGTTATGCGTTTCGTGCATTGTAGCAACTTGCTGCTATTGGATTCGAGAATTTCGAAGAGGACACGGAGTCGCTACATGTCCAAGGCTAGTGGAAAAAATGTTACACTGCCAAGACTGTGCATGAGCAAGAATCCGTCACGGTATGCTCCTCATTTTACAGAGTGGCCGGCCTATTGATATTGAATTGACATGAGAGGAGACGAGTTGAACGTTGCCAAACTAAGTCAAATATGGTGGTCGATTGTCGACGCGTGCATCATCAGTAATTCCCAAGTACACCTACCTAGTAGATTTCTTGATCTGTAAGTGCCCATGTGACACACCACCGTGATGCAAGTGTAGGTAGCTGGCATCTTGGGCGACGTGACCAGTCTTGAGCGTTGACCGAGTCAATCAACCTGTCTGGTCGACATTGATGGAGGGACATGGAGGATTGAGGCGCTGCTGCATCCAGCCCTGGTTGACTGGACCCCGCGGCCCACTGATGCCAATCCACTGATGTCCACTGACATCGACGCTCTGTGCTGACATCAATGCTTTGACTTGACGTTCAATCAATGTCCAGATGTCAATCCAGTTCTCTGACCTCTGGTCCGCTGATGCGCTGCCTCCGCCCTCCGCCAGTGGCTGCGTGTGGCCCGACTTGGTCGTGCACAGTGCACTTCCACACGCGCGGCCCGCGAGCTATTGTCAAGCGTCAACAACCTTGGCCAACACCATCATCCATCTCGAGCCAGCCGACATTCCAACGCTGCACCGTCAGCTCGCCATTCTCAACCCCGGACACAACCTAGATATACCCGCATTCTCATGTCTTCATAGCTTCTCTACCGTCTGCTACCGAGTCCAACTGCCTGCGTGCCCCCGCATCCCATATCCGCCAACTCAGCAACCTCACCGACCTCGACGTTTCTGGACCCTCCGCGACTGAACACAACCGCCGCAATCATCCAACGCCGTGCATGTCGCCGCCGGAGGAACCCGCGGGCCAAGAGGTTACTAGCCAACCTGGCGGCGGAGACACAGCAACTATCAAAGAAAATGTAGAGCCAAGACACCTCTGCGACTCCCCAGCCCACCATGTCGTTGAGCCAGCCGTTGTCGGGGACAAGCAACACGGCTCCAAGAACAAAGACGACGAGCGAGGGCATGCTTCTACTTCCGGTGAAAGGGGGACAGAGCAGGATGCTACCTCTGCCGAAGCTTTGTCCGCATCTTCAAGCCCCGCCGACGACATCAGACAACCCTCAACACCCGCCACCGGGAAGCAGGTCCTAGCACCATTAAAGCTCCATGAGCCAGGCACACCAGACGTCATGACCTCTTCTGTGGCCACGATAAAGGCCCCAAAGGCCCCGGCCTCGTCGTCACACAAAATCGAAAATGATGCCCAATATCTTACGGCCGAGCAGTCGGCCTATGTCGATCCCACACCCGCAACCCCCGTGACCTCGCAGCCACCTTCGCGGTGCCCCTCCACCACTGCAAGATCCTACCGATCCGACGAGCCCTCGCCGTCAAGATCCGATGGTGCAGATGAAGAAAAGAGGTATACAAGCGAAGACGAGCAAGATGGCGGCTCTCGGTCCGAAATTCAGAGCATCATGGAGCAGTTCAGCGAGGCAGGTGGTGGGCCTGGTGTAGACGAAGTCATGAGCCCGCGCCTGGAAATCGCCTCTCCCATTCTTTCTGGGCCTGCTCCGCATCCACCACGGAAGTCGAGCTTGGAGCCAGTCTCGCAGTCGATACCGAGCCCACTCCAAGACTTCAGCGCCTTGCGCATGTCTACCTCGTCTCCGTCTAGTGTACGGTCCAAGGAACGGGCTACCGATGACCAAGGACCCCCCGTTCCACCCAAGGACGGTGCCTTCGGAACTCCCCCTAGGACACGAGAAGACGGACGGCCATCTAGCATCACGGCGCCAACTTCTCCGCAGCTATCTATGCATCGGCCACCTCCGCCCGATCCAGAACCAGAACCGGCACTGCCCTTCGATTTTCACCGGTTCTTAGAACAGCTACGGAACAAGAAGGCCGATCCAGTTGCAAGGTATCTCAAGTCGTTCTTGTCTGAATTTGGCAAGAAACAGTGGATGGTTCACGAGCAGGTCAAGATTACTAGCGATTTCCTGGCCTTCATTGCCAATAAGATGATGTTGTGCGACGTCTGGAGGGATGTGTCCGACGCTGAATTCGACAATGCCCGCGAGGGAATGGAAAAATTGGTCATGAATCGATTATATACGCAGACATTTTCCCCTGCGATTGCGCCTCCGAAGCCCATCCCTGGTGCCAAACCAAGACGGAGAGGCGGAGATGTACCTTTAGGACCGGGTCGCCGAGGGCAACACCAAGAAGACGTCGAGCGCGATGAGATTCTAACGCAAAAGATCAATATCTATGGATGGGTGAAGCTGGAGCATCTGGATATTCCACCTGTAGGTGACAGCGGTCGCCGGTTTTTGAAGCTAGCTCAGCAAGGTATGGTCCGTCTCTATGTTGGTCAATGGCACAAGGGTTCTAACGTGTTGGCTCATTCTTTCTCTCCAGAACTCTTAAAGATCAAATCATATAGAGCGCCACGAGACAAAATTATATGTGTTCTCAACTGCTCCAAGGTGATATTTGGTGAGCTCCTCCAGAAGCGTAATCATCACACGGTGTTTTCTCGGTTGCTAATTCTGACAGGTCTGTTGAAACATAACAAGTCAGACTCATCAGCAGATTCATTCATGCCGCTTCTGATTTACGTTGTGCTGCAATCCAACCCAGAGCATCTGGTTTCCAATGTGCAGTACATCTTGCGATTCAGAAATCAGGAGAAGCTCGGCGGCGAGGCTGGCTACTACTTGTCATCTCTGGTATGTTTCACAAACGGCCTGCATGCCATGCTCTCCCCAAAATTGCTAACACAGGTTTCCCACAGATGGGCGCTATCCAATTCATCGAGAACATGGACCGATCATCACTGACAATATCTGACGACGAGTTTGAAAGAAACGTTGAGGCAGCCGTATCAGCCATTGCAGAAAAACACCAAGCCACATCCCCCATCGTCCAGCAGCAGGCAACATTCAACGAAAAAACCGGCATCCATCGCAGCGGATCAAGCGGGCGTCCCTCCACGGACGGCGGCGCAGAGGGCTCAACCCCCCGGCGCTCGACCTCGTCCTACGAAGGCGAAGCCCAAGATGGCGCAGCAATTAGCGGCCTCCTCCGAACCATCCAGAAACCCCTCAGCACAATCGGCCGCATCTTCTCTGACGAAAATGGCTCGTCCTCTAACCCCGGGAGTGCGCCCCGGTCTCCAGCTCCGCCGGATCGCCAATCCCCCCGATCCAACTACCGCGACGAACACGCTGCTTTGCGACGCCAACAAGAGGTGTTGCTCGCCAAGCACGCGCTCCCTGCTGAAGAAGCGGCCGCGAGACAAGCAAGCGCCGAGGCAGCAGAGGCCCAGCGCCTGCATCGTGCCGAGCACGCAAACGTTGTAGAGACACTAGCAGGCATGTTTCCTGATCTCGATAAAGATGTGATTAGCGATGTTGTTTACCAGAAACAGGGAAGGTAAGGACTTTATTTCTCTAGGCGTTCCAGCGCCCTGTTTTCGACTGAGAACTTGTGCTAATATGGCCATATAACAGGGTCGGCTTGGCGGTTGATGCATGTCTGGCGCTATCCTCATAGACATTTGGGGGTCTGGGTCTAAGACCATCTATCTCATTATCATGGTTGAAGGAACTGAGGAGGAGCATAATTCAACACATGGGCATTTTACACCCCATCGGTTTCAAATATCCCGTCATGTAGTAGACACTCTCAAGTCGACACGAATCGCATTCCAAACATACCTAGGTAGCTACAATTACTATAAGCCTTTCAGCCTGAGCCCTTCTCATGATCAAACAGCAAGCACATCAATTGATTCATACTGCATGCGTGCAATTCATCTAGCTTCTTCCAAAAAGAAAAAGGGCCTTTTTTTACTACATCTATATCATCTTTGTACAAAACCTTATCCAAGCTCCAATAAATGCAATTGTGTCTGTGCTATGCATGCCGCTCTATTCTTTAAACTTTGCGCAATTTAGATGTCCATGTTTTATATACACTATTTCGATGCAGTGCGGTGTTCAAGGATAGGTCAATCGTCGGACAGTGGTCATTGAAAGTGGTAAAGGTAAGGAGAGAGATTAAACACCAAAATAAGAAATAAATGGGAGCAACAAGGCTAAATATCGTCTAAACGACAAGGTACCATCAATCCAAACCTATTGAAGAACGGAGAACACGGGGCAGGGGGGAATTTTCGTTGGACTCGTTCCCACATCTAATGGCTCACGATTTTCACTTTTTCGTCAAGCATGACCATACATTAGAACCGACGATTGTAACCTCCCCCATTGCCGTATGTCGTGGATGGTGCATACGCTCCACGATACTCTCGGTCGACACTGGGCACAGTGGGTTGTCGATCTGATGTGCCAATTGGCGCAGCTCCATCCAAAAGGCTCTGGGAGTCATTCGCGATAGTTGGTGTAAGTGGTCGGTACATGTGGCCGCCAGAAGGAGCAACAGGTGGTCTTATATCGCCACCGCCTGGATAGAACCGCTCGGCAGAACCATTCCGCACATGGCCCTTCTCGTTCAAATCACTCGAGACGGCAAACATTGACTTCTCTGGCATTGGTGCCCGGTCTAGGAGTAGGGAATTACGGGCGTCAAGAGGTGTGAGGTTATCCATGTCGCGTTTGAGTTGTTCTAAGCGAAATGGTTAGCATAGGTTAGGGATAAAACTTTATCCAGAGGAATGTAACCTACCAGCCTCCTTTCTCCTCTTTCGATGAGGATTCATCTTGCAGCAAGCGTTGATGGCATTCCAAGCAATGAGAATTGCGAGCACTGCAGTTAACGTAGCTTGTACCGCGATGAGTGCCACGCCCGCAACGGTCTGTGTGGTCTGTTTGATTCCGAACTCTTGCACAAAGAGCAAAATACAAGCAATCGACAAGACGCGTACGACTTGAATGACAATATTTATCACGTTTCCCGAACGACGCTCAAAAGGCCGACTCCATAAGAGCAAACAAAGCATAAGGCCCTCAATAACCAGTTGCGCAATCGTTTGGGCCATGCCGTGACCGTCTCCAGCAGCAATTGCAACACCCTTGGCAAACATGTAAAAAATGGCTGGAATAAACAGCCACCAGTACTGTCGCTTATATGATTCGTAGAACAAAGAGTACTTGACCCAGATTTTCTTGTCCTCATACATGGCAGCCGCATCACCATCTTGCTTCTTGAGCTTGTGCACAACTGACCAAATCTTCCATGAGAAAAAGGCCAAGATGGCAGTGAAAATAGCAAGGGTAACAGCGGCGAGAACCTTTGCGATCGTGTTGTCGCCATGGGTAAATTGAAATACGCAATAGAGTACCCATATGCCATAGAGTAGTAAGATGAGAGAGGTAATAGTACGAGCAATAGAGCCCCAGTAGTGCTTTCGGAAGCCTCTCAAGCTCTCTGGAAAGCTGCCAAACAGAGCCCACGCTTCGAGAATAACCTTGACAAGGAGAATGCCAACGACAATGGCGGCGATGATGATAGCCACAATCAGCAAGGCCGTCATGAATATGTTCGACTTGGGAACGAGAAGTTTCTCAGCAAAGGCTTGAATGCCCTTGACTTTGTGTTGAAGGTCATTCGAGTCACCATTGCCAACCGGTTCAGTCGGGTTGACAGAAGCTTCCACCGCCCTGTTGGCGAGTTCCACAAAGGTGTCAACAGCACGCTTTAAATTGAATAGCCCTTTGTTTGGACTGCTTGTTGAACCATCTGGGAATACCAGCGTGGCATTTTGAAGGTAAGAGAGGCTGTCTTGGGTCAAGTTGCCACCCGTCTTGGATCGGAAATCATCGATTGTGGTCTGCATTCCTGACCAGGGAAAAAGACCGACGGAGAAAGCAAAATTCTTGGCAAAATTGCGGTAGATGGGAGGATAGTTGACTGACAACATGCTGTTCATTGCCATGCCTTGAAACCACCCAACTACCTCCCCAAAGCTTGGGCTGATAGTGCCTACGGCTCCGCCAGAGCCACTTCCAAGCGCAGCACTACCACCGGACAGTGCAGCACCAACAGCCGATACTCCTGACATGATCAGAGCGGCGCCAGCAACACCGACGGCCACATAAGATACAGCGGGGATATCAGTTGTTTTGCCGTTGGAAACATCGGATTGAACACAGGCGACCCTATCGCCGTTCTGGCTCATCAACCGCAAAGTCGCGTGAGCAGAGATATCGGGTACCTGGAAGGCAATACCAGGCACCATGTTGGCAAACTCGGAAGGGATCTGCTGGTTCCCTTGAGCAGCAAATTGGCCCACGGGAACCGGACATAGGCGTTCAACAAATGTGCCCTTGTCGCAGGGATTGAAAGTTTTCGAGTACACCGTGTTGCCATAGGCAGTCACGTCGAGTATCGCCGTTACATTCTGTTCTTTGCTGCTAGACCCAGCGATATCGAAATTCACAGTTTTGTTCTCGTTGTTGTAGCTGATATTAATCTTGTCGACTTTGATGGTCGAATCAGAGCCACAGTCGCTGAATCCGCTGGTTTTCAAAATCTGTCCCCCCATTACTCTCGTCGCCATGAGACCAAACAACACCATGCCCTGGGCCCAGGAACTCCATCTCGGGTTAGTACGAGCCATTCTTGCCCTCTGCTAAAGATGTCGAGAAATAGTTCGAGATAAAACTGACGACTCGGGTACGGAACAACTTCGATTCGGCGTTGAGGATTCAATCGTTTCAAATTCGGTTAGGACTTCATCGGCTGAAAGCTGAAAGCAATATAGTACATGTCTACAGGGAGTTTAAAACAGGTAACAAAGAGCTGTAGACCAGCAGATGCGCATGAAATTCGATATAGAGTCGTGTTTGTTCTCCCCAGTTCGGCAAAGGTTGCTAACGAAAGAAGGACTATCCAAGGAATTGGATGATTTTTTTTTCCAATATTGGTCCTGTAAATCAAAGTTGAAAGACCGTGTTGGAGGTGAATTTACACCAAAAAAAATACGTCCAGCGGTGTCGAAGAAGTCAAAAGTTGCCAAGGGTCAACCAAGGTAGAATTGAAGTAAACAAACAGGCAAAAAAAAAACAAAGACGAGATCGCACGAAGGGACAGGAATATCGCCTCGTTCACGGATTCACCAGCCGTTGAAAGACTGTTGAAAAGGGGAAAGAGAAATCGGGGGGAAGGTGGCGGCCAGTATCTGCGGCTGCAGTTGTGATTGAGGCCGCGATAGAGGTGTATGTACTCCTTAGTTGGTGTGGTGGTGGTGGTGGTGGCGGCGGCAGCTCGAACCAGGGGCGGACCTGAAACGCATACAACTAAGACGACGCGGTGATGCAAAAGAGAAAGGGTCAGCACGGAGGTCGAGTGTCTGTGATGAGAAAAACGAATTTCCCAAACGAATGTCGAAATCACAATAGAATGCAAAATAACACGCAAAAACAAAATGATCAACGGCTGGCGAGCGAGAGACGGAGAGAGAAGGAATACGAAGTTGAGGAGAAGGAAAGGAAGAGGGTGGATCGGGCATGACAAGCACAGAGAAATGGGAGACCCGAACTAAATCGAGAGGGAGCATGCATGGTAAGCATGGACCAGACTGGCCTCCCTGCCGCCCCTAGGGCCTAGATGTTCGCACCGAAGTAATATATCGACCCTTCGATCTCAAAGTACTAATAGGGGCAGTGTATGTACATTGGTTATTGGACGATTCTTGGACGGCTCTTGCTCTCCGTAGTTCCCTCAAGTTCGTGTCCCCGTACTCCGTGCTCCGTGGTTGAGACGATCCACACGAGAGCCACTTGCAAACTCCAGGGGTCAAGGGCGAGGCTGGCGAATCAAAACGAGATCCCAGGGGTATAAAACTGGCGGGTGGACTCTAAGCCACGTTGACTGGCGGTGACATGTTGACCAGTCACAGTGTTTGTACTCTGCCAAGCCTGCAGAAACAATACGGCCTCGAGATGTCATGAAGATGCAACAACATTTCAGCAAAGCCAGCTTCAATCTAGGCATGCTCCCATGGTCAAGACAATGTCGAGGTCTCGAATTGGAGCAAGATGTTCCTCTAGCCGCCGTTTGAACTCGCTGCCAGAATTAAAAATGCGCTGGGCCGGAAATGCTGCATGTACAGCCGAACATTAAAGCCACATGCATGTCTTGGCACCCAAGGCAAGTGTGGCCCGACTCCACATGGCTTCAGGGGCCCGTCATGTTTGGTGTTGATTTCTATTATTAACCAGACTGTCCCAGACATGTCTACAAAATACTCTGCAACAAACAAAGGGGTCAATTGTTCGTTACGGGCGCTACAACATAAGCCATGTATTTGCGCCACAATTTTTCATCCTGTTCTTCTAATTGCCGTCACCGCTCCCCAAACCTTTCACCGAGCAGCACTACGTACTACTACTCCGATGGCAATGTGCGCTTCACCACTTGCGAACCCTTGCGGCTCTGCGGCTTTTAGACCAATCCTTAATCAAGACCCCATTAAGCCCGCCAATCGAGACCCGCGGTTTTGCATCCCAATCCACTCCGCGGTCGATCCGTGGTGCGATACTTGAAACCTCATCCTGGCCAGGGGCACAATTCCCGCCACCACCGCGTTGTTAACCGCCAAACAGTCCGCCAGGGGGGGCGACGCTGGTCAGGAGAGTGCAGAGACTGGCCCTCCATGTCGACTCTCGTGGAGCGGCGGTGGTCGACGAGACCGCTGAACGATCTGTCGAGGCCTCTTTGGGGTCTATTCTCACGGCCAGGCCGATGAAGCAGCCTCGAATACAACAAATGGCAATTCAAGCTTTGGTGAGAGTCATGTACACACTGATTGAGCAAACAAGGCTGTTCTTAATTGCCCGGTCAACAATCCCAGCCGTCGATTTACTACTCCATACCCTCAGCATCAACCGATTCTCTCTCTGGGTTATACAACCAGGCACATGGATCGATTTTCCCGCAGTGTACTCGGTACGTTCATATGGTGGATCTGGCAAGGCGAGGAGGCTATCATGCGCAGTATATTTAGAGCCTTGATGGGACGACATGTGTCTTCGTTCGCCGCACTGCCTCCTGTCAGACGCCGTTAGGCCGTTTATGCATCGTCGACCCAGCTTTCACATGACCACGAATACAGGCACGCACGGATTCCTCGTGGCATACCATTGAATACGAACGAATGCCTACTCAACTTTGGCTTCCTAGTGGTGATGCTGCTGACTTCCAGCCACGGGATCTGGGAACCCATTACGTACATATGTACATACATACATACTTCGTACCCCATGCACCGACGATTGTTGCTCAAAAAAATCCATCTACATTTCAATGCAGAGCTACCTACTTTCGCTTCCTGCATTCCCTGCTGCTTCCTTCATTCTGGGCAAGACAAACTACTAGCTAGCCAGCCACGCCGTCCTCGCCCCCAATATCCCTCCAAGCCAAAGGCTCCACTGCAGGCTCCGTATTGTACTCCATAACGAACCTGGTTGCTTTTATGCACCGCCATGCCAGCCGGTACTTTATACGAGGAGTTGTTTCTTCAGTATGAAGCCTCTTTTTCTTTCTCTCTCTCTTTTTTTGCCATGTCTTTCGTTTCCGTTCTTGTTTGGTCCGTACAATTCTGGGGGGCCTGCTTTCGTTTGTGCGGAGTAGGCATTCAGCCATTTCACGCCATCGTTCAATACTGATACGTACCTAGGTACGGAGTAGCTAACACAGAACTCCAGAAGAACCTGGCCTAATTTCAGATGGCATCCCTGGTTTATAAATTTTGTGCACGATGCCACGTCATAATTTACTCAGACCCAGGGAAACGAACTGTCCTCTGATGAGTAGATGCCACATGCACAGGCTCAATCTTGGAAGGTATCATTTCCCTGGCAATACCCAATCTCTCCTCGTCGAAACGAAAAAAACCCTGTATTCAGTAGGGGTATCACAACCGCGCCGTCTTTGGCCCACCCAAACATTGTCAAGCACGGAGTAGAAAATGACTTGTTCGAAAACCAGCCGCTGAGCATCCGCCAAGCTCCACTTGGCACTTCTCCAGATTTCAAGCTTTTCCCCTGCCAAGCAGGCAGCTTGAAGAGCTTGTCTGTGCATTATGATATCCCAGCAGTTTACACACTTATTACTAGTACTATTCCGTAAGCTCTTCTTCTTATAACTTGTTAAAATCACTGCCAGATTATCTACCAGGCCATTCACTCGATTAAATATGCAATATGCCCGACGCACTAACGGATGCAATTGACTGTCGAGCCAAAAAGGCCCGTCCTCCCGGCGTGACCAGCGGCCGCGCCTTCCAACGCACTACGTAGATCAAGTATGCGATTAATTACATTACATATCTTTGCCCAGCATATATGGGATGTAAGCGAATCTATTAGTGGAAAAAACCAGGGTATCTTGACTGTTTCTTGGTAAAAGAAATAGTAGGCCTTCAATTTAAAACCGCAGATAGTATGCTTGCCTAGGGGAGTATACAATCAAAAAATCAACAGTTGCGCGTTTAAAGGTTCCAGGCGACCAAGTGTAAGGTGCTCACAAAAAAACCAGTTTTGTCGCTTCGCTTTACAGCCTCAAGCCGGGCAAGTTTTCCTCGACACACGTCAGCTACCCACCGGGTAGGTATTGACCCAACCGAAATATCGGATTGATGGAACCTCATTTGCATATAGCAGACACCTAGCTATGCCAGAAGCCCAAGTTATTCTTCTACCTTTTCTCGTTTATCGCATGTTTCAATAAAGTCATTCATTTTTGGCCACGGCTGTCATAATTCGTTACAGAATCCAAACCAAACCAAATATGCATCTATGTGCACCCAGACAAGGTATATCAATCCATGGACACATCTTCAACCGTCATAAATTCGCACAGGTCAACCCGTCTCTGCAGCAACCTGTCTTCCACCAATCCATGGTATTCAAAATAAAACCAAAATATATCCTTTGGCATATCCAGCGTCTGAATAATTCATAACCAGCCGCTAAGACGGCGCAAGACCCATTCGTCGTACAGCCCGTGAAACACTCCGTCACTCGCCTCTAAAACTTAACACCATGCCAGCCATGCGTTTGCGCCTTCATCGGGAAAAACCGAAAGCAACTGTGCAATCCAACTCGAAAATTGCTCGCTGCAAATGGGAAAAGGCTAGAAAGAAGAAAAAGAAAGAAAAAACCACATGTTCAGCTGAAAAATAACACAGTGTTGGTCACTCAAAAGAGGAAGAGAAGTGCGTCCTTCAACTGTCGCCCAAACAATAACGGCTCCTTCCTCGACGGGATACTACTGGAAATCTTATAGAAAAAGCGGCCGCTCGTCCCAGTGTTGTTGTGGTTGCTGCTGCTGCTGCTGTTGCCCCTGTTGCTGTTGTTGCCCCTGCTGCTGTTGCTGATTATGACGCTGGTCTTGGTTATAGGCTGACGCGTTCATGTGTGGCGAGTGAGAATATGTCGACAGCGACTCATGACCACTAAAGGGACTCCCGTTCACGCTGGATGGGTCCATCATGGCGTCAAAGGTAATTTGCCCGCCAAACTGGCCTCCTAGCTGCACGTCTCCGACGCTTTGCAGTCCAAGAGCATTCATGCTCAGTTGTGGGAATGGCTCTACATCATTATCTGACATGGTCAT